TCGTTATCCAAGTGACTCCGCCATAGGCTACTTCCATACAGTACTTCAACATGTGCAGAATGTGTGGCTCCACGCGCACCTCCATCAGAATTTACTGCTCAACGGTCCAGTTCTGCAGTCTCCAACCCAGCCTTTGGCTGAATCCAGGTAAAAAGAGAGATGTGCCTTGCAGTTGATAAGCAACCTTAAAATGCTACATCCAGCCCAGTGGCTCTGATAAGAGCTGCAGTAACCACAGTGCCCACGAAGAGCAGGCCTATGAGATACTGAGATGGTCTGGAGCAGAACTAGGCCTTGCCCCCAAATTCCCCAAGCCTAGGACCTCCAGCCTTGTCCAATATGCTGGCAATGTTAGGATGACTATCTCTGCTAGATTTGTATGTAAAAACCAGGTGAAACAGCCATCTTTGGCAGTTGCATCATCTTAGATCTGTTCCCGTCGCTGTGTGGGATGGATCCCCTGTTAAGAATAATGTATGCATGCCAAATGGTGCAATAAATTGCCAGTTTGCTTCTGGCTGGCCAGTCAACTTTGGGTTTGCTTCTGAACTCTGGGACACATACTTAACTTTCCTGCATGTGGAATGGCAGCAAAATGTCACAGTGTGCAATGTTTTTGTTCAGGGTTCCAGCCAGCCATGCCCTTTCAGGACACTCCATTCCCTTCCCCCTTCCAGTTTTCTGTTCTGTCCCCAACCGTCAGTTAACTTTCTGTGTCCAAAGCTCAGAGCACAGTGGACTTTTTTCAGGAGGGGTGGTGGAATACTTCACACATCCTTGTACTTCTGCAAACCTTAGGGCTTCCCTGAAGCCTCCTAACACCTCCTTTTATGCCACTTTGGCTACATGAGGGTCCAAAGAACGAGTTCGCTGTTACTGATGTAGGAGATGTACCTTGGCCCAAGCCCTGGCAGTAGTTTTTGGTCCATAGGCATTGTCTCCTCAATGTGTCACCGATATGAGAGCTAACTAGAGCTTTCAATCTAGAATGGCCACACTGCTCACTGCAGTCCCTGGCAGGAAAAACAACACCTGCATGACCACATGCAAGAATCAGTAATGTTAGAATTCAGCTTGATATTGGGAGGAAGCATGTCTCATTGGTGGGTGTGATTTTTCAAGAGCCAAATTTGTTTGTGTGTGTGTGTGTGTGTGTGTGTGTGTTGATTGCCGAAGAATTGATGCTTTTGAATTATGGTGCTGGAGAAGACTCTTGAGAGTCCCATGGACTGCAAGAAGATCAAACGCATCCATTCTTAAGGAAATCAGCCCTGAGTGCTCACTGGAAGGACAGATCGTGAAGCTGAGGCTCCAGTACTTTGCCCACCTCATGAGAAGAGAAGACTCCCTGGAGAAGACACTGATGTTGGGAAAGATGGAGGGCACAAGGCGAAGGGGACGACAGAGGACGAGATGGTTGGATAGTGTTTTCGAGGTTACCAACATGAGTTTGACCAAACTGCGGGAGGTAGTGGAGGACAGAGGTGCCTGGCATGCTCTGGTCCATGGGGTCACGAAGAGTCGGACACGACTAAACGACTAAACAACAACAACAACGTGTGTGTGTGTGTGTCCCGCCCCTTCACCAAGGCAGGATTTGGGAGCAGAAGTCAAAGCCCAGCTCCCAGCCAGAATAAGCAGGCAGGCTCCCAAGCACAGCCAGCTTGACTGATTGCATTTTGAAACAAATAAGGTAATACATGATCACTCAGTAGAACATGAGACTCTTAATCTCTAGGTTGTGGCTTTGAGCCCCATGTTGGATTGCAGGGGGTTGGACTAGATGACCCTCAGCACCCCCTCCAACTCTACGGTTCTTGCAACTAACACTGTGGTTCTCAAAGGTTGTGGCAGAAGAGGATGCCAAGTGAGGCAGGAAGATCCAAGGACAATAATTTTTACATTTCAGTGTAGAGTAGTATAGTATAGTATTAGTAGTATATATTTTAAAATTATTTCTTTGAAGAATATGGATAGTTACCTTCTCAAAATCAAGCACTGCTACCAGTTGCTTGTTTTCCAATGCATTTCTTATCAGTGTGGCAAGCAAATATTTATTCTGAAAGTGTAGCCCAGAAAAACAAGTGTGAGAAACACTGATGTAGCGCAAAGCACGGTGCTCCAGAAATACTTATACTACCGAAGGAGCGTTCCCCCGCCCCAAGCAGCCATTAAATCCGGTCTCAAAGCTTACTTAACTGGAGACCGAGTTAAAAGCGTCAAGAGACCACGTGGAGTAATGGAGGCCTTGAGAGTGGTTGCGTTGGACTCCGCCTCCGAGTCAGCTTGGGGTTGCGGGTTTTTTCTCTGCCTGGGGTTGGTATGTTGTGTGTTTGTGTGTATAATACAGGTGTGTATGTATGTGCCAAAGAGGGCAAACAACCGCCGCGCCGCCTTTCGATGCGCACCATTCTGCCACACTTTGCATGGACGGCGGACCCCTCACCCCGCGTTTGGACTCCGGAGAGGTCTTCCCGGGAACTCTCCCTCGCCACTTGAGATATTTCCCTCCCCGACTATCCTCGCCTGTTCCGGGGCAGAGTGCCCGTTTCCCCCCGGCTCCGGTTCTGCGCCGCCAAGGCCGGCGCGCAATTGCGCGCTCTCCGAGAGCACCCTCGACGGCAGCGCCATCCTGGCCCACGGACTGCAATTGGGCTGCGTGGGTTGTCCCCTCAAGAAACCTTTTCATCGGCGAGTCACAAGGACATGTAGCAAAACTAACACACACACACATTGCAACCGCGTTCAGGGTTTGAAGGAGCCTTTCAATGTGCCATAAAACACTGGAGAAAGTCCGGAGGTAGTTCCGGCGCACGCGAGATTTCTCCCCACCCATTTTTCCATTCTTTTAGGCTCGGTGAAAGCTCTGCAAATACTGCGGATCGGTCTTAAAGGCTCTAAATACTATCCGAGTGTGCTAGGTTTATTAGCTCGGTAGGGATGCAACGAAGCTTGCATCAGAAACACCCGGAGTTTGTTTATTCCCCTCGCCCCCGTCACTTGCCTATTCATTTTGCAAACATTGCTACTCGCCTCGCGATAGTTTTCGGTTTTTACCAGCTCAGTGGAAGGAAGAGAGATCTAAATGCAAGAAAATGAATGGCGTGGACTTTGTATCTTGGGGTAAAGAACAGGCTGCAATGATCTCCAAGGAAGCACCATGCAAATCGTGAAATCCACAGACGAGAATCTGGGGGGAACTGATTTGCTCAGGCTCCCTGGGAGGAGAAATGTATTTTCTTCTAAAAGGGAATGTGAAGGGAGCTGCAGCGTTGTCAGTAAACAGAAAACGTGACTTCATCGGGAGCATCAAGACACCAAGTTGTTATTGGAGCTGTTTTAAAGTAGATTATTATGGTCATTATTATCGTTAAGTTGGGACCCCCACCAAGCGCAGAGAGTGAAAAGGCGAACGTAAAATTAAAAAAATTAAGTACGTTAAAAAAAAAAACCCGCCCCCGCCTCGATCTCCATGAAAGGATGTCCATATCTTTCCCGCTAAAATCCATCGGATTATCAAAACGTTAGGGTCCGGCTGGGGAAACGTATTTTGTGAACGCGGGGGGAGAAAGGATGCGGGTTTTAGGTGGGCGAGAAGCGAATCACGACGCGTCCGTGTTTTAAACCCAGCTCTGGGCCTCACCGCTGCCTTCGAAACCCAAGTGTTGGGCGCGGGCGGGCTTTTCTCGTGGGCCCTCGGTTAGTCTCGAGAACCTCCGGGGGGGGGAGTTGGTGGTGGTGCGGATGGTGCCAGGAAAGGGAGACGCAGTGGAAAGCGCCTCCAGGCACGCGCGACCTTGGAAGGAGAAGCGCGGGGTGTCCCGTCGGTTCCCCGCCCCACTCTCCCTCCGACCAGGTGCCTTTGGGAAACCCCTCCATCCGCTGCCACTCCCCACCCCGGGGTCCCTTGTGCAGGGTGCCCGAGTCCTGCCGGTGTCCTCGCCCTTTATCGCATTTCACGCTCGGAAGGGGGTCTCTTTGGAGTTCAATTGAGCGCGTAACGCGCGTACAAAAGCAGGTTTCGCGACGACCCCGGGGTTTCACTCCTTAGTCCGAAGTTGCGGGGGAGGGAGGCTTATTTCTCTTCTTAGTTGGGGGGGACGACACCACCTCTCTCCACACACACCCTTAAAACAACCCCCAACCCTTCTCTCTTTTTATTCCCAGGTGTGTGGGTGTGCGTATGCATAGGGCAAACTTCTAGAGCCCCCCAATAAAATATTTAAATATTTGAGGGGGGCTCAAAGTTGATAGGCATTGCCATTCAAACGGAGTGTGGGTGTCGTGTCTTGTGATCGATTATGTGGGGCGGGGTTTACCTGGGGCCCCCAATATTTTAAGCAAGTTGGCAGCCCTGTATATAGGGGTGCGTGCGTGCGAGCGCGTGTGTGTATGAGTGAGATCAGTTAAAAAGGAGGTTTAAAAGCTCGGGCAAATCGGATCAGGGAAAATCGTCACCCAACTTTCCTCCTTTCCCAAGGAGGCTGATCGAATTAAAAGGGCAGCGAGGCTGCTTGGCGAAAACAGAGGACCGGGGACGTCGAGGGTGTGTATTAAATTCTCATTAGAGATGCAGGAATCAGCCAGAGGGAAGTTGGACAGCTCAGCCTCCCTCCCTCCCCCTCCCTCTTCCTCCCCTCCCCTCCCTCCTTCTCCCCTCCCCCCTTCCTTCCCCTCTTTCCTCGCTCCCCCCACCCCCACCCCAGTTGCCAGCCCAATAGACTGATGAGTTATTGTCATGTAAAAAGCGCCCGCGATCAGACCAACCGCTTTGCTATTGTCCAAGTGGAAACAGCCAAGTTTATGATGAGGACTATATGCTCTAGAGACCTCAGGCAAGGCAGCTCATAGGAGCCGTTTTTTCATAAAACTCGGCACGGCTGGTAGCAAGGAGGCCACTCTGGAAGCAAGAGCGGAGCTGTGCGCATCTCGCTCTCGCCCCTTGCCTTGGCTCTTCTTCTCTCCCCCCTCATCCACCTCGCCCCCACCCCCACCCCCACCCCACCTTGACCAGGAGCCCCATCTTTTCTCTCTCCCCACCCTCCAGCCCCCAAACCCGTTGGCTGGGCCATCCCCGAGCCTTTTCAATGTATAAAATGGAATATTCTTACCTCAATTCCTCCGCCTACGAGTCGTGCATGGCAGGGATGGACACGTCCAGCTTGGCTTCGGCTTACGCGGACTTCAGCTCGTGCAGCCAGGCGAGTGGCTTCCAGTATAACCCCATCAGGACCACTTTCGGGGCCACCTCCGGGTGCCCGTCCCTCACCCCCGGATCCTGCAGCCTGGGCACCCTTAGGGACCACCAGAGCAGCCCATACGCGGCAGGTAAGGACCCTGCGCCCCTGGCTGGAGACTGGAGAGAGAGAGAGAGAAGGGGAAAGGCAAGAAGAGAGAGAGAGAGGGCAAGAGAGGAGGAAGGGGGAAGAGCCAAGCCAAAGCCCGACCGAGGAGAAAAGAGAGGGAGGGGGGGAATAGGAGAGGGAAGCCTCGCTTTGATTGCATTTGGAAAATGGCAATGTGTTTAGTATTTACCCAACGAAATTTGCTTACACAAATGAAAGAATTTATCACGTTAGGAGCGATTGCAGGGAAGGAGAGAGAGGAGAGGAGAGAGGAGGGGGGTGGGTTGGGTTGGGTTTGTGTGTTGGGGGGGGGAGAGGGGGGTGTAATTCACTTACACCGTTACACTATCCGAAGTCACACCCGAAACCGCCAACAAAATTATCTTAAGCTGCCAAAATGATCGGCATAATTTATTTACTTTGCGAGGGAGACGGAAAAGCTGGGGGAAATAATTAAATAAGCCGCGAGGAAAGCTCATTACTGACACTGTCTTCTTCATCATCTTCATCTTCATCGCCTTTCCCCCCTTCTCTTCCCTTTCCCTCTTTTAAGAAACCGCATCCACCACGGGGAACAACAGTAAACAAGCCATGGAGAGATAAGCGGGCACTGTCTCGCTGCTAGTATTTTTCTTTTTCTTTCATTGCTTTCTTCCCCCTTTTTAGCAGCTTCCCCCCCTAGGAACAACGAAATCCCGCCTGGGCGAAAGTCTTCGAGTAAGGGAGGAGGCGCAAAAAATTCAGGGGCAGCTCTGGAGGTGTCTGGGAGGGGGAGGCGACACTTACTTGGGAGCACGTCCCATTGAGCTCAATCGGACTTCCGAGTCAACATATTTAGGATGGCACCTGTCGGTGTTGCTCTATTCCGGTCAACGCAACGGGTCGATTTTGCTATCGAATTCCATGGAAACAGCATCTCTGGTGCTGGTCGTGGATCATTATTACTTTTGGACCATTTTTTGTACTAAACCAAGCAGGCATGTAGCAGTAGCATTTTGAGAGAAAGGCAGCCTTGGCCGTCTTGTCTGAACGCTCACACCCGCATCTAGCGAGATCGCCCTGCCAATCTCTCCATTCGTCATCTCTCTTTGCGACATTGAAGGAGGAGATGGGGGGGGGCCGCAACTACAAGATTTGCCTGTCATTCCAACGAACCACCCCCACCCCCATCTTAATTTAGCATAAATTGTCATCGCTCTCCCCTCCCCCGCAATTTCATTTTTTTGAAAATCGTCGCTAAGGGTGGTATACTTTTGATCCAACCGCAATAAACAGATGCGGTGGGGTGGGGTGGAGGGGAAGGGAGGTGAATGGGTTTGGTTTTTTTTATAACCTATATCGAAAGTGAAAAAAATAAATAGTGTTTTGGAGAATCCATCTGCAAACAGACCGTATCATTCTCCTTTCTTATCCATTTCGTTATCGAAATACATCCCTCTCCCTTTTCTGGATTAGAAACCTTAACCGTCTCAGAAAACGGAGGGGACACGAATGCGTTTCTTCTCCGTGTCTGCTCGCGAGTAAGCTCCCTGGTTATGCGGGTTGTTAGCATGGCGGTGTAGACGGTTTCGCGGGTCACGCTCAGACCGCCGCAAGCGCAGTGAAACCATTCGAATCCGGATCCCCCGGACGGCTGTCCTCGCGTTCCAACGGCTTATTGCGGGGAATCGCAGCACGTTATCGACTGGCCTGTGTTTCTTTTCCTCCCACCCCGCTCCCCTTTCCCTCTTTAGTCCCCTACAAGCTCTTCACCGACCACGGGGGCTTGAACGAGAAGAGGAAGCAGAGGCGAATCAGGACCACCTTCACCAGCGCGCAGCTGAAGGAACTGGAGAGGGTGTTCGCGGAGACTCACTACCCAGATATCTACACCCGGGAGGAACTGGCCCTCAAAATCGACCTCACCGAAGCCAGAGTTCAGGTTGGTGAAGGAGCTCCTTTCGATCCGGATTGCAGCAGCCGCCTAGGCCGCTTCATCCGGAGCAAAGCATCGCGGGTAGCAACGCGCAGCTTTCAAGATTTTGCTGGACGGGAGGTGACCAACGACAGAGAGTCCCAGGGTGGGAAGTCTGTTGCTTTTGCACATTTACATACTTCCCTTTGGAAAAAATATGAAAATGGATGCAGGGTTTTTATGTTTATCATTCCGGGCCTCTGCCTTTTATTTTTTTAACCTCGTTTATCTTGAGTCATTCCTCCATCAGCAGCAGGAGGCATTCAGCTTTGCATCCCAAAGCTGTCTCACGTTCCTCATGGTAATGACTAAGACTCCTAAGGGCAGCAATTTCCTTGGAGAGCCCAGTGGCTAGGATATGTATTCCCTACAGCTTGGCTCACTTGCTAGAGCCACCCATTTCTGTACAGGCACCTTGTCAGTTCCTGATTTTGGCAGAGGACACATTATCATCTGGATAGCTGAACAGGGCAACATGTGGCGAGGACCATACCATTCTGAGTATTAGATATTTGCATCCCTTCTATAATTTTGATTATTATTATTTTTCAAGATCTTGTTGGCAATGCTCTCTATTTCTGTGGGAACTATTTCTAACTTAGCAAACTGGAGACCTGAATTCTCAAAGTAGGGAGAGCTTTACACTAAGATCTCACCTGATCTGCAATCTAGGTATATATAAACACCTTTACCTTGGAGTCACTGACCTGAAATAATTATATTTGGCATACACTGATGTGTCTTAAATTAAGACACACCCTAAATCAGGGGTGGAGAACCTCTGGCTCTCCAGATGTTGCCAATGGCCAGGGATGATGTTAGTTTATATCTAGCAAAATCTGGAGGGCCAGAGGTTCCTCACCTTTCCTTTAAATACTCCATCCTTTCACTACTTCTGAGCATCTCAAGAGTGCAAAAGACTGGTTTAGTATGCGCCACGAAATAATAACACAAGTCATTAAGACTACAATCCTATCCAACTGCCCAACGGAACGAAATTGAGATTTCTGAGAAAACAAGGCTGCAAACCACTCTGATATACCACAAAGCATGCCATAGGGGAGCAGTCAATTTGCAAAGCAAGCCAGGCCAAAGCATGCCTCAACAGATTGTGGCACGAAGGCTTTAAGCATGGGCAGAAGAATGTTAGGGTGATGGTGCCAAACAGCAATAAATCCGAACAGAGGAGAGCCATTGGTATTGGAGCTGAAAGGGAATGTGGCTGCTCTGCTTTGGTGTTGCTTTTGTTTTTATTAGATATTTTATGGGGGGTTTTCTGCATTTTATTCTGTAAACTGCCCTGAGACCCCCGGGTATAGGGCGGTATATAAATTCAAAAAATAATAACAACAACAACTAGCAATTGGCCAACATGCCAGATGTGCGTGGCCAATGGTCTGGTTCCATGCTAGCACACCTGGAAGCATCCTAAGAGTTGCCATGCTAGACCCTACCAGTGGCCGCCTGTTCTTTTTATTGACGCACCGTGGCCGAGCTGATGGCCAGCAGAACTCACAGACAGGCTACATTATTCCTCAGCAGAGGAACAAGAATGCATGTTACTTTATAGCAACAACCAGCTTCTGCAGTGAAGGACTTTTCCTATCCACACTGCCCACACAATAGGGAGTAAATTACAGCAGTTCATTGTCTGGACCTATTAAAAGATAAGAGTCCTCTGCTGAAATGATATGAATGTTCTGAGATGAAAGTTCTCTTTTAGCTTGGCATGGCCAGTAGCTACCCAGAGTCCGTCCATTCAACTAGGGCACATGCCATCCTTTTCTAAACCGTAAGTGGAAGAATTTGCAACCTACCACTGGGTGTCATTTACCCAGTCACATCCTGCCAGAAAGCAAATATAACCATGGAATAAGCTGGTTATCTGTAACATGTTATTAATCTTACTATTGCTGCTACCCCTGATTTCTCACAGGAATGGGAATTTGTAATGCTCACAGATGGGCTTGTCTACGCTCATTGCCCGTCGGTTGGCATTGACTTGGGAAATGGGCCTTTTGAATCCCTTCCTACACCCATACACTAAGGATAGTTAGCAGTGGGTATTTTCACGTGCTAAAAATAGTTGCCAGTTAAGACCTACAAGGCTAGGTCTTTCCACATGTTTATTGATTGTTTTCTTTGGCTCAAGCTGGGATAGATCAGTCGGTTTGAGCCCCACGTTGGGCAAAAGATAACGGATTGGACAGATCGCCTCACGTCCCCTTCCCATTCTACAATTCTATGATTTAAGTAGTGACCGCTGAGTTCTGGACCAACTATTTTGAATCCACTACCGCAAAGTGGCTTTCAAGGCGCGCTTGGGAGAGAACAGAGAGAGAGAGAGAGAGAGAGAGAGAGAGAGAGAGAGAGGAAAGGGGGATGGTCTCGCATAATGGTCACAAACACAGAATCGGTGACTCGAAGTTGCCTTGGCTTGACTCGCATATCCCGTGCACGTGGGAATAGAACGCCTGCCCCCCTCTCGCTCGCCGCCCGCCCCCCTCTGAACCTCTCTCTCTCTTTTCCCCCTCGCTCCTTCCTTCCTTCCTTCCTTTCCTTCTGGCCAGGTCTGGTTCCAGAACCGACGGGCGAAGTTCCGCAAGCAGGAGCGCGCCGCGGCGGCAGCGGCGGCCGCAGCCAAGAACGGCTCGTCAGGGAAGAAGTCCGACGCGTCGCGGGACGATGAGAGCAAAGAGGCCAAAAGCACCGACCCGGACAGCACCGGCGGGCCCGGCCCCAACCCCAACCCGGCGCCCAGCTGCGGCGGCGGCGGGCCCAGCCCCACGGGAGGCCCCGGCGGACCCGGAGCCGGCGGGCCCGGGCAGGAGGCCGGCAAAGGCGCGCCGTCGGGGCCTGGCGGCTTGTCGGCGGCGGCGGCGGGGCCCGGGCAGGGCTGGGCCCCCGGGCCGGGGCCGATCACCTCCATCCCGGATTCCTTAGGCGGGCCCTTCGCCAGCGTGCTCTCGTCGCTGCAGAGACCCAACGGCACCAAAGGCACCTTGGTGAAGAGCAGTATGTTTTGAGCGCGGGGCCGGCCGGCCGGGGCTGCGTCGCCGGGGCCGGGCCTCCCTCGACGGGCGCTTCCCCAATGGCCGAGAGCGAGGAGGCGGCGCCCTCTGCAGGGAAGGGACTCGCCAGGCCTCCACTCCTGCCCTCCTCGCTCACGTCGGAGCGGCCCCGACGGCGCGGACTTGCAAGCGACCTTGCCCGGGCTACGAACAAGCGAGCGCGCCCCGTAGTGCGCATCGCTCTGCTGCAGCAGGCGCCGCGCCACCGCCCTCTCCTCCTTGCGCAGTCCCTCTCTGGGAGAAAACTGTCCACAAGCTGCCAGTGTCGTTTTGTCGGTGTTGCTGCTGCTACTGCAATGTAATCCTTCCCCCCCCCAACCCCGCCAAACCCCCCTCTCTTGGCCGGGTTTTTCCTTGAGGCTGAGGCGCTTTCAGCGTGGCTGCACACCCGTCGCAAAACCGCGCGTCCGCCTTTGCGCATCGTGAGCGCTCCATTTGGTGATTTGGCACAGCCGTCGCCTCCAACGTGCGCGCGTTAAGAGCCACGCGGTCTCCCCCTCCCCCGGGGCTAAATTGGAGCCCCCCTGCCGCCGCCCACTCACTCACTCCTTTTCGTGGGCTGAGCTGACGAGGCCCAGAGAACATGTACAGAGTTGAGAGGTCTAAATTTGTAAACGTACTGAAACCAAGGGGTTGCTGTGCAAGTGGTTTGTACTGTAACTAGAGCACAGCTTCTGAATGTATCGGTTAGGCTAGTAGGACGCCCACCCCTTCCTGCTTTCGCAGCTTCCCTAGAATATAATTGACACGGAGGGTCTAAAAATTACAGTTAAATGTTATGTTACACCGGAGGGGGCGGGGACATAGTTACAGAATCAGTGCAATCTGGTTATGTTTTATTCTGAACCAAATTCCACACTCTTCAATCGGGCTTACTCCCTTAATAAGCATGTTTAAGCCTTAAACTTTACAGATTGCCGTCTCGGTAGATCAATCTGTGTTTTCTAGGTAAGGGAGCGCATTTCTGAAGGCTTCCCAGAAATATTTTTGCACCGCAAAACACCAGCCCTCGTGGAAACCGCAGCTTGCCTCAGGGAAAGCTACTTTTGTTTAGCATTCCTCTTAAACAAGGTGACCTAATTTGATGTGGCAGTTGTCAGAGGGTATGTATGTATGTATGGTTCAAGCTACGTTAAGGTGGTTTAGGGCGGTGTGCCAAATGGTTGTGCCCGGGTACCGCTTTGTAACTGCAGCATCTGTGATGACTTGCATTTGTGAAGGTGCAGCCAGAGGACCCAGCCCATCTCCTCTTGCGAGGGTGATCAAAAGTCGTATCAGAGTTCAGCTGCCAGCCCTCAGCCACACACAGTAATCCGCTGAGACGCGTGAGAAGCAGTTCTTGGACCAACTCCGTTTCCAGCCCTGCCGAGTGACAACGTGAACCGGCCCTGACCATTCAGCATAGCCAACCTTCTTATTGCGATCATTACTAGCACTGATTAGATTTTTCATTTACGGCCCTGCCCTTTCCCCACCGCAGTTGCTGCAAACCTACCGTAATTGTGTGTTTCAATGTGCAGGGAGAAGTTTACAGAAGGTGAACCAACTCTCTGTCCAAAATAGCCCCAGGGGTCTTAACAGCCCCTTCTGGCAAATGGATTGGAATTCATTCTGAAGATTACGATGACATTGTCCATGCAGTTTTTAGGCATCTCTTCTTAGGGTTTTAAAAATGTTTCTTTTACAAGGCACAAGAACCTAGGTATTAGTTATGTCGACAGGTATGCTTTCCCATATTTTTCTGTGTCTTTCTAAAACTGTGTTCTGTGACTCAATTGTATAGTGTTAATATTGATACAAACTTGTCTACTCTAGTTAGACGTATAAATAATGTTTTCTCTCCTTGTAGTCTTTATGGTGTGTCTTTATGGAGAAATGAGGTTCTCACTGGTTACAATTCTTTGCGTTTAGAGAGGTCGGCTTCATGCAATGGTATCAGCTTTGGTTATCAATTGCATGTTGTCTCTTTTTTATTATTGTTATTTTTCCTTTTGTGTTGGGATATGTTTGTGAGCATTAACCATCATAAATTATGTTTCAGGATTTTCAGATTTATTTATATGTGGTTAAAATGAATGCTTCTATTTAAAAGGGGAAATATTTCTACATGTGCATATAGTTTTCCAAGAGTGTACCATTAACTGATTGTTGATAATAAAAATGAAAAGCAAATACAGGCCCTCTACATCTCTCGGTCTAATTTACTTTCTTCCTGAAGTGTGTTTTTAAAAACAAGATTGTCGTGATAAATGGTCACTGATAGGCACTAGAGTGTGGGCAGGATCTGGGCGGGAAATAAATCAACCCCCCAGTATTGAGAATTTCCTCTGTGGACAATGTCGTAGGAACCAGGAAGTGCTGTGACCCAGTTTCTAGGGTGGCAATCAGGTTTTGAACCCATCACAATACGGTCTTCAAGTATAGCACTTCACTGCATTGTACCTTGTGGAAGTGCTGCCATTCATTCTGTGAATATCTCCTTGAGATAGTTGCTTTTTTAGCATGTCAGAAAGTTCCTTGTTGGATAGCACATCAGCTTAGGTCAGAAACAGATTTCAAAACAATCCATCCATTATTTTCCTCTGAAATCTTTTAGAGAGAGGTGCAGTTTAATTCCTCCACAACACTGCAGTCCTAACAACCAGAGAATTAAAGTGGGTTGCCCGATGCATAATAATCTCTCTGTGATTTCAGCATGACAGATCAAATACCCCAGTCAGAGCTTTTCATGTCATCTGACCCCACCCCAAAGCAGTACTTTTAGAGGAGGCCATTCACACAGTCATCAAAAAGTCGATAAACGATAAGTTACTGAGTGAATGTGAATTGCCAGAGATTTTCTTCTTCTTTTCAAATAAGGGCAATTCAGGCTTTCACACCAATACAAAAGTATTCTGGAGTCCAGTGTAAGGTGTATGTCTTGTGTGAATGGGAGGAGATGATGGGCATTAAGAAAGAAGTAAGATATTATTCCTTACACCAAAAGGTATTTAACTGGCGAGAAGAAATCAGTGTTTGTGGATAACTTACGTAATGTGCATGGTATAGGTATTATAGAAAAGAAATCTCAAATATACACTTTGTTATACAGGTTAGACCTAGTCACCCCGTTTGGCTACTTCAACTCTCTTGGAATTCATTAAGCTAATCACATTGAACAGGAATTCATAACTGTGTTAGTCTTAAATTCAAGAGTTACCTGGCAGTCACGATTGTAAGAAATATCCTTTTCTTTTGCCCACTTCCTAGCAGTCAGCATTTACAAAACCAGATTACCTTACAAAATAAATATTAAAAGGCCTCCTTGGAAACTGCTCCAAAACATCCCAGATTGGGATCTTGCTGAAAATGCTTTGTATGTTTTTTTTAAAAAAATATATGCTTCATTTTTTGTTTGACTGAATACCCCAAACTTCGGCTGTGATGTTTCCCTCTAACAGTTATCCTCGCAACTCGAGCTGATGTTCTGCTTTCTCAACACACAATTGCATGCCAATGCTTTAAAAGGCTTTGTTGCACTTCCGCTTGGAGACATTTTCCTCTTGAAAGAAAGATAAAAAAAATTAAATGTCGCCAATAGTTCCAGTACAGGACAGTCAACCATGAACAGAGTTGATTATGCTGGAATACCAGAGCACTTTGCAGGAGACAAGCGATTTTTAATACCGATTTCAACAAAGAATAATTGCTAAATGTCTTGGTGAAGAAAAGCTGCTCAGAATGTGTGTTTCTGGTGACCAAAAACATCCCTTTGAATCAGAGATGCAAGGAACTTGGCTTGTGCATCACACTCTCCACTTCAAAACAATTTGGAACGTGCGTTATTTTTAACGGATTTCAGCTACAACACCACATATTCAGTAGCGATAAATACATAAGGTGTAGAATTCGCTATTAAGAGATAATTTGCATGTGATTCCAGATGCGGCAAGAGAATGTGGAACAACAAAATCAATACACACATTAAAAGGATATTTGGTTTAGTTGTTAATCTTTTAAAATAGTTGCCATTATGCTGTTTAGTTTATTTTTTTGTGCTATTGATACTCAACAAGGCCAAAGATCTCGCAGAGGAAAACTGGATGCCACACTTGTTAAGTTGAAAGTCTTTATTAGCAATCCAGGGTAATAGATATCTCCCTCCCAAACCATAGTCTCAAGTTTTGTAGAGAGTAATTATGTGTTCCATTCTTTTTCAGATTTTAAGGTTTCTGTTCCAAGTGTTGTTTATATATTTGGAATTATTTACATATTTTCAGTTTAGGGGGGCATTTTTTATCTTCATTTTAGCTTAGGTGTATTTGCACAGGAGTTTCTTATCCAAACAAAACCCTACTCGCTTTATTCACAGACTAATAAAACTGGATGTTTGCTGCTGGGATACATTGATTAAAAAACTGATCAGAACTGAAAAGAAAAGTCTGTTGGCAGGGTCTTGCTTGGGCCTATAATAAAGGGCTCTAAATTTATCCCCATAGTCATTAGCTAACTACCATGCATTTTAGTTTTTTAACATGTGAAATAGTCATTGTATCTGTGCTGCTAAGTTCTGCGTTTATTGTGTGATGAAGATGTTGGGTGGTATATGTGTAGTATGGGGTTCATCTTGATTTTGAGATTATGTTCAATAGGCAGCTTCTAGGCTTAAAAGTGAAGCAGCATCTCTTTCCATTGCAATTCCTATTTTTATTACATATTTATTTCTCCCTTTGAAATACTAGGACTTGTATGTTTGAAACATAAATTCAATGAACTGGCATAATGCCATGCAGCAAAGAATGCCAGAGGCTCAGAAGCAACACTATAGCCTTTTTTTTTCCTAACCAAAAGAGGGGAAATGTTTCAATTAAGTTGAAACCTCTAGGCAGCTTCATTAATGTGTTACCCCAAAATTCCAGATCCACCCCCAAACTGATGCCAAATTTTTGTGCTAGTTTTGTGCCATGAACCCCACATTTTGTGCTGCCCCTTTACAAATTTCGAACTTCTTTGAACTTTGAACTAATTTGAGCTTCGAACTTCGAAGTATTCAAACTTAGAGCTTTGAACTGAGATCCATCTCCAAGGGCCTTCTGGCAGTTCCCTCACTGCGAGAAGTCAGATTACAGGGAACCAGGCAGAGGGCCTTCTCAGTAGTGGTGCCCACCTGTGGAACACCCTCCCATCAAATGTCAAGGAAATAAACAACTAGCCGACTTTTAGATGACATCTGAAGGAAGCCCTGTTTAGGGAAGTTTTTAATATCTGATGTTTTATTCTGTTTTTAATGTTCTGTTGAAAGCCGCCCAGAGTGGCTGGGGAAACCATTATTATTATTATTATTATTATTATTATTATTATTATTATTATTATTGAACTAATGCGAACTTTGAGTTTCAAACTAATTCAGACTTCAAGCTTTGAACTAGTTACAATGCTCCCCAGCTAAAGCAACCAGATAATACTACAAAGCCAGCCACAGACATCTCTATTGCTGTTCTTCATTGCACATATATGAAACAAGCAAGCTTTGGAACGTTAACACTTCACCTGACATCACCACCACAGGGTTTTCCACAGGGTTGCTTTCAAATCCAATCACAACATGTCAAATGAGCAGCAATAACAATTCAAAAACATAGGAGGAACAATTACAGAGGAATCCTAATGTCAATAAAGCCCAATCCATAAAACACTGCATAAAATAATACAGGAAACTAGCCTAATTTAGCAGTTGAAAAAACCAAACTTGGCAGGAACGTCCCTCAGTGCTGTGTGTTGTTGTGATGGTTTGTATAGCAGAATGTGCTATTGCAATGCAAACATCACAGGAATGGCTGTCATGTTAGCTCAGTGGAGCTCATCTGCACTTTCATCAAGTGGAATGGAAGTATATGGCCTGTTTGGACACACACCAGTGGCTACCTAGTGGAGAAGTCAATGCAAATGCTCAGATGTGTCCTAATTTCATGTGATTTGGTGCAGAACTCCCCAATCAGTGCTTACCTAGTGTGGAATACAGTGTTGTGCTAAGATCATTCTGTCAATACAACTATTTCTGCTTGTCAGTAGAAACAATCTCCCCTCTCCTCGCCTGCCTCTGGTAGGGGAACATGCCATGCTCCTTCTGGGGTAGTTTATCTACCTTTGTGTAATGATAACAATAATTTATTATTTCTACCCTGCCTATCTGGCTGGGTTTCCCCAGCCACTCTGGGCGGCTTTCAACAAAACATTAAAAACAGAATAAAACTTCAAACATTAAAAACTTCCCTAAACAGGGCTGCCTTCAGATGCCTTCTAAAAGTCAGGTAGTTATTTGCTTAACATCTGATGGAAGGGTGTCCCACAGGGTGGGTGCCACTACCAAGAAGGCCCTCTGCCTGGTTCCCTGTAACCTCACTTCTCAGAGTGAGGGAACTGCCAGAAGGCCCTCACCCTGCACTCAGCTTTCACCTGTGGCTCTTAGAAGCTGTTAGCATGCAACAGGTGAATGGCTTCCAACTGGCCGGCTAAACAGTGGGAATGTTCAGGGTGGCAGGAGAGGATATATTGTTTATTAATATCCTTCCTAACTTGCGCTAGCAAGTTCCTTTACTTAGCAGAGTTACATTCCCCTTTTTACATGCACAGCAGATAGCTGGTTGCAGGCTCGAGTGAGCCGCTCACTATTATACAATTCAGTCTGTCTTCAGATTGAATTGTACGTTCCTGGTAAGTTCCCTTGAATCCCTCTTAAAAGAATAAAGATGTCACAATCTTATTCAAAGTCAATAAAAGAAGTTTACTTACATCAGTTCACAGTTGGATTCCTGAAGGCAGGCTTAGTTACAAATATGTACATGTGGATCTACCCCATATGGGGGAATAATCCCAGTGCTTCTGCTAGCTGAGAGCTAGCAGAGCAGTCCTAGCTGAAAGCTGGTCAAACAAAGAAGGAAGTAAAAAGAGAGAGAGAGAGGTTGCTGTGTGACTCGTCCTTCTGTTACCTGGACAGCTTAGGTCATACCCACTTTCTATCACATGCAAAAGGAAGGATGCTCCAGCCAGGAGGAACAGGAATTTTTGACTGACTGGACCAAACATTCCCTTGCATGTCTTCTCTAGCATTTCAAGGAATGTTGTACTTGACTGCCTCTCGTGGATCACATCCCACATAAACCAGGTAAGGGTTGCCAATGGGTCTCAAACCCTCACTTCCCCTGCAAGTGAGGAAAGTCTCTGGCAGATTGAGCGGACGAGACCAACAGTGGATCCAATGGTCAAGAAGGTGGTTTCTGCATGTGCTGTAGAGGGAAGCGAGGGGCAGATGGGGCTGGTCAACCTGGGAAGGGAGCCCATCTAGGAGATGGAAAACTGATCCTAAACCTCTGCTGCATTGTGGGTATCTTTGGGAGAATAAAGGGCTAAGGAGGAAGCCCTACACAAATCAGGAGTGGGGCCCTAAGGAAAGCTTTTACGCCTCATCCTAGCAACCCCTGCAGCCAGGCTGGTGCCAAACGTCTTGCTCTGCTTTCCTTTGGAACACATCAGCGAGGCCAAAAGGCAAGTATTGTCATCTGAGAGGTCACTTTGGTGCTGCTAACACAGCAAAAACATGGGAGGCAGCAGTTAAGAGTCACCAGTTTCTGCAGCCACAGCAGGCGCTGTGATTCTCCAGTGGTTTGGCCTCGCCCTTGGAGGTGCCCTCCACTGACTCTCAAGACAACAGATGCCAACAACTTAATATGTCCATAATAACAATTCTATCCGTTTTAAACCGTGTCCACAGTTATTTTGAAAGGTTCTAGTCATCCGATTTCTTTCCTCCGGTAGAGGACTGTAACGGCTAATTTCCTTTATTACCGTCATGTCCCAAGTCTCTGATTGCAGGAGCCAGAGCACTTCCCCAAGTTTGGACAATCATAACTTGAGCATCTATTAACACATGGGATACCAAAACAATTTGCATGCTTTCTGATCAGCTGCTGTACAGGAAATGTTAACATTACCATCTCTTTCCATTAATTGGCACCACCATGTTTTGTTTTGTTTGATCACCAGTGAGCCTAATGGTTGGATAAAAGTTGTGGCCATCCGAGACATTCATCTTGGCTGGAGCCTTTCCTACGTGTAAATGGGTATCTGTGGAAGTAGCTACCTCTCATTTAAAAATTTGAAATGTATCTGCTTTACAATTTACTTTTGATTATAGCTTTGAAGGATCTCACACTTGTTTCATCAAAAAGAAAATGTACCCATGTTTACCCAGAGAAAGTTCTATTTAATTTAGTGGGACTGGATTATTCCCACTTCATTGTGTGCTTCAAGAGGAGCTATGCCCTATCCTAAGAATTAACCTTGGCTTGAGAGAATTTTTTTTCTTTCAAAAATGACTTTCAACTTTTGACTAAGATTTTGGTTCACGTAGCTAATCATATTTTGAACGAGAGAATTAGTGGCAACTCATCCTGGTCTGCTTTCAAAAGGGAAAACTAAGCAGACAGTCTTGTTAATTTAGCATATAGACTTGGAATAAAGTACAACATCCATCATCTCATCAAAATTCAATTAAAACTCAGTCCAGCATCCAAGGAAAAGGAGCCAATTTTCCTCTGGAAGCAGAGCTCTCCAAACATCACTAAAAACCTTTAATGGTTCTTTCTTGCATTCTGGGAGTGATTTAAAAAAAGGGAAAAAAAAGAATAACCACTTTGGGACTTCAAATTAAGCTTTACATTTAAAAGCTAGAACACATGTCGTCTTAAAGCAGAGGCCTTTGTCATTAATTTAATGCATGCTGTCAACACGCTTTGTCCAACACCAATGAGATGCATCTAGGCCATTCTAGTTCAGCTTTAAAATAACCTCATTTCTAACCGGTGAGTAGCTGGCCCTCACACTTGCTGAACATTTTGGGATTTGGGGCTGGTGAAATTGTTAATAAAGGCTTGGGCAAAGGCTTTGCTTAACATATAGTTGAAGCCAATCACCTGCATTTTATTCACAGGCAGAGAAATCCAAACCCCCAAATCACCATTGGGACTGGGTGGCTCAGCAAAAGGTCACCCTCTCTTCTGAGCCCATATATATTGATCCTGCAAAAGTGTCATAATATATGGTAGACATTTTGGGGCAACACCTGAGTATGGCTGTCACCCAAGCCCTTTCTGGCGTAATTTCACATAATGAAATTTGGAAAGGAAAGCTAATACCTTTCTTGAATGTTCTCACACATATGCCCCTCTCCAATATGCCGGATTTCCAATGATCAAGTCATATGGATTTAATTCAAACTTGGGTATGTTCCAAGAGACCAGGGGCAGCACTTGTATCTCTGGACTATCGATTTATCAATGAGAAGTTTTCGGGTAACAATCTACAGTACACTTTCCATCCAATGGAAATTTAACTCTGTACATCACACATCTCTAGACGGAAAAGGATTTTCAATACCGGTTCTACGGCTTCTAGCAAAAAGCATAGCACCAGGAACCAAACAAAATACATTTGTTTCCTGCAAAGTTTTATTGTGTTTGGCTATACCAAAACAATTAAAAGTCAAACAGCACCAGTTTTAATCAATGTTTATTTATAAACGTAACATTTACTATAAAAGCTGTTGCATTTAGACAAGAATTCTCTTGCTTTCCAGAGGCATTTTAGAATAAATATCATCAATGGAGATTAGTGTAACTGGTATTCAACATTAACCCAAGTAGGACTTTCACCCTTTGGTGATCTTGCATATAAAGTAGCCCTCTTCTGGCTCACCAACTTTTATACCACTTATAGATAACTACAGAGAATACGGAATTAATTCTACATAACAAGAATAAGGGCCACTATGAAGTTTTGAAAATGAAATATATAAAAAAATAATTATGACATGGTTATGCCTGCTCTCTAAAGAAATTAGAAGCTAAATACACTTTTTGGGGTTTTTATTTTAATCCATTATGTTTATTATATCGGCGCGTCAACAGTAAATTATCTTTTGAAACACATTATTTACCATTTCAAACCAACATAGCAGTAGATAAACTCCCCCCTCCCTGGCCATTCCCTACCCTTACCCATTCCCAAGTTATTTGTGAAACAAATATTAACACGTTTATAAACAGAGCTGGAAATAATGAGGCGGCTGCAGTGTGCATACTCATTTGAAATGAAATATAAAGAGGGAGAGTTGACAGTTTAAAAAAATCTTTATGCTGGTGACTAATCCATCTTAATGGAAGCGGAACGTGTGAGTGATTCAGGTTTTGATACATGTAAAGTTAGCTGCTGCCATCTTCCAGTTTACAAGTAGAAAGACGGTCAGCTACATTCCTAAGTGGATGTGCCATAAAATCCTGTTTGTGTATAAAAACGTTGCACTTGAAAAATTCTGCTAGCATGTAAATTCCGGCTGCAGTTATTCTCTTACTGAAGACTGGCAGGACTTGAAGGTTATTGCAAGCAGGATCAGGGCTACACCATCCTCATGATTTTGCATGATTTTTTTTATTTTTAAAAAAGCAACCTTTGCACACAAGTGCAAATCAACGTCTTCACAAGCCACTGGGATATGCTGCTGTGCAAGACCCACTGAAAGCAACAGGACCTGCACAAGAACACACCATCTTCTGCTCTTGGGGCAAGTTCTATTCATTTCAACGGGAGCCTTATCAGAGCTCCCCACTGGCTTATACTCAACAAGCACAGAGCTGTGCCCTTAAGCACCACTGGTTCCCAAAAGTCTTGAAGATACCCAACTGTAAGCTGGGTTCAGGCCCTTATTCGCAGTCCTTCACATGCACAAAATACCTATGCGAGACTGCTCTCTCAACACCTTTTAAGAGGGCATCGACGTAAACACAAATCTCCCGGTCAGGTGTGCAACTGCTCTGCATCAGGAAGTAGACTGCAGTCTGGAGACTTAATGCACAACCCAGCTCCAATTTGCAGGGAACACACTTGCTGCCAGTAGCAAGAATGCCACAACTGAATGAACTTCAGAACATTGGTGTTGGGTCCTTACGTCTGCCTTTATTTGAAGCAGGGACGGCTAAGCCCCAGTTCAAGGGTCTCTTCCACCAGAAAGCCACTGATTTTTGTGGCAGCAGCAAAGGGGGGGGCAGGGGGTTAATGTAGATCAAATGCTGTGGTGGGGTACAGTTCAGTGCCCTGGTGGGGATGTAAATCATCCCTCCCTGGTCACTGGATTTATCACTTGAATGCAGAGATGGCGACAAATCCCCATCCTCAACTAATCTGCATGGGTTAGCTGAGAAAGGGTGTTTGTGCAGTCTGCAGAAGAGTGTGAGGTGGCCATGTGACCCCCAGAGGCTTGGGTGTGGCCCTCAGGCTCAGCAGCCCCTGCTGTTTCACAAGGGAACAGAAACAACACAATAGGTTGTGCCACTGACAAGTCCAATTTGTGGAACTGACCACTTGGGCTTGCAAACCGCAGTGCTCAGGTCAGAGGCCTGCCTTCCAGCTGAACCTCAAGGACTGTCTGTTTACAAGCAGAGGCCATTTCCTGAGCAGGAGGCACCCAATTCCAACCCTTGATGCAATTTCCCAAACTTCTGAGAGCTGACACAGCCATGTCTGAATTAAAAACGGAGGCGCACATCACTGCTGCACCCAAAGCGGTTTCCTTTTGTAGTGTGTGAGAGGAAGAATGGCTATCCAGGAGGAGCCAATTTCTTGCGTTTCTGCATAAGCCACTGAATGGAAGGAGCAGAAACTCAGAGATGCAATGGGAAATCTCCTTGGAGGATGTCCAATTGTGCTGCAACTCTGTATTTAATATAGCGCAATGGAGACAGAGACACACCACAGAATGATCTGCCTCCACTTGGCTGATCGGAAGGAGGGGGGGTGGAGCAATCCATCATGCAGAGAAACACCGGGCAGCCTCTCCTGTACTTTGGAATTGTATGAGCTTTTAACTATGTAGTCCAATTCATGTCACAAAGCACACAAGTAACGCTCTCACAGTCCACAGTTTGGGAATGATTGCTTTGCACTGTAATCCTATACTTGCTTACTAAGAAGCAATTTTTCTTCTTCCCCCAATAGTGCTTATTCCAAGGTAAGTGTTTGTAAAAACTGCAGTCAAGCAGGGGAATAATTCAGTTTTTTTGGTGGAGGAGAAAGGTATTTACACAAATTTGTGGCTTCAGTTTTTATACTGTGCATTTCGTGTTATACAAAGAGGTATTATGACTACAGCACAATCCATTCAAACAGCAAAGTTATCTATATGTATCCCCAAACAAATCACTTCAATGACTACTCACAATGTGGGGGTCAAATGGACAGTCCCACAAGGTTTGTTGTTTGCAGAACAACTTCGTTGCCCATCTCTGTCCTTAGGAATAATATTTTTTCTTAAAAAACAACACCACAATTATTACATCCATCTGTCACTGGTGAATGTGCAACAGCTTTGTATTTTCTAAGGCACAATTTTAATGAAATGTGTAACTTCCTATCAGACAATCGTATGTTTTAAGATAGACACAATCGTATACAAATGCTTTTGAGTGACAAAAGGAGACATTGTTGCATGTTTGCACAACTGCACATCAAGAACCACCTAGACACATAAATAAATAGTGACACTGTGTCACCCTTAGAAAATATTTATTGCTTACCTAAGAAATGTCCACTATTTCTTTCTGCTAGCCCACCAAGAGATAACCGATGTGCAAATACAGTCACATACAACAAGGAATCTCAATTAATTTTGTTTGTTGCTTTCATATTCTTAAGGCAGCATAAATATATTTTTCCTTTTTGAAGACCATAACTACATAGGATTTCCAATCTCTCGCACCTTTACTCAGCCTGCAGAAGATACCAAAGAATACTGCTCACAAACCACTATTTTACAACCGTAGCACATCAGCTAAATCTAGTGTGCTGCCTCTGATCACCATCCCAGTTCCTTAGGAGTCAGGAAAATGTTAAATCAGAAACACACCCGGTGCAGCTGACTTGACCGGGTTTAAATCCAGATTCAAATATAGCACCCCCTCTCTTTTATTTCTTGCAAAACTTCCATCATTATTGGTCAAGAGGGCTGGTTCTTTAGCTATCTGAAAAGCATGGTTGTTGCTGCTCCTTCCTTGTGGCCGATTCTCATGCTGCTCCAGGACGTAACATTGTGTGCACACCGAGGAGGCTGCATGTGGGGAACGATGTGGCTGCTTCCCATTCCTACACTGGGAATGCGCCAGTGTCAAAGTAACCACATCAGACGCCCACAGTCATAGTACCCCTCCCACATTATGCATGTTACCAGATTGGTGTGGGAATCAATCTGGGTTTAATGATGAAGATCACGCTGCTAAGGGAGCACACAGCCTTGGAAACAGTTGCATCAATGCACTATGAGTTCAGGCTGTCTTCCTAGGCCATTGACTCTTAAGCCTTTGTAGCGCCATTTCCCTTCAGAGTATACGGCTGCAGGCATAAGAGGCAATGTTCCAGGAAGAGCCAACACATGGGGACTGATGCCAGCACTTTATCCCTCCTTGAATAAAAGTGTATGGCCTTGTCCTAAATTTGTGTGCGTGTAAACATACCCAAATCCTAAGCATATTTATTTGGAAGTGCATCTCACCGGTTTTAGCCTAAGGAGCTTGGATCTCAGCCAAAATCATATGATTATTACCATGTATTCATACGGGCCCAGGTTCCCCCTTTAAATTCGATATATGCAGAATCATTGGGGTACAGAAGTTTAACCAACTCTGTGGCAACTTTACTGGAAGCAGGAATATATAAATGAGTCGTCCCAAAGTTGTACCCATCACTGAATACTCCAGCGTCAAGCATGCCCACTCTCTGCAGAATGAAAGGCTCTACAGCCCCAAATTCCAGAGTGTCTGTCCTGTTTTCTTCAGGCTGTGTGTCTCCATCCCTGCCGCCCACAAACGTCTTTCCCTACAACCGAAAATTAGCAGCCTTGGCTTGCAGTGTTGCTCCACCAACCTTGCAGAAAGCATTTGCAGTGGCCGTTCTATGATATTTATCTCAAGATGGACTTCTTAACGGTTATTCTAGGGTGCGCCAAATCCTGCATCCTCAGGAGCCATTTTATTTTCCATACAGCAAGTGGTCGGAGGTGCTAGGTGTTTATGGGTCAGACTCCATAAAAAGTTACATCCCCCCCTCCCATAGGAGCAACACTTTCACTTTCACAATTATGGTACACACGTGCCGAGGCATAGACGGACCATCGCACACCAGCACCAAGGGAGAGAAATAACGTCACATCTTCACGGAGCTGCATTGAGATTGGGCTAGATGATGATTTAGGTACCAACTTCCCTCTGCATCTAAGTCAAACCCTGGGCACATTTCGATTAAAACAGGGTACAGCTACCAGTGGCTGGTAAATTGCTTCAGAAAGTAGATTCATCTCATGGGCTGCCAGTCGACCTGTTGGGTATTTCTACAACCTTGAATGCATGTATTATTTAAGCTTAGAGAAAACACTTCATTCGGTAAAATAGTTTGTTATTACAAGAAACATCATTTTATGCACACAACAGATGGCATGACTGTCAGTCCAATCCTAGGCATGTCTGCTCAGAAGTAAACCCCACTGAGTTCAGTGGGTCCTATTCCCAAGTCCATGGGTATAGGATTGAACATGCAATCACTTGCTCACTCAATTTCCTGACTTCCACTGAAAGTAATATAGTAAAATGTTTCAGAATTACAGGATGTTTGGATCAAACTAGTGTCTTTGTATATATATAAAAAAGTTACCACTTCAGAAACAAAACAGGGGGGAAACTGCTTTCTGTCATGCTGTTAAAATTTTCTTCTTCTTCAAATGCAACTAATTAGATTTACACATTGGCATATTATAGAACATCTACAAAAAGTAGTGTAAACTTAACATTCTCAGTTCCTAGTCGTATTAGAAACAGGACAGGTTTATTGCATCTTTATTTCCTTGTTACTTTCATAAGAGCAGATTCGGAAACGAAACGTAACTGATAATATGGAACACGCACGCTCCTGTGAGAGGGAAAAGGAGCTGAAAGTCCAGAGATGAACGTCATACATGTAATGTAAGTGACTTAAGAAAGGGGGTGGAATATGTATTGCATTGGAAAGTAGCCGATGTAGCCTTTTGTGCCTGCCTTGCAAAGATGAGATGAGAGCTATCAAGTCCATGGATATAAGCTCTGACAAGAGATTGTCCCGAAGAAGCCCCAGGAACAGAACAACAGCGACAATCCTTCTTGGAGAACACATCTGCACGCAAGACTGAAATCCATGTCACAAAGTCGTGGGCTGACCAGCGGCTATAATTAAGACAAAAACGGGTAGAAAAAGTGAAAGCGCTTACGCCATTCTTCACGTCAGGAAGCAACAAATGATAAAAATAATATGAAGATGATGGGACGTGGGTGGCGCTGTTGGTAAAACCTCAGTGCCTAGGACTTGCCGATCGCATGGTCGGCGGTTCGAATCCCCGCGACGGGGTGAGCTCCCGTCTGTCGGTCCCAGCTCCTGCCCACCTAGCAGTTCGAAAGCACCCGTTTCCGTGTGCTGCGCTGGTGCTGGCTCGCCAGAGCAGCTTCGTCACGCTGGCCACGTGACCCGGAAGTGTCTCCGGACAGCGCTGGCCCCCAGCCTCTTAGGTGAGATGGGCGCACAACCCTAGAGTCGGACACGACTGGCCCGTACGGGCAGGGGTACCTTCACCTTTTTAATATGAAGATGATGGAGTTTTTGGAGCTAGACGACCTAACCGGAAGAGTCCGTGACCAGAAGGAGGAGGAGTATCAGGAAGAATGGACAAAATTTTATGATTTTTAGTTAAATATTTAAAGTTAAATTAACTGGAAATAGCTTGCAGATACTTAATTGGCTTAGGGTTTTATATAAGTTAAGTGATGAATTAATATGTTTAATTTTAAAATGAAAAGTTATAAGGATGTTAATGTTTAAGTTAAATGTCATAAGAACTTTGATTTGGAAAACCGTTAAAAGGATATGCATGGAAATTCAACCAAGGGGAAGCGAGGAAGTCACTTAACAATGTTAATAAGTGTAATTTTAATAAGGCTATGATCTAAATTTGTTTGTTTATTTGTTTGTTTGTTTTGTTTATAATTTTGTGAAAATTAATAAAATTTAAAATAAAAATAACAATAAAATTTTATTTATATCCCACCCTCCCCAGCCAAAGCTGGGCTCAGAGTGGCTAACAACAATAAAAGTAACACAGCTTTCTAAAATCAATTCAGAATCAAATTAATGGCAACTGCAATGTATTTTTTGCGTACAAGCATCCTAAGACCTCCTTCCTTCTGTATTTCCAATCTTAAACAGCCGAAGAGAGGGTGCAGTGTACCACCGAGGCTTATATGGCTGTGTACATTTAAAGGAGATGCTGGAATTGAGGCTCTGAGATGGATAAACTACAGTTCCCAGAATTCTTTGGGAGAAGCGATGTGCTTTATATGCGTGGCTCGATGCAGTTACTCAACCAGGGTTGAGAGATCAGGAGCGATGCACACCCTTCTCCCACTTCTCCATGGCTCCCCCCCAGCTCCCCACTAAGTGAGCACACTAGCGTTTCCTTAGCATTGCAAAAATCTCAGCAGTAGTCAGCAACTGGAAACGGGAACGTGGTTTTCCGTCAAATCGCCGTCTACTTTCTGTCCACCCTTTCGCAGAACAGGCTATAGCAGTTAGAGTCGAAGTCAAAGGAGAATGTGGGATTGAAATAATTAAAGCCACACGTCTAAATGATAATTTATGCATTGTTCATTTCATTATTTACGACAGTTCCTGGCAAAAACGTGCGACTCCCTGGTGCAAATTGACTGTGAAACTATACAACAGTGCCCTCTACCTTTCAGGATGTGGAAGTGTTTCCCACCGCAAAAAGCAGCTTCTTAGAATTAGTTTTTTTCCTTCTCATTCTCTTTATAACAACACACTTTTTCTTCCCCGGAAAGAGGAGAGGTACATCTGTTGTGGTTCCCTTCTTTACTCAAAGCATCTGAAGGAGCGTCTCCACCCCCATCGTTCTGCCCGGAACTGAGGTCCAGCACCAAGGGCCTTCTAGTGGTTCCCTCACTGTGAGAAGCAAAGTTAGAGGGAACCAGGCAGAGGGCCTTCTCGGTAGTGGCACCCGCCCTGTGGAACGCCCTCCCACCAGATGTCAAAGAGAAAACCAACTACCAGACTTTTAGAAGACATCTGAAGGCAGCCCTGTTTAGGGAAGCTTTTAATGTTTGATGCATTACTGTATTTTAATATTTTATTGGAATATATTAATATTTTGATGGAAGCCCAGCCAGATGGGCGGGGTATAAATAATAATAATAATAATAATAATAATAATAATAATAATAATAATAAGCATGCATCATGGAATGTGAGCAGCCATACCCACTGAGCCAGCTGGAACAGCCTGCCTTCTGCTAAATTTGCAAATGAGCTAAAAGGTAAAGGTAAAGGTACCCCTGCCCATACGGGCCAGTCTTGACAGACTCTAGGGTTGTGCGCCCATCTCACTCAAGAGGCCGGGGGCCAGCGCTGTCCGGAGACACTTCCGGGTCACGTGGCCAGCGTGACAAGCTGCATCTGGCGAGCCAGCGCAGCACACGGAAACGCCGTTTACCTTCCGCTAGTAAGCGGTCCCTATTTATCTACTTGCACCCGGGGGTGCTTTCGAACTGCTAGGTTGGCAGGTGCTGGGACCGAGCAACGGGATTCGAACCGCGACCTTTCAATCGGCAAGCCCTAGGCGCTGAGGCTTTAACCCACAGCGCCACCCGCGTCCCTCTGGGGACAAATGAGCTAGGCAGTGCTAAAAGATCAGTGCAAACAGGTGAATGCAGAGAGGCAGGAACAGCCTCTGTCCCTTCCTGGCCTTTTGCACTGAATTTTGAAAGGAATCAGAGCGGTTTCTTCTGCCATTCCCCACAGCCTGTGCTCCAGAGCCAGTTTACAAACTCACAGTAGTGGAATATCAAGACTGCAACCTTCCTGCAGCTACGAGTATCTTGTGGGTTCACAGAACATGCCAGCATCCCCTCTTCTACGTGTCAGTGGTAATATTTTATTTTACCACGATCAGCCTCTTAATATCCCGTTAGCTCTAGCATTTAGTACTGTTGGTTTCGCAGTGCTAGATTATTTCAGCTCTCGGTACGACTAACCAGGAAAAAGATCGGGAGGCAAAACCTACAATCTCTAAGTCACTCTTTGTGAGGATCACTGCTCATTGTGGTGCGGTAATGAGTGCCAGACCAGGACTGGGGAGACCCAGGGTGAGATTAACCGAGTGACACTGAGCCCATCATATTCTCTCAGCCTAACCGACCTCATTGGAAATAAATTAAAATACTGTCCAATAGCACCTTAGAGACAAACTAAGTTTGTTCTGGGTATAAGTTTTGTACAGAAGTAAAGCTTATACCCAGAACAAACTTAGCTGGTCTCTAAGTGCTACTGGACAGTTTTTTTATTTATTTCGACTGCGTCAGACCAACACGGCTACCTACTTGAATCTACCTCATTGGATCACTGTGGAATAAAATGGGGGTCTGGGGCAGGCAGGAGGCAGGGAGAAAGAACCATATTTCCTTGAAGGAAAGGTGCAAGGCTAATATAGTATACGGTGTTGAAAAAAACCACACACACACAGTAAATATCACGCTGAGACCAGTCCCTGGTACTTACTTCTGGATCTGATGTAACAGTCATTGCAGTTGAGAAGACCACTTCTAATCCGGACGTCTGTTCCGCTTGCTGCATCTCCAAGTTGTCCCTTGCAGATTCCACACTATTTATTGACAAAGAGTGGATATGATTAAAGTTAAATAATACATTCATCGGGATATCTAGCGATATGCTGTAGGCCGCCCAGAGTGGCTGGGGAAACCCAGCCAGAAGGGCAGGGAATAATAATAATAATAATAATAATAATAATAATAATAATAATAATAATAATACCCAAACTATGTTGCTTTTATACCAGGTTAATTGTCGTGGTGAAAATCCACCAAGAATCCTGGGATCTGTACTTTGGTGAGAGTTTTCACTCTGACATATCCCTTCCCTTACTCCCTATCACATGACTACTGTTCCCAGAATTCCCTATAAATTAAATGATAGCTTAAGTCAGTGGTGTGGATACGCCATCTGGGTGTGCATCTTTATTTGGGTTAAAAAGAGAAAAATTCTTTCCATAGCTCCTCGCCACATCTTCACATTATCTCCAAATGTTAGGGGCTGGACTGAAGAGGAACGGTGGAGACCGCCTCCCCTTCTTCTGAACCTTCTTGAGAACAGGAGGACAGTATAGATTTAGAACAGTGGTTTGCAGAAGGGCACAGTTCAGAGGCTGCAGAGGGGAGAAGCTGGGAAATATTGGGAGAGGAACAGCAGGAAGAAGAAGCAGCACCAGGGGAGAGACAGCTGACAGACTCATTGTCTCTGGAAAGCATTCCTGACCACCCCCTCTCCCAGGACCAGGCGTGCATTGAGGGTACTAGAACAGAGAGCTCAGAGGCAGAAAGCTCAGATTAGCCGACACAGGGGTGATGTAGAATAGGAGAAACGGAGGGGGTGGGACTTAACTTGGAGCAACGCCATTATCTTAGGGAGACTGCCTTCCTTCGTTGCTCACTGTGAATTATTGAATAAATTGCTTGGTAAGAACTTTTATTGTTTATCTGCTTCTTGGCTGCCACCCTGGGAGGGATCGGATTCCCTGAAGCCTGACATCAATGCAGGAGAATTTCTAGTGGTGCATTGTCTGGAGTAGCTTGCCACATAGACGGCTCGGGATGGTGGAGTGTCCATCACCAGAAAGAAACAGAAGGTATAAGCACCTGCAAGGCAAGTTGCACTAAACCTCCCAACTGTGCGGAAGGGAACTGCCATGCAAAAGACAACGGGCAGGCCATCCTTTAGGGAGAATACGGTACTGAGGAATCCTACCCTGAAGCACTGAATATGGAAATAAAGACCGAGTGTTTCGATAATCATGGCTGCGCCTTTCCCGAGAGGCTGTCCGCAGCTAGAGCAGAGTTTCTTTCCGCTTACAGACCTAAAAGAAAGAAGAAACGACAAAACCAGATTCAAACATTTCCTCCCATGCTGTGGCCCCCGTGAAAATCCTCTCACTCACAAAGCTGATGTTTGGCACGGGAGGAAACCTGCCGTTGCCCTGAAAAGGCTGGTTTGTCCTCCAACTAGCCAAAGCGTCGAGGACCTAGCGAGTGCTCAAACCATTCATGGCCAAACCAGCCATGGCTGAGGATCTCTCACACCCCAAAGGTGGGGCTCCTCTCCTACATTTTGAGAAAAACTGTACTAAGGTGACATTATGGACAGTGACTGCCTGTGATTGGCAAGGGTAGCGCATCTCCTGGAAAAGAGAGACATCTTCACCAGAGTAGCCCAATGGACAATGAACATACTGCACCGCAGTTCATTTCGGTTCTCTGTCAGCTGGATGGCACAGGAAGGAACTGTTTCTGGCTGAGACACCCACAGGACTACAACCATCATAGCTACAGCATGAGTTATTCCTCTTAGGCAAGCGCCATGTGGATGTGCTCCATATTCGTGGTGGTTTGATAGGATCCTGTGCCATTGAAATTCTACTCAGTATTGATCCAGATTCCAATGTATAGTTAGCAGAATAACAGCTTAAACACATTGCAGGATTCCTCAAGAAATAAACCTGAGGCAATTGTATTTCATCCAGCAGAGCTTTACTGCTACTGAAGGCAAATGAGCATAATGGTCACAAATCCAATACATTCAGGATTGGCACTGTCCGTAAGAAATCCAGTTTCAGCAGACTTAACTTAAACTTACAATAGCTTATAGTAAGTCTAAACCTTAACACTAAGCATACTATGTACAGAACACCACACCAGAAGGAAGAGAGATAGAAAGAGAAAGTGAAACCCAGGCTCCTTCTGGCCTTACTTTTATAGTCAGCATGACCATGACAGAAAGAGATAACAGAACCAGTTTAAGCCAGCTGTATTCAGCTTCTCTGAAGGAATAACCCAAACAGCATGAACCTTCTGCTTGTTTCTTTCACACAGAGAAGCTTCCAGAAGCTTCCAGAACCCTCCTGAATTAAGTAGAATAGGAAAGATCTCTTCACATCAGATCAATACTTTTTGCACTAATAAATGCAAACTGACATCCTAAGACAACTACTTCCTTTATGTTTTGCCTCCACTCCACATGGCATTCGAACAACCTCCCATTATCTGTAGAAGCAGCTTCTAGATATTTTCCAGGGTAATAAAATACTTTTGGGAACGTCTTAATCTATGCCACCACTCGTACGCCTCAAAACTGCGCTCACCAGTTAGGAAGTTTTAGCTGGAATGAAAACTCTGTAAAGCAGCTCATTAGTTTGTGAAAATCCTTATTGACCTTTTGTACCTGTTGGGTGACTGGCTTTGAGTTGTAGGAGAACAGGGTGATGATGATGATCGCCCAGCTCCAGAGCTCTCTCGACAGCCTGCCCTGAAACAGAAACAAAACAGGAGGGAACTCTGGTGAAGCAAGTCCAGCCCCACAACAGAGAGTCAGGAGGGATCCTAATGGGGCAGGAAATGGCACTGAGCCTCAAGCACTGAGCGGCCTCTAGGAAGCCATTCTGTTGCCTCAGGCAGGGCTGGTGCATTGACAAGAGTGAGGATTCATGCTGCAGGCCTGAGTGGTCTGGTGCAGGCTTTGGAGGTTGAATAAGAACATCTCTCCCTGCAACTTGTGGTGAACTCTTCTTGCACATGGTTTCTTCAAATGGAAACAGGGGAGTCACAACTGGGTAAAAAAACGCCTCCGTGTATAGTCAGAATTATCATTGTAGGACAAAAGCGTGGCTAGTATTCCGCAGCCGAGAAGGATTGAATTAACTCATAATGATAATAAGGGGAAAAGTAAAGGTGAAGAATCTCTGGACGGTTCAGTCCTGTCAAATTTGACTATGGGGTGTGGTGTTCATCTTCACTTTCAGGCCGAGGGAGCTGGCGTTTGTCCACAGACAGTTTTCCAGGTCATGTGGCCAGCATGACTAAACTGCTGCTGGTGCAATGGGACACCATGACGGAAACCAGAGCGCACGGAAACGTTGTTTACCTTCCCGCTGCAGTGGTACCTATTTATCTACCTGCACTGGTGTGCTTTTGAACTGCTAGGTTGGCAGGAGCTGGGACAGAGCAATGGGAACTCACCCTGTCACAGGGATTCAAACCGCCGACCTTCTGATCGGCAAGCCAAGAGGCTCCAGTCATGTCATGCTCCTCTCCTCACTGCTCCATGCTCTGAAGCTGTACAATCCAGGAACATTTTACCACATGACCCATTGTTTCTACGGTCTACCCCCAGATGTCACACTCCCTTCCCAGAGTGGCTTACTTGTTGTTCTCGCTTAGGGAAGGGTCAAACACGAAACTTAAGGCAACCTCTTTCTCTTCCCCGGGGTCTCTGTCTCAGTGTGGTCTGTGATATCATAGCTGATTGTATGCTCTCATACTATGCTGATTAAGTCATGGAAGCCTCTGTTACCTACCTCCTTTTAATAATAATAATAATAATAATAATAATAATAATAATAATAATAATAATATTTATTGGCATTTTCATTTTCAAAAAACACTGTGTGATTTTACATATCTTTACATTACCTATGGGACGTGGGTGGCGCTGTGGGTTAAACCACAGAGCCTAGGGCTTGCCAATCAGAAGGTCAGCGGTTTGAATCCCTGCGACGGGGTGAGCTCCCGTTGTTCGGTCCCTGCTCCTGCCAACCTAGCAGTTCGAATGCACGTCAAAGTGCAAGTAGATAAATAGGTACCACTCCAGTGGGAAGGTAAACGGCGTTTCCATGCGCTGCTCTGGTTCACCAGAAGCGGCTTAGTCATGCTGGCCACATGACCCGGAAGTTGTACGCTGGCTCCCTCGGCCAATAAAGCGAGATGAGCGCCACAACCCCAGAGTCGGTCACGACTGGACCTAATCATCAGGGGTCCCTTTACCTTTACCTTTACATTACCTATATTCTGACTCTCTCGAGTCAATGACTTCCCCCCCCATCCCTCCCAACCCAACTGCCTTTCTAACTTCCAATTATAATTTCATCCGCATTTCTCATTCCCCCCATCTACCTTTACTTTTGCTTTGAGATTCCGCATCATTGTAAATAAGTTTCTAATTTTAACTGACAAACCTTTAAGCCGGTCCTGTTAGTGTTGTTAAGTGTTGACAACTCTGTTACCTACCTCCTCATTTCTCTTGCGGAACTGACCGGCAGACCTAAATTATGTTCCGATGGAAAGTTTTTCTGTTTTCGTGTCTGAAACACGTGGGCTCTGTTTACTTAATAACTGCTGATTCCACGTAACATCTGGAAAGAGAGATTCAAATTAGGCAAACATAATAATAATAATAAAAGGGGTTGTTTGACAGGGGACATTTCTGAATACGCACACACACTCCAAAGAAAGACACCCTTAAGCTTTGAAAAAGACATATAGCTACATTGCTACGGTTGTCGAGCATGAAGAGGGTCATTTTTCGAGCCTTTTGCACTTCCAGAAAACCTCTTTATTGAGCGATTTGTTTCCAGGGAGTTTATGGGACGTTCCCTGAAGCAACTGTCATTCAGGTACACACCCAGAGCATTTCTCCTCACTTTCCTTATCACAAGGTGTCTGGCTTATTTTGCAAGCACGCTTGTTATGTACCAAATTCACTTTAAATGTGGAAGCTGAATTTCATGGTACGTGATTGAATTCCACAAGTGAAATAGCAACAAGAGCCTGGAAGCACTCTTATTGTGAAGGCTATGCTGAAAGTTCTCCGAAGATAATTTCTGAGCAGTGGCTTCTTTTTCTTTTAAACCCCGCATTGTATAAAGAGGTTGGATTCTGCACAAAACAACTCATAGTATTTTAATTCTTTCAATCTCCTCTAAATTTAACAATACATGCAATGCCAGAAAGGAGAATAGTAGATTTTATTCTCACTGCAAACGTAGTTTCAATTAGTTAGGAGAGAGTTGTTGTTTTGTAAAGAGATTTAAAAAGCCTTCACATACCCTGGCACAGTGGCAAAGTCATCTCAGTGGGCTGTAGACGTTCTGTCCTGGACATCTGTGGGTCTTGCTCATTTCCTCTCTGTTTACTGGTTCTTATATATTCTTCTTTATTTACAGTGCTGATAAACGTAAAAAATAAAAAGGTAGGAACAATATGGAGCGATTTCATAATCGCATTTGAAATTAGGCTTGATGATGCCACAGCTACCCATATGGGAAGGCTCAGGTAGCACACTCTTCCTATGATAAAGTATTGCATCTGAGATGATATGAAAATCTGTTCGCTCTTAGCCCTGGTGGCAGCTGTTTTGTACATGAAAACCAATCAGTGATGTTATCAGGTTGAATCCTGACAAGACAGAAGTACTGTTTTGGGGGGATAAGGGGCGGGCTGGTGTCATTTTGGACTCACAGCTGTCCATGGAGGCGCAGGTCAATTCTGCATCCAGGGCAGCTGTTTACCAGCTCCATCTGGTATGCAGGCTGAGACCCTACCTGCCTGTGGACTGTCTTGCCAGAGTGATGCATGCTGGACTGTCTTGCCAGAGTGATGCATGCTCTAGTTAGCTCCCGCTTGGACTACTGCAATGCGCTCTATGTAGGGCTACCTTTGAAGGTGACTTGGAAATAGCAACTACAGTGGTACCTCAGGTTACATACGCTTCAGGTTACAGATTCTGCTAACCCAGAAATAGTGCTTCAGGTTAAGAACTTTGCTTCAGGATGAGAACAGAAATCATGCTCTGACGGCGCAGCGGCAGCAGGAGACCCCATTAGCTAAAGTGGTGCTTCAGGTTAAGAACAGTTTCAGGTTAAGTACAGACCTCCGGAACGAATTAAGTACTTAACCTGAGGTACCACTGTAATCCAGAATGCAACAGCTAGACTGGTGACTGGGAGTGGCAGCCAAGACCATATAACATTGGTCCTGAAGGACCTACATTGGCTCGAACTACATTTCTGAGCACAATTCAAAGTGTTGGTGCTGACCTTTAAAGCCCTAAAAGGCCTTGGTCCAGTATACCTGAAGGAGTGTCTCCATCCTCATCATTCAGCCTGGACACTGAGGTCCAGCGCCGAGGGCCTTCTGGCAGTTCCCTCACTGCAAGAAGTCAGGTTACAGGGAACCAGACAGAGGGCTTTCTCAGTAGTGGCACCCACCCTGTGGAACCCCCTCCCATCAGATGTCAAGGAAATAAGCAACTATCTGACTTTTAGAAGGCATCTGAAGGCATCCCTGCTTAGGGAAGTTTTTAATGTTTAATGCTGTATTGTGTTTTTAACATTCTGTTGGGAGCTGCCCAGAATGGCTGGGGAAACCCAGCCAGATGGGTGAGGTATAAATAAATTATTATTATTATTATTATTATTATTATTATTATTATTATTCTATCTAATGGCAAACATGTATGTGTCAACCTGTCCACAGAGCATCTTAGGATAGGGCAGTGACACTGGGCAAACACACATAGCACAGGCTTCCTGTTTCCAGGCTTCTCTGTCATATCCAAAATAAAACTTCCATATCTGAAATTAGACTTCGGTTACCTTCCCTAGTGGGAAGATGGCTCAAGCGGTTTGTGCATATATTCTTTTGGAAGAAACACCTGTGCAGGCACACCCCATGAAATGTTATTTCTTTTACACACCTCATATTCTCCTTCCATGGTTCATATTCTTTGCTTTTTGAAAAGGGAACACCATCTTGCTCAGAAAATAAATTCTTCCGAGTTCTATCTTCCTTTTGCTTATCTTCCTCTTCAGAGTAGCTCACGTCCACCATATTCTACAAAAAATAGAAATAAAGACACTCATTTTTTTAAAGAAAGAACAGCCTATTTATTTAACAAAGAAAAAATGGGGGGGGGTTTATTTAAAAAAAATTAAAAGTACATTATACTTTCAGGATTTGACAGAGATGGCAAAAAAAAAGTGTATTTAAAACTTTTTATCCCTTCACCTCCAACAAGTTGTGCCATGGTGTTATAGTCTCATTTGATTTCACCCATTGAACAATGCCACACTACTGCCCCACCAAATCACCCTCAACGTCCAGCTATTTCAATGTCTGAACTTGTTTGGCCAGCTTCTCATTTCGGACATAGCTATATAATTCTTCCATCGCACATTCATCCTCAGCTTTCCAAAGATTCTTTCCACGAAGAGAAGGCTAAATCCCAAGTCATTTTAATTCAATGCTGCTTTCAAAGCAGACACTGCAACCAGATCCCTGAACTGCTGCGCTTGGCGGAGTTTGGATGACGCAGAGATGACACCCACCCACCCCGATCTGACTCCTTTTTTTGCCATCCCATATTTCCCCCCTCGTTTCACCAGCAAACTCACCACAGTCCCATTTCCATCCGTCACAGAGGAAGACGTGGACAGGGGTTCTGCAGAGCTCGAAGTGACTGTGAATGGGACCACAGTGTCCTCAATGATCTTGCGTTCCTAAAGGAGAGGCAAGGATGTCGAAGGAACGAAATGGTGAAAGTTTGGCAACAAAACCCAGCTGCATCATTAGGAACCAGGCGATAGAAGACTCAAATGTGCCCTTTCCCGATTTTCCCCCGGGGAGGAACGGCATGCAGGGAAGAGGCACAGGGAAGAGGCTGGAAGTCAGATGTCAATGAACATTTTATAAAATAATGCGTTTTAATAATAAATGTAATAAAATAAAATTGGGCCGAAAAACAAAGGATGTAACTCCCCTGGCTGGATCCCATCATAGTCCAGCATTGATTGATTGATTTTAAATTGTTGCTACTGAGAAATTTCCACGGATAACAAAAGCACATATACCATCTAAAAGCTCAGCATTTTGTTTCTAATAGCAGCCAATCTACAGTGGTGCCTCGCAAGACGAAATTAATTCATTCCGCGAGTTTTGTCGTCTTGCGATTTTTTTCGTCTTGCGAAGCACGGTGTCAGGAAAGTTTTGGAAAAGCTTCAAAAATCACCAAAGTCTTCAAAAACCTCAAAAAAGGCTACCACACCGCGTGCTATGAGTTGCTCCTCAAAGTCAAGTCGCAACTGTATTAACGGTGTTAAGAAAAAGGAAACAAACTTGCAAGACGTTTCCGTCTTGCGAAGCAAGCCCATAGGGAAAATCGTCTTGCGAAGCAGCTCAAAAAACAAAAAACCCTTTCGTCTAGCGAGTTTTTTGTCTTGCGAGGCATTCGTCTTGCGAGGTACCACTGTAATGCCTTTGGGAAGCTTACAGGTAAGGTAAGGGGATTCATTCTGATGTGTTTGCAAGGAGACTGGATGATACAGTGCTGAAACCCCACACTTCCCAGTGCACTTTCCTTATTGCAAAAAATCCAATCTTACGGGGAAGTGGGGTCATTGTGCAAAACCTCCCAGTCAACTCTTAACTGAACAACCTGTCCGTATGTGACTGAAACGCACCTGAAAAGAGCGAGAGTCTGGCAAGAAACCCGGTTTGGAAATAAATGGTGCTGCTTTTTTTAAAAAGCTACTGCCCAGATCATAAGAAGTCATAGTTCTGCTCTCTTCCGTGCTGGTCAGGCTGCAAGTGGAGCTATGTGGCCAGTTGTGGGGTCACATTTGAAGGAGGACATTGGCCAACTGAAGTGTGTCTAGGAAGAGGGTGACCAGGAAGATGAGTGGTTCAGAAACCATTTCCTGTGAGGAACCGCTGAAAGAGTTCGGTATATTTAGCTTGGGAAAAAGAAGGTTTGGTGAGCGGATGGTGGAGGGGGGCAGCTAAAGAGTTGGACTAGAACCAAGGGCTGGAAAACTGCAGACAAGTAGGTGCCGGCTAAACTGTAGGATAAACTTCTTAACAGGAAAAGCTGTTTAACGGCGGAACAGACTGCCTCACTGTGGGAATGTCGAGGAAGGTAGGAGAGGATATATCGTGTTTTGATATTATCCCTCCTCACTCACGCTAGTGAGCGAACAGCAGAGCACATTCCCTTTCAACTTATTGGAAGCAAGTTGATGATTCGTTAGAATCCTTTAATTAAGCAGTCCAGTCTGGCTTGTTCCTGGTTAAGTTTCCCCTTCATTTCCCTCTTAAAATAATACACAAACACAGTCTTCTTTAAAAGTAAGAATTAAATTTTTACTCACATTCAGTTCACAGCAGTGATATCTGAAGGCAAGCCTTGTCTTGTGGTTACAGTGAAAAACTGAAGTCGAGCTACATCTCAAGTTTTGTGGTCTCCATCCTTTGTGAAGGTGAGGCCATGCGCGGCTAAGAGCCAGGAGAGTGAGAGTCAAGAGAGAGGATGGTTGCGTGGCCAACCCTTTTACAGTGGTGCCGAAGACAAAAAAAGGAAATCCGTTCCGCGAGTCTCTTCGTCTTTGCGGTTTTTTCGTCTTGCGAAGGCAAGCCCATTAGCGGCTTAGCGCTATAGCGGCTTGCGGATCAGCTGATAAGCGGCTAGCGGGCTTAGCGGATCAAGCTTGAAATTAAGCGGCTTAGCGACAAGCTGTTAGCGGAGAGATCAGCTTTAAGCGCTAGCGGATCAGCTATAACTTCGGCTTGGGAAAAAGGGGGTAGGGAAAAAACCCTGCAGGAACTCGCAAGACATTTTCGTCTTGCGAAGCAAGCCCATAGGAAATTCGTTTTGCGAAGCACCTCCAAAACAGAAAACCCTTTCGTCTAGCGGGTTTTCCGTCTTGCGAGGCATTCGTCTTGCGGGGCACCACTGTATCTGGTCAGCTAGGGTCACACCCATCTACCTGATCACACACAGGGAGAGGAAGCTCCACAGCAGGTATGACAGGAAGTCCTCCCTGTCTGGAGCCACATCCCCCTGTGTGTCCATTCTAGGCAACAGGAAAATGTTGTACTTGACTGCTCTCCCACAATCAGGAATGGTGGGCTCTCCTTTACTGGAGAGGGTAGGGGCAGCCATCTGCCAGGGACACTCTAGTTGCATCCTGTATTGCAGATCCTGCTCTAAGCAAGGAGTTAAGACTAGCTGACTTCTGAGGACCCCATGATTCTGGCAAAAAACACACACACCAAAAAACAACCCAACCCAAGGACAAGGCAAATTAAACACTGCATTACAGTCACCATGATAAAGGTACAGCCACATCAAAGCTGTGTCTCTGCCTTCGTACCTCCTCATAGTATTTCCGCTCCTCCTCTTCAACTTCCTTTTGAGCCTTTTCCCATTCTTCTTTCAACTTGTCCTGCTCTTTCTGATACCTTTCCTGCAGAGAGTTCCAACACAAGCTGTTAACTCGGGAATTACGGGAGGAGGGAAATTGTTTCCTCAACTGGCTCCAAAGAAGAGCTGCAAATGAATATTGATTTGGAAATGCAACTGCTCTTTGATCAGTAAAAGAAGAAGAAGCAAGACTTGCTAGAATCGAGGATTCCTTCAGGGCGAAAAAGCCATAAAAAAGATATTTGAAAAACCTTAAAATTTATCATAAACCCCCCCCCCAGGAGTCGCTACCCTTCCTCTTCCATAATGCCTGGTTCAGTTTTTGACATTTCATTTGCCTGCGTTACAGGATGTGGAATGAGAGTTGGGGAAAATACACTACAATGGCATAAGGAGGGACGAAGTTTATTGACTTACGCACTGAGGAAAGAGAAATATGGAAAAGGGAGGAAGCAGAAAAACTGATACAGGGAAGAACAGAGAAGGCGAAGGATATACAGGGTGAACATTGACTATTTGTTTCAGAAAGTTGCTTGTCTGTTTGCTGTGCATTTGGACATCTCTTATGATATTGTAAACAAATTTTACGTGATGGTTCCTGAGATCACGTAGCAGGTTTTTGTCTATGTTTGGATAAAATGGGCTACTATTTGGAATCAAGATGGTGGACTGAACCTTTCAAAATTGCACTGATTTTAAGCGCTGATTTCAAAACTGCACTTTTTTTTTGTTTCATTGTTTCTTAGAATTCCCAAGAAACTGTGGGTATGAGGGTGCTAGTATAGATGCAATAGTGGGTGATAAAGATGGCACTCAGGTATGAAAAAGCTGAAACATTCTGCTTTACTTTTCACAAAGTTTTAGTGCCTTAGTCCTTCCTCCTCCAATGACTGTAACATCAGCTATAGTTCTATGAGATCTTTTGGTGTGGGCAAAGGAGAAGACTCAGTGCTGTAAGGAAAATCATCTAACTTTTAGAAATACCCACTAAAATTAAAGCTAGATAATATATTTTCACAGTCCCTCGTTCAACCTTCAATTTTATATTCATCTGAAATCATAAGGAAGCATGGCTCTGACATATTTGATTAGCAGCTGATCAAATTTTGATTGCTATCTGAAACAAAATCCATTCTCAGCCATAAAACAGAAGACAAAGGAGGAGGGAGGGAGGGAGGGAGGGAGGGAGGGAGGGAGGAGGGAGGGAGGGAGAAATAACAAAAAAATCCGCTATACTTGGAAACATAGGATATACATTTTCATTTGGCTAGGTTTGCATCCGAGTTTAACTGAGGTTCATAGATATATTGACTTTGGCAGTAATCTAATCAGGATAAACTGCTGCCAGTAAAATTTTAATGAAAGATGAAGAACTATGTCAGCTTATAAGATAAACAGACAACGTATAAAGGTCTTAAGTGGAGAAGATGACAACTAGCCAAGTAGTTGATCGTTCTAGAGTGGAATTATTTTCTAAAAAATATATTCTCAATGAATACCCATCTTCTGAATTAAAAAAGTAACCCTTCAAATCGTATTCATTTCCCAACATCCCTATGCCTAGCCTTTAAAATGTGGATCAATAAAATGCATATCATTAACACCACTACGTTGCACTTCTGCTGAGAGTTTTGTATGCTTTTCTCTTTCATGGAAAAATCTGGGAGCCAGTCAGGGTTTCTAGATGAATGGGGAGTCAAAGGATTATGTGAATAATAAGGACATGTGGCTCAAGTTTTAAGGAAAACTTCTCAACTATGGAAAAGTAGACTTGGGAGAAATTTCAGAAGCCACGAGAGTCCTCGAAAACCAGGTGGGATACAAATGTAATAAACAAATAAGGATGGGAGGTACCTGAAGTACACGTTCCTGTTCATGCTGCCATCGTTCTTGTCGCTTACGCTCCTCCTCTGGGTCCCAAGACCAGCAACCAAAGCGCTGAAATAAAGTTGATTGATACCATTAAAGGCTAGGAATACATATCAGAAATAAACTGCTTTCAACGTTTATTATTTTAAAACACACACACACAACCAAATTTTTCTGAAGATGTTTAAAATAGACACACACAGACCAAAAAAGCCTGAAGCATTTTCTTTGGGAATAATAGGAACAGAGGTCCCCCAAAAGTTGGTTAAATTGTTTATGTATGCCATGGCCGCATCCAGAATTCTGTGCCCACAGAAATGGAAAGAAGTGCAGTGGTACCTCAGTTGTCAAACGCAATCTGTTCTGGAAGACAATTTGACTTCTGAAACGTTTGACAATCGAGGCGCAATGGGAGGTCGGCAATTCCATTGAGAAAATGGAGAAATGCACCTCGGAAGCCGTTCGACTTCCAAGGCACGTTTGAAAACGGAAGCATTCACTTCCGGGTTTTCAGCGTTCAGGTTCTGAATCGTTCAGCTTCTGACATGCTTGAAAACCAAGGTTCCACTGTACCAACGGTAGAGGAGTGGACTTTGAAATTACTGGACTATGTGGAAATGGCGAAAATACGAGGGGAGGGGAAACCTCTCAAATATATTCATACATACACATCATCTCTATCCAGTAAGGGACAAGGAAAGTTCTACCTATGGAAGTTGGCTTCTGCGTGAGCAACCAGCGTGGGGACAAATATGCCCAGAATGCAATTTCCACTAGCCCCATTGTCATTGTTCAAGATGTGGACCCATATATGTTACACGTCAACAGAGGAGTGCTGGGACCAATCGATACAAATGCACCTTTGCATTTAATGTGCAGATTTAAAAAAACGTAAACAGCAGCTGATAATAGGGTGAGAACAGGCATGGAGGGGGAAATATAATCCTTTCCTCCCTTGCTGTGTTCATGCGGAAAATTCCTCCTCAGAAGGTGGCATTATGAGAATGCCCCACTGGTGACAATGCCCTGATCCCATTAATTCCCACTGATCCTATTTGCACTTTTAAAACAACTGCTTATTAAATGGAAAGATGCACTGAGTGCCACGTGTAGTTTGGCCATCAACAATATTTTTAAAAACTGTGTCTTAATTAGGGCCGGAGAAAGCATTCGACTTCTTTGTTTTCTTCTTTTGATCTGACACATTCCAAATGTTGTGCTTTCTAGGCACACAGAACGGAAGAAAAATGCTGAAAATAAATAAATTAATTTAAGGTTTGGGAAAGCCAGCCACATACGTAATTCACAATTAAGTCTGGGAACAAATAAAAAAAACCAGGTGATACTTTTCACAAGAGAAAAAAACCCCAGAACTTACATTTGATTTGTCACTGTTCTCAGTGCCAGCTGCATGGAGAGAAGAACAATTGCAATTAAAAATGCCAAAACATAAGTTTATTTTTCAAATGAAAGGCATCATTTATTTGCACCCTGCCCTCCAACCTTGAAAGGGTTTCCAAAGCTATCAATTTAAAACGGACAAGTTAAAACTGCAGCCATTAATCTCAGATTTTAGCAGGTTCTTGGGCAAGGTGTCCTCATCTCCCTGAAGGGGCTTTTGCTTCCTTGCAGCTCTCTCCCCCCCCCCCTGTCCTCTCCCTCTTAGGGATGCTTAAGGATTTCACACTGCCTACACTATTAAGCAGGTCTTCAGTTTTCACCCTTCTCCAAAATTTGAAATGCAACTCTGAGCTCAAGACACATGCCGAAGTACATTTGAAAATCAGCACTTCGGGGTAACTGACATACCAAAAAAGTGTGATTCTTTGTGCAGGTTTCCCCTCTCTTTCTAAATGTGCATATTGATGGAGAAATGCAAAAGAACAAAGGTGTGAATGAACTCATGAGAAACTGGCACAGGCTGGAAACCAACTGATCCATCTATCCCTATTTGCCCCAGGCCCAATGTGCTGCAGAATACCGTATTTTTCACTCTATAAAACACACTTTTTCCCTTCCAAAAATTAAGGGGAAATGTGTGTGCGTCTTATGGAATGAATGCAGGCTCCATGGCTTCAGCGTTGCTTTTGCTGAAGCCTGGAGAGCGAGAGGAGTCGGTGTGCACTGACCCCTCTCGCTCTCCAGGCTTCAGGGATAGCTGCCCGAAGCCTCTGGAGCGCAGTGGGAGCTCCCGCTGCATCCAGAGGCTTCACATTGCTTTCACAACTCTTCAGCGAAGTGGGAGGAGAAATGGAAGGGGCTCCTTTTCTCCTGCCGCTTCGCTGAAGGAGCACTGCGCAGAGAGGGAGAGAATTATTTTTTCTTGTTCTCCCCCTCTAAAATTAGGTGCGTCTTATGGTTGGGTGCGTCCTATAGAGCGAAAAATACGGTAAGTGCCCTTTCTCTGTGATCCTGTCACTCACTGAGCTTGGAGAGGACAGGTGAGAGCAACAGCAAGTAAGGGGGATAAATAGCAAGGCCAATGGGCTCAGGGTGAGAGGTAAGTCGCCTGCTTAGCAGTTGCCCAGTTCTGTCAATTTGTGACGCCGACCTCTTTAGGATGAATCCATGCAGAAAAAGATATCAAGAGTCTACAAATCTTTCCTTAATAATCTGCAACTTTTTAGAGAGAGAAACCCCCTGAGAAAGCAGGCAGGCAGACCTTCCGCCAACCTCTATGCAGATGGAGAAAGGACAGCATCAGCATTAAGTCAACTTTAGGTTCTAAGCTACTGCTGGCTACCAACAGCTACTGCTTTTGGCCACATCTGAGTGCCACATGCTATCTAAGCTCTATTTCCCCCCTACACTGAGCCATGTGAGGAAAGGAAAGGGAATGTGTCACTCCAGCGCCACAGTTACCAAGAGAGCTCTTGCCACTTTTTGGTTTTGATCTTGACAGCTTCGCAGTATTATGGAGCGAATTTACAAAGTAGATGGTGGCATTTCTCTGTTATATATCAATGGCGAGCTCTTTGCCAACTACGTGACTGGGAAAGGCACTCTCTACGAAAGCAAGGAGGATGGGCAGAGATACTAGTTCTGGACACGTTCTAGAAGACACCTATGCGGCATAGCAAGAGGGTAGGCAGCCGCATCCGAGGCCGACACTTTACCTGACTGTGAGAAAAATTGGTAGCGCCGCCAGGAGTTCCGAACCTTAAGCGGAACTCTGGGGCTGTTGGGCGACTCTAGAGTGGACAGCAGGCCACGGGGGGGGGGGCACAGGACAGAACAAAACAAAACAAAAGACACAACACTGTGAAAGGTAAGCAGAGACCAGAGAGTAGCCAAGAGACTCAGGAAGATGATTAACAAATCTTGTGAAAGTGGGCTGGTTGGTTCTAGCTTCCCATGGAGATCAAGCATGGGCTGTCCCAAGGAAGATGGTGCAAGCTTGTTTTCTCCTGCCCTGGAGGCCAGAATCTGAACCAATGGCTTCAAGTTACAGGAAAGGAGATTCCAACTAAGTATCAGGAATAACCTTCAGACTGTAAGAGCTGTTTGACAGTGGAACAGGCTCCCATGAGAGGAGGTGGACTCTCCTTCCTTGGAGGTTTTTAAGCAGAGGTTGGATGGCCCTACTCGAGTGTAGGCTCAACTCCTGACACACCTGCCATGTATTTGAGATTCCTGCATTGCAGTGGGTTGGACTCGATGACCCTCAGGGTCCCTTCCAACTCGACAACTCCATGATTCCATGTTTGAAAGCAACTAGAAAATGGCAAAACTAATACTGTCCTAGTGCAATATGTATCCTTGATGTGTTACCCTCATGATTGTTTTGATTGCGATTTGGCTGCTTTACTTATATTTCGTAGCCCGTCTTAGGCCCAGAATGATGGGAGAAAAGGAAGGGGCAGAATGAAGACTGAAGAAATAATAAATCAACAAAAGGTTTCCATGGTGCTTCTTGTTGAGGGTCTGAAGGCACTCTACAGTCCCTGTTCGCCCAGTACTTCAGTCTACAGAAGTCTCCTCCTCCCACCTGCCTGCTGTCAGTTAAGGAACGGTCCTAGGAAAAGGTATCAGCCTTTTTCAGGGACAGTCCTCACACTACGGGTTGCCTGTTCTGCTTCTGAATAGAGGTTAAGAATACCAGAGCAAGGGTGAAGTTCGTTCAGTGCCTCCAGGCTGCTGGAAGATCACAATCCCATTGTGATTCAGCTTTATTCTGCCATTGCCAACCATGGGAGAAGTCTACTTGGGGACATAAGGAACACCAACTCCTTGCTTCATGAAAGCCAGCAAGCAAGTGAACCAACCTAGAAGTCCTCAGTTAACTGTAGTTTCCCCCCTCAAACTCAGAAATTATCATAAAGAGTTTTAGAACAAGCCAACTTCAAAACTTGTCTTGTGATCCTGGCTTGTTCTGAAACTGTAAACCATGGTTCCCCCAGTTTGGATGAAAAATAAAACTGTGGTTAACGGAAGACTTCCTGGTTCATTTGCTCCTGACATGGTGAGGGGAATGAAGAGGTTGTGCGTGTGGTCAAAAGGCCTGCCATAACTTGTATTATTATTTTTTTAAGCAAAAGTATGATGTTACAGACTTGTCCTCTACCCCTCTGGCAAATGTTCAAAGATGCACTGAGACTACACCCTTAATTCTTCCTCCCTCCCCACTTCCTGTTTCGTTTACCTTGTGGGGCAGAATTCTGCAAAACCACTTGGCTCCTCTCAGGGATTATCTTCAAAAGTGGAAATATGATGCTTCCATCTTGCACAGGGGCTTCCAAAGTCTCTACCTAGGCCAATTTTTGAAGACTAGAATCAGTTCTAAGATAACAAAATAGAATACAAAATATAGACCCTCCTTGTTAGCACTGCCTATCGATGGATTTCTTAGCTGCACTAATTAAACAGTCTAGGCTGTATCAGGTAAGCAGGATATTCTGCCTAACTTGCATTTATTTATTACAGAATAAATGGTCTGCTTTTACTAACCAAACAGATGCACTGAAGTGGCTGAAAGTCCTAAAGACAGACACATGGAAATCACAAAACAGCTTGTCTGAATATAATTGCTTTAATTTGTTTATGAAAACAAATGAGGACATCTAAACATTATTATTTTTTGCTTGTTTGTTTGCACTGGCTGACATAATTCACAATGCATTTTCCCTTATCACCTCCTTCCTGTGTAGTTACAGTCCTACATCTGTCCGAACAGGAATATATTAGACTAAATTCCCGGCTCTGCAGATGCATAAACAAAGCTTGCTTTTTAATCTTCTAAATCTATTTGCAAGCTAGAACTGACTAACAGAAAATTCTTCTTTCCCTTTTTGTGCGAACGCTTTCCCATGAGGGTACACATCTCCTCGTGGGAAAGATGAACACTTTCCATCTTCACATGGTGGAAATGCAAAACGAAAACCAGCTGTGTATCTTGCATTTTGCTGGTCAGTCTAGACAAGATGCAAAATGTGTCATTAGGAACTATTCTGTACTCTCAAAAAAATTAGTAATAGCTACGTATGGGCCCTGTTCTCTAGCAGCAGCTAGACTGGTGACTGGGAGTGGCCAGCGGGACCATATAACACCAGTCGTAGGATCTACACTGGCTCCCAGTACGTTTCCAAGCACAATTCAAAGTGTTGGTGCTGACATTTAAAGCCCTAAATGGCCTCGGCCCAGTATACCTGAAGGAGCATCTCCACCTCCATCCTTCAGCCTGGACACTGAGGTCCAGCATCGAGGGCCTTCGGGCCGCTCCCTCACTGAGAGAAGTGGAGTTACAGGGAACCAGGCAGAGGGCCTTTCTCAGCAGTGGTGCCCTCCCTGTGCAACACCCTCCCCTCAGGTGTCAATGAGATAAAGAACTACACAACTTTTAGAAGACACCTGAAGGCAGCCCTTTATCAGGAAGTTTTTAAAGTTTGACATTTTATTAGGTTTTTAATATGTGTTGGAAGCTGCCCAGAGTGACTGCAGCAATCCAGCCAGATGGGTGGGATATTATTATTATTATTATTATTATTATTATTATTATTATTATTATTATTATTGCAGTGTGTGGCAAGGGAAAGTTTCCCTCATTTGTATTGTTGAAGGGCAGTGAAACTGAAGGGGCAGCGCTGCTTGGTCTGCTGTTCTCATCTTAATGAAAACCACCCTTGGGATGCTATTAGCACAGAAAAGAAGAATAAATTTTCAGACTAATAGCAGAGTGCAGGAGGAGGGATTTTTATTGGGATTATGGCAGTGGACAGAAGAATTGACCCTCCCAGTGAAAATCAGCTCCCTCATTCCTGTTATCTGATAAAAAAGAATACCCTGATGTAGTTTTTAACCGATGCATTAAGCCTCATGTCTAGCATCATCCTCAACTGTACGTTTTAGTGCATCACGCTACCTTCTGGATAACTGGTGCTTCTACATCCTTCAGTTGCCCCCTTTCAAGTGTCTTCGGCTCCTCATTTGAGCCCATTTCCTTGCGATGATTACTGAGGGAAGAGTTCGTGACGGAAGAGAACTCCGCCATGGCCACAGTAGGGCTGGCACGGGAAACGGTTGTGCTGAATTCTTTGTGGTCTGAAGAAGGATTGGGGGAACAAGGGAAAAGCAAACAAAAAATCAATCAGGACGATTAAATAAGAAAGAGAAGTGCAGCCTCTTGTCAAGAACATTGAAAATGTTATCCAATAAAAAGACACACAGAAAACATATTCAGAAACGTATTTCTGAGCATATACTGTTGCTTTGTTTTAATTCTCATTTCATGTAATTGTTGCATGCCATATGTCTAAGTGTGTGTGTGTGTGTGTGTGTAGACACAGAGAAGAAGAAAAATCCAAGGTAGACGATGGCCACTATTTCTAGAAAGCAGAAAGAATAAGCAGGGCCACAACTTTCAGCCAGCTAGAAACAGTGCTTTTCCCCCTAAAGAAAATGTTTAGGGGTGCTCTCATTTTCCTCCTCATACAGTGGTACCCCGCAAGACGAACGCCTCGCAAGACGGAAAACCCGCTAGACGAAAGGGTTTTCTGTTTTGGAGGCGCTTCGCAAGACGAATTTCCCTATAGGCTTGCTTCGCAAGACGAAAGCCCATAGGGAAATCTCCGGGGACCTGTTTTAAATTGCTGGCGGTCGGGAGCAAAGACTTTCGCCCACAGCCGGCCTTCAGAAGAGGTCCTGGACCTCTTCTGAAGGCCGGCGGGGGGCAAAAGTCTTTGCTCCCCCCCCCGCCTGCCTTCCCGGGACAGCGGAGACTTCTCCGCTGCCCCGGGCGATCTTAAAATGCTGGCGGGCGGGAGCGAACGCTTCGCTCCCGACCTCCAGCATTTTAAAATCTTTGGGCGAGTGTCTGCAAGCCTCGCGCGCCCGGCAGGAGGTCCCACCGGGTGCGCGAGGCTTGGGGCGGCAGCCTGTCACCCGAAGCACGGGGAGCCCTTCGGAGAGCTCCCCTTGCTTTGGGCGAGTGTCTGCAAGCCTCGCGCACCCGGCAGGAGGTCCCGCCGGGTGCGCGAGGCTTGGGGCGGCAGCCTGTCGCCCGAAGCACAGGGAGCCCTTCGGAGAGCTCCCCTTGCTTTGGGCGAGAAGTCTCTGCTGCCCCGGGCGATCTTAAAATGTTGGCGGGCGGGAGCGAAGCGTTCGCTCCCGCCCCCCAGCATTTTAAAATCTCCCTGGGACAGCAGAGACTTCGCTCCCGCCCGCCAGCATTTTAAAATCGCCCCGGGACAGCAGGGGCTTTTAAAATGCTGGCGGTCGGCAGCAAAGCCCTCCTGTCCCCGGAGCTTGTGGGGCGGGAGGTGGGAAGAAGGGCTTTTTTTCCCACCGCCAGCCTTCAGAACAGCCTTCTGAAGGCTGGCAGTGGGAAAAAAGCCCTTGTTCCCCCCCCCAGCCTTCAGAAGAGGTCGGGGGACAGACTGTCCCCGGACCTGGTCTGAAGGTGGTTTCCCTAGGAACGCATTAATTGATTTTCAATGCATTCCTATGGGAAACCGTGCATAAATACTGTCCTTCAATGAGGCCAAACTTAGATGCACAAAAGTTTTAGGGGTATGTGTACCCCTTTGTCCCCCCCAGAAAAAAAGCACTGGGTAGAAATATGAAGTTGACTAAAGTGATGCCCCAAACTATCAGACAATACACTCAAAAGATTCAGTATTACTTTAATATAAATACTTTTGCAGATGATCAGCAGCATCTAAAAGGAGGCATTCCACCTGCTCTCACATAGAAAGGAATGCCTCTCTTAAGATGGTTCCCACTACAAAACATACCTGCAAAGGATAAAAACAAAATATTGCATGCCTCTTCCTTCAAAATTTACTGATTTATCCACACATAAAGGTAAAGGTAAAGGTACCCCTGCCCGTACGGGCCAGTTGTGTCTGACTCTGGGGTTGCGTGCCCATGTCGCTTAAGAGGCCGGGGGCCAGCGCTGTCCGGAGACACTTCCGGGTCACGTGGCCAGTGTGACGAAGCTGCGCTGGCAAGCCTGCACCAGCGCAGCACACGGAAACGCCGTTTACCTTCCCGCTAGTAAGCGGTACCTATTTATCTACTTGCACTTAAGGGTGCTTTCGAACTGCTAGGTGGGCAGGAGCTGGGACCGAACGACGGGAGCTCACCCCGCTGCAGGGATTCGAACCGCCGACCATGTGATCCGCAAGTCCTAGGCGCTGAGGTTTTACCCACAGCGCCACCCGCGTCCCTATTATCCACACATACATAGCTTTAATAATTAAAAAGCTAATAACTAATTTAAATTTCGTTCCTATTTCCCCTCACTCTTAATTTTAGGGTCGTGGGTTCAAGCTCCACATTGGGCAAAATATTCCTGCATTGCAGGGGGTTGGACTAGATGACCCTCGGGGTCCCTTCCAACTCGACCGTTCTATGGTACTTCTATGATACCTGGAGGGCATCATACTGTTGAAAGTAATGTGGGTTTTTAAAATCAAGTTTTATGCGTTATATACTTTCCAAGTTATTTTCTTGCTTTTATTTTGAAAAACATCGTAACCCATCAAAAGCCTTTTAAAACCCAGGCAAAAACAAACACGATGTTCACTGCTGCAAACTGCTTAATTATAAGTTAGCTTTCTTTCACAAAACCTCTAGAGGTTCATGTATGTGTATAGATAAAAAGCCCATATAATATTCCTTAAAGCAACAAACCTGGAGACAGTCTTTCCGCATCGGTTTTCTCATTTTGGTTGATTGATTTCGCTTCTTCCGTCAAGACGCCCTGCAGAGAACATTTATATTACTGTCGATCCACAGTCAGAACAAATACAAACTTTTGTGTTTTTCCTCATGCAACAGCATAATTTGCTCCTCCAATTCAGAGTGGCCGGGATGTTAATTAAGTCACGTATTTTAGAGCAGTTACACACTGGCTTGAATTAGACTGATTCGCAGCAATGGTTATTGACCCGAACAGCAATAACAACATGCAAATAGGAATGAAGAAAACATCAAACTTTTTGTTTGGTTTTCCATCACAGAACAATATTCCAAACTTTTATATTGACCATGCTTCCATGCCACACTAAACCGCAACTGAGTGCAATGCAATCAAGCCCTTGTGAGCCACAGTAAGCCCTGGGCTTGCATATTGTATGCCCCTTTCCTCTCTTCCACCTGTGTGACTGGAAAGAGAAGTTTGGAAGCCTTTGCTTCTCCATGGTCTGTCGTTTTGTATGAAATTACAAACTATGGTTACCCTTTACTCTGGTTCGTTTGAAGAAAATTTGAAACCATTCTTTTAATTTGGCCTTTACAAAACAAAACAAACCATAGTTCTGTTCATCTTGCAAGAGGCTAGCAAGGACCGCCGACTCAGGCTGCAATTTATCCCACCTACGTGAAGGACCAGACAGCGCCGATTGGCCGGCCGAACCAGCCCCTAAGAGGAGGCCTATACAAAGCCCACCAGTTTGGCCATTCGCTGGCAGGCAAGCAGCCAAACTCTCGCCCCTTCATTGGATCATCGCAGGGCCCGTACACTGGCCAACCATTTAAGGTAAGCGGACTTCCCTGTGAATGGCTCTCATGTAGAACAGGGTTCCATCTAAAAGACCTTAATTACACAAATTTTATTTCCTTGTTAAAAAAATATATATACCCTATCCCTCAACCAAGTTCCCAAGAGCATCTTACAAAAACCAAGGATGCAATACAATTAAAATGTAAGTGCTGTACAAACTATTACTTTTTAAATCTCAAAAATGATCTAACCCATGTGAAAAGAGGCTCTCCCCCCCCCCCAATCGACATCCCACGTAAAAGACCTAAGTTGCTGGCCCATTCCGAGTAATTAACATTGGGTCTCCTATTCTCCCTGTGTGCCCCCCAAATCTGCTCTGTAAGGGTTGCCCAGTTCCCGGAGCTGAATTTGAGAGTTCTCTGCACTGTGAGCATGGAAGTCTGTTGCATCACCAGAACTGTGGTGTTGGATATGGCCCCGCTGGTGGGATCTGCTGACAAATAAGCTGCCATGTGGCAGAAGAAGAAGAAGAAGAAGAAGAAGAAGAAGAAGAAGAAGAAGAAGAAGAAGAAGAAGATGGTATTATTTATACCCCACCCATCTGGCTGGGTTTCCCCAGCCACTCTGGGCGGCTCCCAACAGAACACTAAAATACAATAATCTATTAAACATTAAAAGCTTCCCTAAACAGGGCTGCCTTCAGATGTCTTCTAAAAGTTTGGTAGTTATTTTTCTCTTTGATATCTGGTGGGAGGGCGTTCCACAGGGCGGGTGCCACTACCGAGAAGGCCCTCTGCCTGGTTCCCTGTAACTTGGCTTCTCGTAGTGAGGGAACCGCCAGAAGGCCCTCGCACTGGACCTCAGTGTCCGGGCAGAACGATGGAGGTGGAGACGCTCCTTCAGGTATACTGGACCGAGGCCATTTAGGGCTTTAAAGGCCAGCACCAACACTTTGAATTGTGCTTGGAAACGTACTGGGAGCCAATGCAGATCTCTCAGGGCCAGTGTTATGTGGTCCCGGAGGCCACTCCCAGTCACCAGTCTAGCTGCCACATTCTGGATTAGTTGTAGTTTCCAGGTCACCTTCAAAGGTAGCCCCACATAGAGCGCATTGCAGTAGTCCAAGAGAGAGATAACTAGAGCATGCACCACTCTGGCGAGACAGTCCGCGGGCAGGTAGTTTCTCAGCCTGTGTACCAGATGGAGCTGGTAAACAGCTGCCCTGGACACAGAATTGACCTATGCCTCCATGGACAGCTGTGAGTCCAGACTGACTCCCAGGCTGCACACATGGTCCTTCAGGGGCACAGTTACCCCATTCAGTACCAGGGAGTCCTCCACACCCACCCTCCTCCTGCCCCGCCAAAACAGTAGTGGCATGCAGTGATTTTTTTTGCAGGGAAACAGGGACAGAGGAGCCAACTTGCTGGGGCAATGGAGGGAGTGATGTCATGAGCTCCTGACGCGTGTGCGAGGATCTCACCTCCATCCTTAAGCTTGGCAGAAGCTTCCCTTTGGGAAGGAGGCGCCAGGCATCAATGCTTTAATACTCTAATTTACTAGGGACACAGGTGGCGCTGTGGGTTAAACCACAGAGCCTAGGACTTGCCGATCAGAAGGTCAGTGGTTCAAATCCCCGCGACGGGGTGAGCTCCCATTGCTCGGTCCCAGCTCCTGCCCACCTAGCAGTTTGAAAGCACGTCAAAGTGCAAGTAGATAAATAGGTACCGCTCCGGCAGGAAGGTAAATGACATTTCCGTGTGCTGCTCTGGTTCGCCAGAAGTGGCTTAGTCATGCTGGCCACACGACCCGGAAGCTGTACGCTGGCTCCCTCGGCCAATAAAGCGAGATAGCGTCGCAACCCCAGAGTCGGCCACGACTGGACCCAATGGTCAGGGGTCCCTTTACCTTTACTCTAATTTACTGGGAACATTCACGGGACTAGCCTAGTTCCTAGTCCACTGATGGCACACTATTGGTTTGAAGGACACCTAAAATGCACTGTGAAAGAGAGACTGAAAGTGGGTCCACCCCCATTGCAAAGCATGGCCAATCTGATGGCATGGTCCTTACCGTCTGCGCTCTGTCTTTGCTGTGCTCGATGAGCCGCTTTAGGACAAGCTCAGTGCTAGGGCTGTTTTGTTCCCCCTCCACTGAGGAACCGTCCACCGCACTGTTGGACTTTGGCGATCGGCTTGGCGAAGGGGCAAATATTAACGTTGTGCATTCTCTCTCTCGTTCCTCTTCCACTCCGTTGACAGCTTCTCCGTTCATGCTGACTTTTCCATCCACCTGCAGGGTACAGTTTCAAAAACCACGTGGGTAACGTAAAACTGAGAGGCCCCAAGGCAAGGTGTATTATTTCTCAGCGGAAAGAAGTGAAAATTCTTTTTGTGGCATCAGTGATTCTGGCGCAGTGAAGCAGACTTTTAGGGTGCTGTTCCCGCCAGCGTTACAGCAACAGCAAGCCATTTGAGTTAGTGCAACTTCACGTGCGATTATTCTTTCCCAGACACTTCTGATTCTCTCTTTCCTCCCCTGCTCTCTCCTCTGTTGTAAAATCTACATTTTAAGCCAGGGGCCAGCAAACTTTTTCAGCAGGGGGCCGGTCCACTGTCCCTCAGACCTTGGGTGGGGGGCGGACTATATTTTGGAAAGAAAAAAAAAGAACGAATTCCTATGCCCCACAAATAACCCAGAGATGCATTTTAAATAAAAGGACACATTCGTGTAAAAACACACTGGTTTCTGGACCGTCCATGGGCCAGATTTTGGTGGCGATTGGGCCGGATCCAGCCCCCAGGCCTTAGTTTGCCTACCCATGTTTTAAGCGTTCTGGGAAGGGGTCTACTGTTTTGACTTGTAAGGGCAAACAGGAGGAGTGAAATAAATATAAATACTTAAAGGCTGGAATCTGATTAAAGAAATATTTGAGTTTGCATCTAACTAACTTCCACTCAGAGTTAGAAATTAAGGGACCCAGATTAGCCATGTTCCTTAATTTCAGCATGTCTGCTCTGAGTATAACAGACACTGAAGCATCATCTTTAATCTCTGAAGTTTTATCTTTTCTATTTCCTCTTGAAAGCTCTTTTCTATCTCCCCCCCCCTTATTTATCTTTTTCATCATGTTTTATCATCATGTTTTTTCATCATGTGGGACAAAAAATACATTTGAGGTTAAGTTTTGCATTTCTCTTCATGAACACTAGTAAAATTTATTTTAAACATAAAAATCCTCATCAAGTAAACCCGCACACATGTGCATATTAACAACCGCTCTGAAGGAAAGCGTGTTTCACCGACGCAACTGGGGCATGACTCACAATTTACCGAAATATTTTCAGTCCATTTATCTGCTTTAATCAAAAGCAGCAAACATAAAGACCCTTGTCATATTTGAAACGGGATTCTTGAAAGCTTCCCCTTTCTTCTCTCTTCAGCTACCTTTGACTCACCTAACGCAACCTACCTTAAAGGTTCTCAACACCTGCTGTGTGCTTTTGGGCTGCGAGTAAGGCTTGGCAGTCAGCATAGGCACAGCCTTCGAGACAAACGGTTTGCTTGGAGAGGTGCGGCCTGGCGAGACGCTGGCCTCTGACCCGCCGGCGGGAGCGATGGTTGCCTCTACCTTGGCAGTGTACTTGGGGGCGGGGAGCGATTGTTGCCGTAAGTATCTCAGGGGGTTGGGGTCCTTGGGTGGGGACGACGAATTTGGCTCCGCTGAATGGCTTCTCTCCAGAATTTTTGGCATCTCCAAGCGCTCGAGGACAGCTTCGCTAATGGTGAACCTCTCGATGTACTGCTGGAGAATATTATCCGCTTCCTCGCGTGACCTGGCATTCTTGTACGCTTCGTGCAGAGCTCTCTCGCGCCTCTCTCTGTTTCGGGTGAAACAGAAGCAAGGTTGCAAAGGGGGACCTATCACTATTGTCATTAAATACTGTATCTTCCGCTCTATAAGACGCACCAGACCATAAGACGCACCTAGTTTTTGGAGGAGGAAAACAAGAAAAAAATATTCTGAATCTCAGAAGCCAGAACAACAAGAGGGATCGCTGCGCAGGGAAAGCAGCGATCCCTCTTGCTGTTCTGGCTTCTGGGATAGCTGTGCAGCCTGCATTCGCTCCAAAAGACGCACACACATTTCCCCTTACCTTTTAGGAGGGAAAAAGTGAGTCTTAGAGCAAAAAAATACGGTAAATTTGTATACCGCCCGACACCCACAGGTCTCGGCATGCCTACAACGTAAAATCACGTTATAAAAAACACAATATACAGAGTAAGTTGAATAAGTCAGCATGTGTGCAAAAAAAGAGGATGCCCTGCTCATTTCTGCTTTGCAAAAGAGTCTGGGCAAAGTAGCATCCAGCCTCAGTTCACTTAAACTAACTTAATTGCTGGCGCCATTTTATACCAGAAGCAGAATCAAGATTGTCGAGCCTGTACCACTTCCCACTGCAGTAAGAAATTTCCTAGCTTGAATGCAACCCTTCGCCATACTCCCTGCATAGAGAAAGCAATCATGGCGGGGAGAATATCAGGTGGAACATTTTACTCTGACATGCTTGTTTTCTATGTGAAACACCCACCACCCCCCCATGAATGGGCGATTCAGACATGCAACCCCTTCCTCCCCAGGTGCACCTATTCTTGTGCCCTGATGTTGCACCAACCAGGAAAAGCTTTACTGTGTGAATCTGTTGATTATGCAAAAGATAATGAACAGATGATCATGAACCATATATTTTACCACACACAGCTCCATTGGACGTGTGGCAAAACCCTCCTCATCCGTCGGAATAATACAGTTGGGAGGTTGTTTGTTCCTCAGAGATTATGGCATCCTCAGTGGATACAGGGCAGCAACTCTAGAGTAGGAATCACTAAGGACAAGGTAGATCCCTGGGGCAACCAGGTGTATGTTAAAGAAGTGTTTGCTCCACCCAGAAGATGGAAGGGGCTACTTCTTACCCAAAAAGGTCCCCACTGTGGAAGGGACCAAATTCTACCCCCTCCTCTGTGGGAAATTGCAGTAAAACATAATTATGCATGAGTGCTAGTTTGTGCATGAAGGGATTAGACAATAGAGCTGGATTGTTAGACTCAGCTATGTCACACCCCCTCTTCTCCAATAAGGGAGGAAGTGAATCTTTCTCTTCCTGTTCCCTCTCTCTCCATGCCATGTAACCCACAAGGAAGACTGTGTCTAAGATTAGAGCACGTGTTCAGAACTATATTCTGTATTTTCTACCCAGGGGTATTCTGCCTGTGTTCTCCTTGCTGCTGCTTCGATAAATGCAACACTCTGTCCTTTGGAACGTTTTGTAAGTAAAGCCTTTTAAACTTACTTAACGGTGTGGTCTGTTCATTGTAGGATGGGTAGAAAGAGGGGAGTGCTTTGCAAGCGGACTAAACAGGATATGCAAAAGGTTAAGCAGCCTATATTCCTAACGCTTCACTGTATTGCTTGACTTTGTGAGCTTAAACTCTTCTACTAGGCTCTCTCCTGCTGTATAGTATGTTTAGCCCCACATTTTGAATCCTGGCATCCAGCCTATTCTTTTATTATTTACCCTACACATGGAGGTCACAGTAATTCTATACCCCACAAATCCTCCACCTTACTTCACTGAGCTCCACAGCTTTAAGTAATTTTCTCCTAGCCAGCTCACTTCTGGCATCAGAACTAGAAAACTACTTTAAAATATTGGAGCTTGGTGAGGTGAGACGGAGGCTAGATTTTGCTCCCTGTTCTTCTTTGCAAAAGAACAGACCCCCCCATGCTTCGAACATGGCCAGCGCTTATTTGACACCCACAGAGTTGGCCTATACATCTAGTTGCACTCCAAGAGTCCTCAAACTGTGCTTTCATTAAATGAACCTACTTCTCTTCCACAATTTCTCTGTAGGTCTTTATGCTTTTCCTCCGCTCACTGGCCTCCTCAGTGCCAGTCAGTAGTCTCTCCATCTTCTTTCTCTCGGCTTCTTTTTTAAATAAGTCCTGAGAAGCGCTTCTCCGGCGACTTTTCCACCTGGCTAAGTCCTGCAGGAGGAAGATGGGCAGGGGACAGAACTGTAATGATTAGGCATGATGTTGAAAATCAACTCTGTGAGGTATAATAATAAAAAATAGTAGTGATAATTATTTATTTATATGCCACCCATCCGACTGGGTTGCCCCAGCCACTCTGGGCGGCTGCCAACAAACCAAAGTACAGTAAGACACCAAACATTAAAAACTTCCCTATACAAGGCTGCCTTCAGATAGGTAGGTTCGGTTACTTGTCTTCCGCCAGTAGGCCGAGACCCACAAATGGGTAGCACCCCAACCTAAGGTCTGTTATAACACAGTCATTTCCTCAGTGTTTCCCAAGCTTGCGAATCCGACTACAATTTTCGGACTACAATTCTCATCATCCTTGAAGCCTGGTCCTGCTAGCTAGGGAGGATGGGAGTTGTAGTCCAAAAACTGCTGCAGACCCAAGTTAGGGAAATCCTAAGGTAAAGGTAAAGGTACCCCTGCCCGTACGGGCCAGTCTTGACAGACTCTAGGGTTGTGCGCTCATCTCACTCTAGAGGCCAAGAGCCAGCGCTGTCCGCAGACACTTCCGGGTCACGTGGCCAGCGTGACAAAGCTGCTCTGGCGAACCGGCACCAGCGCAGCACATGGAAACGCCGTTTACCTTCCCGCAATAAAGCGGTACCTATTTACCTACTTGCACCCAAGGGTGCTTTCGAACTGCTAGGTTGGCAGGCGCTGGGACAGAACGACGGGAGCGCACCCCGCCGCGGGGATTCGAACCACCAACCATGCAATCGGCAAGTCCTAGGCGCTGAGGTTTTACCCACAGCGCCACCCGCGTCCCATTTAGGGAAATCCTAGTTTAGACTAAATATACCAGTACTTGCGTAGCAAGCCCCCCCCCAGTGAAATAATGACACATGACACAATTATTAAGGTTAATGAGCTAAAGTAAGGCCACAACTTTATTGGTTACAGGTGATGAGCGGTATTGGCTTAGGCATTGGTCCTAACCGACCATATCTGACTTCAGCCCGTCCGCTTGAAGTCCAGGAAGGGTTAACCACCAGTAGGGGGAGTCCTGCTGAAGAACATCAACTAGGAACTCCCCTGGGGTCACCGATTGGGGGCGTGCCTTATGCCCTCACCTCCCTAGGCTTCTGACAGGGCCACGCCCCCTGGAATCCTTTATCAGACTACCCTTCAATATATGGGGCAGGTGATGGTGCTACCTCGCCTCTTCCATCTACAGAGCAATACCAATGCCTAACCGCCAATACCCAGAAAGTTGTGACGCTTTGCTACGAGGTAGCCGAAAACCAAGTGGCTGGTGCCAATTTGCCAAGTGGAAAAATTCCTACCAGGCCCCTTAACGGCAACCAGCCAAGGCCCATAGCAAGGTCAAGGAACGAAAACCTTATAGGGCGGAAGGGTGGGAAAAACAGGAACAGCTGGCAGGCACAAAGAGGGAGATCGCCAGCTGCGTCCTGGTTTAAATAGGGCAGGCCACACCCCCAGAGCCAGCTGATTGGCTGGCCAGGAGGTGACACGACCGGGAATCCCCCCAATTGCGTGTTGGCTGGGTTCCAGCCGCTGTGGGCGTGGTAGGGCCGTGAAGCCCACAACTCCACCTCCTCCGAAGGTGGAAGTGGCTCTGTGAGGAAGCCGGAGAGCGGGTGACCAGAGGTAAAAGAAAGGATGACCTTCCTGTAGCTGCATTTGTATAACACAGCGAAGTATTCAAAGTGGTTCACATAATCTTTACAACAAACCTGTAAAGTACCGTATTTTTCGCTCTATAAGACACACCAGACCACAAGACACACCTAGTTTTTGGAGGAGGAAAACAAGAAAAAAATATTCTGAATCTCAGAAGCCAGAACAGCAAGAGGGATCGCTGCGCAGTGAAAGCAGCAATCCCTCTTGCTGTTCTGGCTTCTGGGATAGCTGCACAGCCTGCATTCGCTCCATAAGACGCGCACACATTTCCTCTTACTTTTTAGGAGGGAAAAAGTGAGTCTTATAGAGCGAAAAATACAGTAAGTCAATAGCATCATCATTTCTAAACTGCAACTGAAATTGTGGCTTACGGAAGGCCACCAAGGGAATCTGTGGCGAAGGTGAGATCTGAAGCAAAGCTGCCGTGAAATCTGCGCTCCCGCAATTTCTCACGGGTTTCCTTTCCCCTGCAAAAGAGTCTTCTATTCTCATACTCACATCTTGCCACCGGTCCTCTTCCTCTTTGAGCTGGTGGTGGATAGTCTGCAGCTTCTCGTGGCGAGCTTGGCTATGAGGTTGCATCACGGCAGCCTCGTCTGCGCACCTCATGTCAAACATGCTCACGCTCCTGAAAAGAAAAGCAAGGAAAGGATGAGGAAGGAGGCTATTTGTCGTGGATAGACTTGGTGCGTTTCTGCCACAGGAGGGCGCTGGAGCAAACTTAAATGCATCGCGTTCTGCTGAAAGCTCTGAAGTGGCAAAGCTCGAGGTATTTTTGCATGTGCATCCACTTCATCAGAAGCCATGTGCTTTTTTACTTTAGTATAAACAAGGCTATACTAACGTGCATGCAAATTGCCTGATTGCGGTGCGTTCCAGTAACACCGCTGCAAAAGGAAGAGCTGGAGGTCTGCGCAAAACTGCCCTTTTGCTTGGCATCTAATGTGAATTGAGCACAGCCCTGTCCTTGCGTAATTTCTCAACTGCCCCTTGTTTCGTTAGGAAATACAACAATAATCATTCTTCGGGCGTTAATAGCACCGACTGGAAAGGTTTTGGAGTGAATCAGCACCAGTGGTTTTTAAAACTGCCTTCAGGTAAACACTAGGGAGCTCAGAAGGGTTCCCCAGTGAGAATTTCGGTAATAATGGAAAAATTCCCCTCGCCCACCTCTGCTGATCTTGTTTTGCAATGCACAGAGGGGAAGGCTGAATGTGGTTTAGGGTGCACTCTCAGTTCATGGGGTGTTATACAGTGGCTGTGTTCAGATGTCACGATGCGAGTGAGTCCAGGCAAGCCTGCTCTCCGTTCCTGTCTTCTCCCCCGATGCAGCCGCAAGCAGCTCAGAAGCTTCCACTTCTGTTTTTGCTTAACCACAGCATGTCGTCCAAACTGTGGTTAACACCAACCATGGTTTCTTTGCGGGGGGGAAGCCAACTTGAAACCATGGCGGTGTAAACAGAGCATTAACATCAGCCACAGTTTGCACAACATGGCGTGTTGTGGTTTAGCGAAACCTTCTGTACTTTTCCTGGCAGCTGCATCTAAAGAACAGATGAGAAAGGAGCGAGCAGTGAGCCCAAGGCTTACCTCGCCTTGTACACAAACATAAAGGTTAGTAGTGTGATCACTGAACACAACTGGTGGGCACTTGATAGGCCATATTTGTGCCCCACATGAACTGAGTGTGTGCCTTCAGGTAGGTCCCAGAATCCACTGCAACGCACAAGGGCTGCCTGGCGGACATGGAAAGTGTTCCCCTCACACTAGAAAGTTTGAAAACCGCTTATCTAAACTTTAATTATGAAAGGACCATGAGTTACTTGGAGCAGAGATTTCTGGTTTCCTGAAACAACTGAAGTGATACCTTAGAGACAGTCTAAGATGTACATACTGCAGGTTAAATGCCAACAGGCGAGTTAAGCGGTGAGAGCCATCCCTACTGAGTGCACATGCAGAGTGAATGGTCACAGTATTCCATTGTTATTCTGGTTTTAAAAAACAACAACCACCCACCAAAGTACCACTTATTAACACACCATTACACAAGGAGCAGCAATCACGCCCCATCACAGTCTCCTTTGCAAGATGAAGTTAGAGGCTGGTTGTTAAAAAACGTTGGGTGAGAGAAAATGCCACAAACGCAGCGCATGAGACAAGGACAGTATACAGAGCTGGTTAATTTTCAGCTATTTACAGACTATGCACCATATTTCTGGTTGCCTTTGGATGGAAGCGCAGGTGATTGTATAAATAAAAATAAGCAAATCAGCCTCCTTTGTGTTTCTGTATGAACACGCCCATACATGAAGAGATTAGGAATCTCCAACAATGAATTCTCAGCAGCCTTACTAAACTACCATGCCACAATGGTGTAACATCAACGCAGGAGTCAAGTGTAGACGTCTTCTGCCATCTAGCAGTTTCTGTTAGAATCCTTCATACAGCAGGCCTGTACAGCCCATTTTCTATTTGAAAGTAAGTGAATTGTATGGAACTATCTAATGATGCCTCAGAATGCTACAGAGCCTCCTAGAATTGGCTTTTAATGCACATTTGCAACAAAAGTCTAAGGTTCAGGGCGGGTTGCTTTTTTGTTTTGTTTTGTTATTAAAAACGGATTTCCCAGTACATTAAAATAATCATCTCTTGCGGGAATACAGTCAAGATCTTTAGTCTTGCTTTCCTTTTCTTTGCTCCTAAGTACTTGCCCTTTAAAATGATGTAATATTACAGGAAAACAATGAAACACCTATTTATTTATTTTTAAATTTTTTAAAGGGTTGGATATTATCCTCGAGACTTCATAAATTATACGCAAGCAGTCATGTTATTAAAGCGTAGCAGAATTTTATTTTAATGAAGTAAGGTCTACGTTAGTTTCCTTCTGGGATAAATCTTTAAGTGACGGGATGGAAAACCAATGAACTTGATTATATGGCATGGTAAGCTATGTTTAGGGGGGCCGAAAAGTTGGATGCCAAAGGGTAACTGAAAGTCAGAGTCAGGCCAGAGTTGTGGACATCCATAGAAAAATCCAGACTTGGAGTTAGTTGTCCCTAGACTAGGCATTCTAAGGTCATAGTCGGTGACATGAAGCTGGAGCCAGAATAAGTGTTTGAGGATGAAAGCAGCAGGAAGTACACTTCTGTTGACCTGAAGTGGTACCTCGGGTTACAAACACTTCGGGTTACAGACTCTGCTAACCTGGAAGTAGTACCTTGGGTTAAGAACTTTGCTCCAGGATTAGAACAGAAATTGCGCGGCGGCACAACAGGTCCCATTAGCTAATGTGGTACCTCAGGTTAAGAACGGTTTCAGGTTAAGAACGGACCACCAGAACGAATTAAGTTTGTAACCAGAGGTACCACTGTACTGGGCCAAAGCCATTTAGGGCTTTAAAAGTCAGCACCAACATTTTGAATTGTGCTCGGAAACATACTGGGAGCCAATGTAGGTCTTTCAGGACCGGTGTTATATGGTCTCGGCGGCCACTCCCAGGCCCCAGTCTAGCTGTCGCATTCTGGATTAGTTGCAGTTTCCGGGTCACCTTCAAGGGTAGCCCCATGTAGAGCGCATTGCAGTAGTCCAAGCAGGAGATAACTAGTGCATGCACCACTCTGGCAAGACAGTCTGTGGGCAGGTAGGGTCTCAGCTGGCATACCAGAGGGAAGCTGCCCAAAGTGGCTGGGACAACTTTGTCAGATGGGCAGGGAATAATAATAATAATAATAATAATAATAGAATAGGACACCTCTATTTTCATCAGATAAATGTTGGAGGGTATGGTATCGGTCAATCCATGCAGGCTTAATATTGCTTGCCAAACACAGGGGTTGATGAGTCAAGTCTCTCATCTCTGCTGTAAAGGGCTCTAAGGTCGGAGCACCCATTGTCCTAAGTAGCTCACTAGGCTAAGTTCCAGACACATGTTATGAGGTTCCTCATTTAAGCCTGGATTCCTTGACAATGAGAACATGTTATAAGACGGGGCCTGAATATTAGGGTGCAAAAACAAACTAAATGCCACAGGGAAGGCTGATTTCTTTCTTTAAAAGCAACCACTACTAAACATGAACCACAAACTCAAAACAGACCCATCGGGCTCCAAGTCTGAACAGGGCAAGGAAAGGCTATTTAATCTTTTCCTTCTAGCTCAAAATCGCTCTCTTCCTCAAGTTGATTTTCTCTCTGGTTTGGGGACACACAATATGGGGACATCACCCCTTTTCTCTCGTAAGTGGGGGGAAAGCAGACCAGGAGATGAGGTTCTGTGTAGGCCAAGTGGCAGGAAGGGAAAGAGTTGAGCCCCTTCGGCTGCAGTACAGAAGGCTAATTTTCAATTTTATTTTATTTTTCACGCTGGGGAAAGAAATGCAAAACTTACGCCAGAGATGCTACAAGGTAATTTAACTGTGCTTTGGCTTTTGAATCTGAACCTGTTGTAATAAACTCATTCCCTCAACTTACTACTTAGTAATCTACTCCTAGACCAAAAGGTAAAGAGACTCCTGACCATTAGGTCCAGTCGTGGCCGACTCTGGGGTTGCAGCGCTCATCTCGCTTTATTGGCCAAGGGAGCCAGTGTACAGCTTCTGGGTCATGTGGCCAGCATGACTAAGCCGCTTCTGGCGAACCAGAGCAGTGCACGGAAACGCCGTTTACCTTCCCACCAGAGCGGTACCTATTTATCTATTTGCACTTTGATGTGCTTTCGAACTGCTAGGTGGGCAGGAGCAGGGACCGAGCAATGGGAGCTCACCCCGTCGCAGGGATTCGAACCGCCAACCTTCTGATCGGCAAACCCTAGGCTCTGTGGTTTAACCCACAGCACCACCCGCGTCCCTACTCCTAGACCTAGCCTGTGCTTATTCAAGTCTCCCTTATTTATAATTCCAGTTCCTCTAGTCATCGCAGACGAGTGGGCCCTACAGACCCCACAGATTTTCTTTTTTAAAAAAAGGATCAAGCCACAGAGGTCATATCTTGCAGCAACATCCACATGCTTTATAGCTTTCTGAAAAGGCATGACTTCAGAGCACATACCATCACATCACAGTGTATATGTTAAAGCACGTATATTTCGAACAGCTCTGCATCGGAACAATGACGAGTAAGAATGGTGCATCAGCTGCATTTAAAATTAGTAATAATTACGGAAAGCATGCAGTTTAAGTTGTTAAAGCAACCCAGTGAGCACACAACAACTTACTCTGCGTCATCAGACACAGGAGTTCTGGAGCCGAATCTATAAAACCAAATATAAAATTAGAGAGGCTTTGTGGGGGGTGGAGATATAAATTGCATTGAGAGGAAAGGAGGGGGTAGTAGAAGAGAAAAACCACATCAAGCAAGGAGATGTTTATTTGAAGCCAGTCTTCTCCATCAGTCCAGAGTATGGAGTGAACATTGCATTTTCAAAGCATCACATGTGAGATCACGCTTTAATCCTTCACACAACAACAACAAAAAAAGCAAACCAAACAATTTTTTAAAAAATGCTTTTAGAATTCGGAACACCCTGTTAGGAAGCCACACTGTGAAACCAAGGCTGGGAAGTGATTCCTCATAAAAGCAGATATAAAAAGTAAATTTCGTTTTAGGAGATGAGACACACATGCAGTTACATGTTGCACCATGCATAATCAATATCCGTTAAAAAGACATTTCAATATGCATAGTAATTGGGCCCTGAGATGCCTCCCGCAAGGTGTGGAGGGAGACCCAGAAAATGTCATTGGATCTTGCAAGTGAATACGTTTCTATGTCCATCCTGAAAGTTTATGCAACTCAATAGCAATGATTAAGTTTCATTTGGCACAGTCATATTTACATCCAGAAAAATCATAGCCATATACATGGATTGGAAGCTCTCCAAAGAATCTACCTTGCTCTCCCAAACCAGCACCTTCCCCTTCATGCCTATAGCCTGTTTTGTAGAGATTCCTTAGAATTTCTGGGAAAGAAACCAAAAAACGCACCACTGGAAAGTACTTTTATTAGTTCCAAAAAGGCACACTTCCGAAGTACATTATGGTTAATCCGCAATTAAAATATTCAGCGCAAGAGCAAAACAGGCTTGTTTCCAGCAGGCACACACCAACACACTACAGATGGCTTTAGGGTGCAATTTCTTGACCACAAGGTAGCTCACGTTTGTGCATGTCCGTCCTTTAGAGACGCAAATCCTTGGCTGTTTCTTTCAGTAAGCTGCATCTCTGAAGAATCTCCTGGCTGGAGTGGCTTGGAGTCTAGCAAGTCCTTATGAGGAGCAGAAGAGGCGCCATCTTGCCTCACACCAGGGACTCTGTGTTTTCCATCATCCAGTTTCTGCTCAGGTTGCGCCGAAAGCTTTTGAGGACTTTCTGCACAAAGCTTTGGATGCTTTTCGGGGCCTGCCGAGTCCGTCACGGTAATGCTAAAAACGTTAATTTCTAATTTAGCTTGTAGCGAGACACCCTGTATGTACCCAACATGCACTCCTCTTAATATAGAAACTAACAGGTGAGATTTTGACACAAACCATGCATGGCTATAGCAAAGGCAAATACAGTTTTCAGCGACAGTAGTTCTGTGCCTCTCTATCCTGGCAGGGGGTAAAAACAGCATGTCTGGTCAGTGGTGTAGCGTGGGGGGTGCAGGGGGGGCCGGCCGCACCGGGCGCAACATCTGGGGGTTAGGGTTAGGGGGCGCAAATCCACAGGTTAGGGGGCACAAATCCACGGGTTAGGGGGTGCAAATTACTTGCCTTGCCCCGGGTGCTGACAACCCACGCTACGCCACTGTGTCTGGTTTCACCCAACGGAAGCAATGAACTGGGGGTTTTTTTTTGCAACACCATCAACTGCACTCTGGCTTCACTGAAACCAATAAACCTTTCTGATATTAGGGAAACTCTCAGCACCTATGTGGCACAATATCATGTCCCCTTCACATGCCACCCCCTAGGAGGACTCTGATTTGGATGAATCACAGGTCACCTCATTTATGAGGGGAACTCTCAGCACCCCATTTCACACTGCCTCAGCCTGAGGAGGTGGGTCTCCCATCTTCCTCAGACTCTGGGGGTGCCTCCCCCTGTAGCTTCTCCCACACTACAGACATGCGGGAACTATGGGCCCTTCAGAACACCGCAGGAAGAATAGCCAATGCAGTTCTGTGATACCCAAAGATGGAAACAAGAAGGGCCAGAGGTTTTGAACCCTGAGTTTGGGTTCAAAATTTTGCTCGGCTGTAAAGGTCACTGGGTGACCCTGTCAGGAAATCTCAGCCTGCACAGCATGTCTGAACAAGAAGCTCTTCGTTTAACATGGGGGGTTGTTGTAACGACAAAATGGGGAATGCTACACACTGCTTATTTGTCAACAGGCAACAGCCTAAACTACCCAACACACTCATATTTCAGAGTCTATAAAGAGGACTCACTCAGAAATCTTTCCCCTCATACCTTGCCCCCCCCCCAATTATCTGGAAGTTTTGACCAAATTTACTTGGCACGAGTGTGGTGGCAATACCTGGCCTCCTCAAAAACGTCTCAAAGATGTTTTTATCCCCTACAAAAGAGGTTTCCTTTTCCCATTCTCAGGGCACTTGATAACTTCTTTAGAATTTTGCTGGTGGTCATGGATGCTTGGTGTGTGTGTGTGTGTGTGTGTGTGTGTTCGTGTTCCATTAAATATTCTCCAGTTTTCTGCAGCCTCCCTGGCTGCCTACACTTCTGAATCTAAAAAAGCCCCATGAGAGGAGATATACCTCACGTCACCTCTCTCTGAGCTTTAATTGAAGTCAGGAAAGCTGGCTCATGAGTGCTTGAGTTTGGTCCCCTCACTCTTTCTGTATTCATGCATATGTTTTATTTAAAGAAATTTACAGCTGAACGTTTAAATGAGTCAACTTTCCATACTGCAGTAGTCCCTGTCCTCCTTAAATGACCAGACCCAGAATTTGGTGCTGGGGAACCAATGGCTTGCAGGGTCCCCCGTGCTGTTTAACATCTACATGAAACCACTGAGGGGTTTGGTCTCCTGTGTCAACTCCCATCATCCTCAGCCAGCATGGGGGATGATGGGAGTTGTAGTCCAATGACATTTGGAAGGCCTCATCTCTGGCCTCGGTATTCAAGTCATTCACAGTCTAAAGGAAAAAAGCCGACTTTGGTTAACCTTCCCTGCCTAATGTCACTTAGGAATTCTTACTCAGCAGCCAAGTGAAAGACTACTGACAAACTCAGTGCATCAAAAGGAGACATATAGCTGCCGAACTGAAAAAGCAGGCCCTTTCCCCATGTGAAAATTAGAGACTGAATTAAAAAGAAGACTGCAGAATAGTTTTCTGACCTCTTGACTTTCTGTTCAGTCTTTACAAGATCCTTAGTTGCTTCCCCACCATTCTGCTGTTTCGAGAAAGGAACTGGGAGGAACTGACTAACACTTGGTCCAGTCTGCTTCGGAAAATCTCTGGTTCTTCTCACCATCATGTCATCTTTCCCTGGATTCCTGAATCCTGCTTTGCCTCCTGCTGGATTAGTTCTGTGCTCATCTTGGTCTTTAGACTTCTCAAAGCCATCTTCGCATGTGGCAACAGAGCTTAGGGATACGGGGGAAGGTGTTCCCAAACAATGTCGTGTCGCGCAAGTCAACGGGGAACTTCTGCTAAGGCAATCATGGGCACTGTTATTCAGGAGACAACAGATGACCAAGGAGGAAAGCTTGCCTGCGCATTAATTGCACACAACACTCTGCTGGGAACTAGCCTTTGAGGGGACTGTAACAAGGCTAAAGCTAAGCTGATCTCCACTTGGACAGTGTGCCTGGATGAGAGCCCATCTAGGAACTCCTTCCAGGAAACCCCAAATAAGTGACCGAAAGAAATGCAGGTAATACCCTGATGTTGGATTATGGAAATAATTCATTCATTCATACACACACACACACACACACACACACACAAACACACACACACACACCTCCACATAAAAATTATAAAGGGTGGAATGCAATATACCACAATAAGTCTCTCATCCCACCTATACAAGGATATCTCCATGTGCAACAAAACATTCTCCCCTTCTCCTCCCTCACGTACCACCTTAATCTGTTCTAGGAGTTTTCCCAACTCCCCGGGGGAAAATTGAGGGGGGGGGAGAGTCCTGTTCTGCAAGCGGAAAACATGGCATTTACAGGACACAGTGGTTCAATACTGCCCATAGAACCAAAACTAGATGCAGAAACTAGAATCCAGAAATAAAATAAAAACTTATATACAAAAGTAGCAGCCAGCACTAACAATAATGATAAGAATAGCAACAGTCACACAGCTGGACAAAAACTGCAGAAATCCTCCAGGCAGTCTTCAACAACTGGGGTTTTTACATTGGTTTTTAAATGTCACCAATGAAGATTTCACAACAGTTAGGCAGCCTATCCCTTTATTATATTGTGTTTATAATTATATCCACGAAGCTTTCCGTAATACCCCAAAACGACTAAAATCAAAACCTTGCAGCATTGTAAACCTTTCTTCTCTCATGTCTCTTTTTAAACTAATCATGCTTATTTTCTTCTTCTGTTAAAAGAAAGCAACTAGCTGGTTTTTGTTGACAGGTATTAATTAGAACATGTCCTTTTCTCTCTCTTTCTTGTCAAGAAGCAGAATAATATAATGCACAGTTAGCATTTCATGCAAGACAGGCATTAAGTAGCTAATAACAACCGGTTTCCCATTTCTGACCTTTCTGCTTTCTGCAGAGCCTTCCGTTCTTTTCCTTGCTGTTTCAAGGGACGATAACTGACTACTGAAATGGGAGGACAAGATGGGCGAAGGGGGCTAGTAGATTTCTGAAAAGTTCCAAATCTTCTAGCCAGCATATCATCCCTCTCAATATCTGGGAAGCTGCTATCCATCTCTTCCTCGCTGCTCTCGTGCCACTCGCTCAAACTGCTTGGTGTTTGCTTCTGAGAATCAGCACAGGCATCCGAGAGAGATGAATTACATGCATCCATAACTTCACTGACAGTACAAGACGGAGATTAGGAGAGAGAAAGGGAGAAAGATAATGAGAACCACATGGAAGCGCTGAGAAGAGACCTTCACTTATTCATCTTATCTTTAAAAGCGAACATCTGAGTTTCTTGCTAGTAGTATCAAGCAAGGAATTCTTGCAACGACAATGGGCTGATTAGATAAAAGAAAGCCAAATAAGTGAAAATTATTGGCTGCACAGAAAATTGGGGGGGGGGAGAGAGAGAGAAATGTACCACCGAAACAAAAGTGCAACCCACTTTTAACAAGCACGCATAAAACTATACCAGAGGGAGGGGGAAACAAAACTTTTACTAGATGCCCCAAAGAAGTAAACTCTGTAATGCGCTGCCAGAAACAAAGCAAAAGCTAAGGCTACCACTTCAGATGGTGTACCAAAAGTTTGAGAAGCCTTGATCAGTAAGGGCCCCTCCAGACTGGTATTTTTGGGGCAGATGGATTATGTGCAATGTCATTGACACAATAATACTGAATTAGTGGTGGATTTATAGTGATTCGTCTGCACTTAACTTACTCTGCCAAACCTTTATCGGGCATTACAAGTATAAAAAAGGTAAAGGACCCCTGATAGTTAAGTCCAGTCGCGAACGACTCTGGGGCTGCAGGGCTCATCTCGCTTTATTGGCCGAAGGAGCCGACGTTTGTCTGCAGACAGTTTTTCTGGGTCATGTGGCCAGCATGACTAAGCCGCTTCTGGCGAAACTAGAGTAGCACACGGAAACGCCATTTACCTTCCTGCTGGAGCGGTACCTATTTATCTACTTGCACTTTGAAGTGCTTTTGAACTGCTAGGTTGGCAGGAGCTAGGACCGAGCATTGGGAGCTCACGCTGTCACAGGGATTCGAACCACCGACCTTCCGATCGGCAAGCCCTAGGCTCAGTGGTTTAGACCACAGCGCCACCCGTGTCCCCACTGCAAGTATAGACCATCATAAAACCTATATAAAAAATTAAAATATATACAAAATATATAACGATGAGGATTTTCACTGGAATTTCTTCCTGCTAAATAGTGCCATTCACCACTCTAAGAGATACTGTTGACAAAAACTCAGTTACCGCCGGGCTAATGTCAGACAGATAGAATCTGATATTTTTATTGTGCCGTGATGTTAAATTACCTGAAAAAGGGATATAGCACGTGTTTGCGTAGATGGTTGTACAATGGACAGTAGTAAAGAATATGTTCTACAGTGTCCGGCACATTCAGAGAACATCCACCATGTCTATCTTTTTCTGGGGGTGTTTGAATATCTGTCCTTGACAAAAGCTGAGGAGAAAACATGACTCGTGCACACATCGTTTCACGGTATTAAGTTTTCCTGCAATGCTTTCCCGGTGTCACCATATTTTTGTGGCGTATGGAGGGGCACTCTTCTGCTAGAGTGCAACAAAAGTGGAACACCACCCTTATTCCCCTCCAAAAAACACAACATTTTGGGTATGAAAACTTACAAGATTTCAGCAGGATGGTACAGGGCACGCACTGACCGGAAGCAAGGTTCTATCTACTTCAAAAATTTGGCAGTAATGAAAGCGGGATGGCATATAACTTGCCCTGATATCACCAGGCACACAAATCGTCATGAATGAACAACTAAATAAGATGTCTGGAGAGGGCCTAAGTCAGCCTGTGGCTGACCCCTACTGAAGAGAATGCACTACCACCAGCAAACTCCAGGAGAGATGGTCACCCTCTCTTTGTCTTGCCTTGCCATTCTTCTTTGCACAATGCAGCTTAGGGCAGATTCACACAACAGAGGCCAACACTAAGTGCTTCATTAGAATCAGGAAGCAGTATCTGGGAAATGGGGAAGGGGCGCAGTGGGGTTTCCTTAGGCCACACCACTTGCATGCACATGCATTGCTTGGTCTACAGCAGAGGTAGGAGATTAGTACGGACTGGGTGCATGAAAATAATAATAATAATAATAATAATAATAATAATAATAATAATAATAATAAATAATTAATTAATTTATACCCTGCCCATCTGGCTGGGTTTCCCCACATATGGCTTGTGGGGATCTAGCATGCCATATGAGTGCAGAGGATCCCTCAATCAGGCATACACTGAGGAACCCATCCTGAGTTAATGGGACAGAGCAGGCTGGAAGTCCATATAAATAATAACCACTTCAGGCAACTCTTCCTAGCAATAAGATATATTTATTTACAGCAGAACCTCGGTTTTTGAACGAAATCCGTTCCAAGGGATTTCGGTGTAATTTCAATGGAGAAAAGTGGAAAAAACCTCAGCAGGAGCCGTTCGACTTATGAGGTACATTTGAAAACGGAAGCAATTACTTCCGGGTTTTCGGCATCCGGAAACCGAAGCGTTCGGCTTCCGAGACGCTCGAAAACCAAGGTTCCACTGTATTAGGAAATAAGTAGAACTGGATTCTGAGAGACTACATGGGGAACGACCATGCCTGCTACCAAAACATGTCTGCCATTTAAGATTAATATAGGGTTAGGAAAAGCAGAGGGGAACTGGCAGGCTCTTCTTAACTTGTCCTACATCAGTCAGCTCTCTCCTGTGTCTGTTAGCCTTCACACACACACACACACACCTCAAAACATTTATTCTCCAGTCAGGTGTCTTCATCGGGGGGGGGGGAGGAAAAGTAGTTTAACACACATGGCACATTTAGATGGAAAAACCTGCAGGTACAGGAGGAATTGAAGCACCTTTACCTGTAGATTCTCCTGCAGCAATTAGCATCCTCAGGCAAAAGGTCGCATCCAAACCATACATTCAAAGCTCACGGACTCCCCCCAAGGAATCCCGGGGAATGCGGTTCATTAAAGATGCTGGGAACTGTAGCTTTCTGAGCGCTAAACTACAGTTCATGGATTCGTCAGAGAGTATCATGCGCTCGAAATGTGCTTTGAATGTGTGGGGTGGATGTGAACAAAAGTCGGGAACTCTCTATTCGCTTCTTAACGCATAGTTCTGCCCTTACTTCCAAAAACAACTTAATGAACATAAGGTAAAGGGACCCCTGACCATTAGGTCCAGTCGTGGCCGACTCTGGGGTTGCGGCGCTCATCTCGCTTTATTGGCCGAGGGAGCCGGCGTACAGCTTCCGGGTCATATGGCCAGTATGACTAAGCCGCTTCTGGTGAAACCAGAGCAGCGCACGGAAACGCCGTTTACCTTCCCGCTGGAGCGGTACCTATTTATCTACTTGCATTTTGATGTGCTTTCAAACCGCTAGGTTGGCAGGAGCTGGGACCGAGCAACAGGAGCTCACCCCAGCATGGGGATTCGAACCGCCAACCTTCTGATTGGCAAGTCCTAGGCTCTGTGGTTTAACCCACAGCGCCACCCACGTCCCTACACCTGTGGCTCTACATAGCTCCCTCCTTATTTCAGATATCGTGATATATTGGCATATTGCAATGTTTAGCTGTTGATGTAGCATGATATTGCAAACCAGATATTGCCTAGCCCCAATCCTAGCCATTGTGCCTTTCACAGAGATACAAACTAAATACCTGGGATTAGCATGCGGCCTGTGGACATCGTCAGGATGACCAAGAGAGTTGACATGGCTCACAAAGAGCAAGGATGAGGTTTCAGCTGTGGTCCCAAGAGCCCCAGCTCTTTCCCTATTGGCTGCCTCTTCCATGTCATCTTTAGGCGCAGCCCTAGCAATTGAAAGCTTCTCCCAAGCATGTAGGTCAATTTCTGTCACTGGCCCAAAGTGCACAAACCTCTGCTTGGGGCTGCTGGCCTTCTCGGACATTCTCACTTTGCGGCTTGCAAAGCGGTTACGACCGGCAGCTTCCACTGCCGTTTCGGAGGTCAGAAACGAACCTGGGGCGTTCGTGAGCTCCTCGTCGCTAATGACAAAGATGTAAGCAAAAAATAAATAAAAAGGCATATAAAAAGGCAGCTACAAGACTGAGGGAAAAACAACAAACCAAACATTTAGTGAGAAGGAGGAATGCACCCCAATGCAAGAAATTGGGGTGTTGCGAGAGGAGACTCTGGCACCCCCCTTATTATCAAAACCAAGGAAGTGTTTGAGCAACACGGAGAAAAATGATTCTGACCAAGACTGAAAACAACATTTTAAAATGTAAACGGCACAACAGGACCTGAGCCAAACTGTATCCAGAAAATTATATGAACTTATCAAAGGACAAAAGTGGCTTGGTTCCAAGTGATGGCATAATGTCTCTTGGAAATCTGAGCAGTACATTCGCAAATAGCTACGATGGCAGTTTTTTCTTGCTTTGTAAACTTTTTGCTAGATTGTGCCCACAGCCCTTCCACTAAACCAGATAGAGAGCTATCGTCTAGCCATGATTGATTCAGACATATTCCCATGTAACCCCGAGCAGAGCTAGCAAGGCCTGTTGCCACAGCTGCTTCCTGCATGGGAGTGCCAAGAAAAGAGGGAAGCCCTGCGAGTGGAAACTTGACAAACACCAAGGGAAAGAAGAGTGTTTCATTTCAAGCCTAGACTCTTAAAGATTATGATAAGGGTTATTCCTGGTTCCTGTACAGATGTGAACAGGAGACTTGTGCACGGAGCCCCTAAGATGGTCCATGTTGCTATTCTTAGCTATGTTAGGGATGGACAGACAACACTCCTCGTGGTGGCTTGGGAAGGTTCAGCACCCCACTAACCCCAAGGAAACACCCAAGACCACACACACAGATAAGGGGTGGGTGAAATCTCTCGATTTTGGTTTCTCTCACTTTCTCATTTTTCCGGTCTTATGTTCAGTTCTCCAGATTTGTTTGCAATTCCTTTTAAGCGCTCATGAAAATTCATCAGCATTCAATGCAACTTTCTGTTAACATACGCGGTCTTGCAAAGCAATTTCCCCTAATCGAATGCATTTTTTACGTTGTTATTATCTGTATATGCATTTTTTAATGCACATTTTACCCTAGCATATGCATTTTTGTACACATTACTTGGCTGGAGAACTAGCTGCACGGCAAAATTAGGAGAAGTGTGAATTTTGAAGGAAGGATGTGCTTCGGTTCACATGCTGTTTCATGAAGTGTGAATTAGGCAGATTCTCCCCATTCCTACACAAAGATGACTGGCAAAAAGACACATCAATTATTATTGACCAGACCTTACTGTGTACCCTGGTAATTTGCTGCATGCAGATATTATGCTTATGTCTTAATTGCTGGCCTTTGGTATTCCTGAGTGCCATGATTCGAGTTACAAATATTTCAGGAGCAATATGAATCTTTATTCTCTCTCTCCTTCTCTCTCTTCCTATGGAAACATACCTGGAATTCCCTGAAACTTTCAGTCGGTCCCAGGTGTCTTGATCTGCTTGTGTTATAGTAGCTCTCACAAAACATGGCAAATCTACTTGGGAGGGGCTAGCCTGAGTTTTTCGCTTAGCCAGGTCATCTCTTTGAACATCTGGAAATTTAGATTGGTCTTTCTCCTTAGAGTCGTCCTTCTGTGACTGCAGGAATGGTTTGTCTTCGCATATCACCACCGGCCTCGCTGAAGTCACACCCATCTTCTGTCCACTAATTTAATGCACATTCCAGAATCAGCAGGACAAAGAATACTTTTGAAGGACCAGACAGTGACAAGCGGCAAGCTCAGTAGCAGGAACGGCCCAAGCTAGTTTGCTGCCTGAGGCAAAGGATGAGATGGTGCATTCCCCATTCTGTGCACGAAATCTGACTAGATTGGTAGTTGTATCTTACTTCAACACTGGTGATGGGGCAGAGTCCTCCACCTCACCCTTCACAGCAGACCCTTTTCTAGTCACTTTCAGCCCTTCAGAATTTGCTGCCTGAGGCAGCTGCCTCACTCTACCTCATGCAAGGGTTGGCCCCGCCAAATCAAAATACTGAGTAAAAGTGCGCAACAGAGGAGAGAACGATGTTGGAGGAAACAATAATCTATTGCTGCAATTTCAGCTAGTGGCTGGTATGCCCCATTGAGAGACAATACCCCCGTTTTTACATAGTTATTGTCTACCAGTGCTGGCAGCAAGATTTTGGAAGCTCTTTGGCATGGCACCTTCAGTGGGCCTCCTTAACCTGGAAGAGGCAGGGGTGCAAAAGGAGAGTGTTCACATGCTACGTCTGACCTTCTAGAGTGCTTCAAGCAAAGCAGGAATGGTGGCAACATTGGGACAGAAAGCTCAGGTCTTGCCAAATGCCACCTCTTTGGCCAGGCCTGCTCTCTACAGACAAACAACAGATTATGGGCAGAGACAAGCAACCCCATTGATGCATTTTTGAAACAATATTTAATTTATTAACAATCTCTCATTTTGACAGTTACGATGACGTCTACTTCCTATGCCGCAATGAATTCATGTTTTGTCTCCCAATATAGCAAATCTTGGGGATTTTCTTTTATTGCTAACCATTCCCAAGCTTCGCATCCAAGGATTTGGACACGTTCTTCAGATGCCATTCCAAGACATTAGTCACCAGTTAGACGCTGGGACTGTAAATGTTGGCATTTATATTGTCGCCACAAAGGCAACACTTTTTATATGGCTAAAAGCAGCAGGAGCTCACAGTTCTCACAAAAGACTTTCTGCACTCTCCAAGAAAGCTATACCCAGTTAAAAATACTGTATGCAGATATTTCTCAAAGCATAAAGAGTAAATCGCTCATGCTCCCTAAAAATGTCACTGCTCATGCCTTTTACTATAATGCATATTATTACCTACACCAGCAATGAGCAAAATGGATTCCAGTCTGGCTATGCAGTAAAAACATTTTGCTCAACATCCACTCGTGTGTTGCATCACCTACACCCAGCCCACAATTATGCCCAGAGCTCAATATAGCTATTGTAAAAAGAGAGAGAGAAAGGGCTTTGCAGGAATTTCCACAAGGGGTTGACCAAAAATGAACAAGACCTGTTTTTGCAGCTTCTTCGTTAGCAGAAATAAATGTGTCCCAAGCCAATATGCAGAAAAGAAACTGACAACTTGGTGTAACACAACTTGGAGAGACAAAAAACCCTTAGAGCCAAGCTAGATAATGTGTCAAGAGTCACGAATTTTGTCTTCCAAGAGCCCTGCAACTGCCACTTTAATAGAACTGAAACTGGAATTCATCTGATTTCACCATATATATATATATGCTGCAAGCAAGCAAGCAAGCAAACAAACAAAACAAACAAACAAACAAACAAACAAACGGTTCCTTTTCGGGTGGGAGGAATTGCAAGGTCAAGCAGGAGAAAAGTGATGTTGAATGAAAAAAACAGCAGGAAGTAAGAGCGTTGAACAGCCATTCTCCCTCCCATTTCTGATTTCAGTTTCTGATGCTGCTTTTCAGATTAAAAAACAGTAGAATGTTGGGAGGGAATCCCAGAGTCTCCTGCGTATTATATCCTTTTCTTAAGCCTTGTGGAAGACTCTACCCTTAACTAGGAGACTAGGAGACTAGGAGACTAGGAGAACAGTGGCTGTCAAACCAACCAACCTATACCCTACACTTTCTGTTCCCAGTCCAAATTTAACCAACCCAGACACTCCTCCCCTTTCCTGCAACTTTTAAGAGAGCAGCCAGAGAAACTTTGCAGAGAGCTTTGAATTCCCCCACCTCCCCTGTGAACCCACTGAAAAATGGGAAGCTTACACTGAAGTGCCAACACCATTGCCTGGTAAAAATAAATAAATCCCAAATTAAATAATACAGAAACAAGTAGAATAGCACACCTTGAACATTCCTGCTTTTTCTTTTGTTTCTTCCCTTCTTCCACTTTACCTCGATCTTTGTTTGCATAAGATCCAAGTAGATACTGGTTAAATGGCAACGTAAGTTTGGGCTGATTTAGTCTTGCTCTGCGTATAGCAAAATCATCCTTCTCTAGGTCGGGAATCCTGTCATCTCGTTCGTCTTCGGACCCAGAATCTTTCCGCTGATAGCTCAGCATAAAGGGGTTCTCTTTGCGAAGGATGATGTCTGGAGTAAGCTCATCCATTTCGCACATGTGCAATTGACTGATCCATAGCAAAGTTAAGTGGGAAATCCAGATGTGAAATGAAAAAAGACAACACGACTCTCCATATGTCTTTTAAAAAGGCAAACAAAATATGCTGGACGTGCCGTTAGTTCAGAGGAAGCGTTCATAATTTAAGACTCCATGCTGCAAAAACCGGAATTCCATGCACGCACAGTTAGTGACAATGGATCTTTATTTCCTGCTTTAATTATTTGCGGAACGAACATGAACAGAACAAGAATTGCTCCTTTCACCATTTAAAAGAGGCACTGTTATTCTCAAAAACACTTAAAACACTTCTTTTTTCCTCTAATCAAAAACTATCAGTACAGCTTCTGGCCATGTACTTAACAGAAAGACACTCTCTAGATTCTTACGTTTCCTTCTAGCACGTATAATTTCTTAAAATGAATTTATTTTGCTTTACATTAATAGCAGAAGTCCCTGCCCATCCCTCTCTGTTGGAGGTTTTGGGTTATGGTCCCATTGACGAACATCAGAGAACAGGACTGCAGTCACTGATATTCATCTATTAACCTTGAGGTGGGAAAATAAAAAAAGTTCATTCAAAGAAAAGATGCAGAATATAACTGGTGCCCTTTCTTCCCACCCCTGAAACACCCTGAACCTATGGAACTTCTCTTATAAAAAAGATTTAAAAATGCCTCTTTTATAATATGGCTATCCCAGCTCTTGAAGAACCATGAACAGTATCATCAGCCAAGACTAATGTTGTCTACCAGAGGCCCCAAGAGGCAATATTTTCCCAATCCAAACAAAACCCAAAGGAAAATGAAGTTATTTGCATTCAAGAATATATAGCACAAAGCCACTTCCGCCTTCAGGAGTTGCAGGCTTCACAGCCCCTCCATGCACGCGGTGGGTAGAGGCCAGCCCTGTGCGATTGGGGGGATTTCCGGCCATGTCACCCCCTAGCCGGCCAACTGGCTGGCTTGGGGGGGGGGCGTGGTCTGCCCTATATAGGCCAGGGATCTCCCTCTTTGCTGCCCGCCAGCTGTTCCTGTTTTCCCACCCTCCCACCCTATAAGGTTTCATTCTTTGACCTTGCTATGGACCTTGGTTGGTCGCCATTGAGGGGGCTGGTAGGAATTTTTCCACTTGGCAAATTGGCACCAGCCACTTGGTTTTCGCCTACCTCATAGCAAATCGTCACATGAAGGGTCAAGAAATCTGATTTTATGCTAACAAGTAAGAAGCTTATAAAGCAGTTATAAACTAGTTTAAAGTATTATGGCTTCCCCAAGGGACTTCCCAGGCTGGCTTTGCATGTTCCTATAATCTGGTTTGCATGGCATGTTTAACCAAACTATGGCTTAGCAACATCATGTACATGTGCAGGCTCCCAGAGAGTTGCTCACAGCTATCTTATTCTTTCCTAGTCCCTTTTACTGCCACTACAACTCATGGTTAGTGAGGTGAGAGCTTAACTGTATGTCCTGATTCAAGAAGACACAGAGAAGTTTCTCCCCAGGAAGAACCCTGTAGGGTCTCACTATGGAATAGTTTGGCTTACTGTATCAGACAAATCAGTGGAAAACACCAACAGGAAAGAAAAAGGAGATTTCTAAATGCTCTTAACACAATTTTTTTTTTTAAAGTTTCCTTCCCCCTCTCTGCCGCCATGTGTATTTAAAAAAGAAGAAGAAAACGAATTAAGTTCATCTTGGGTCTTTCACAACCAGATGGGGCGCAGAAAGGTAGGGCAAAGGAAACACAACAGCACAGGTGTTTAGCCTGCCGCTAAAGCACAGCTTTCCTCTTTGGCAGCCATTCCCTGCCTTCTAGCACCACCACTTTCAAATTCTGCACCTGGCACTTAAGAAAATACAGTATTTCAGGACGACAATGGGGGAGGAAACAATCACTTACTGCTGCAGACCCTGAACATCTTGCTCTACCTAAGGCAGCTCAAGAGGTCCTTGAGAAGAGAGCATGAGAAGTCCTGCGGATAAGATGATGCCAGAGCACTTCCCCCAACCTTTGCTGCCCTTGGCTAAAGGACTGAGTGGTCCACCTGTATCTGCAGCTTTGAAGGGGGAACCGGAAGTTGCAAGGCTGGAGCTGTGCATAATGATCAAAAAGCTCCTCCAAGCACAGGTGCTAAACCTATTATACCCAGTGTAAGCCTGCAAACTCTCCAGAATGGGAGAGACGGACAGCATTGTGCTTCACTGCTATTTTGAGTCATGTCCAAGGTTCTCATTTAAGCCTCACAGATGCTGTTGTTCAAACACTGTTGTCTTGGTTATTGCACACGTTAGTCCCAGTGTGGGGCTAACAGGGGTTCTGCTATTGCCTGCCATACAACCAAATACATGAGATATTGTTGGAAAAGCACCAGGAAAGTGGCTTCAGGCATTCCCTTGCAAAATGGGGCCTTGCACATCTTCTCCACGGTGACTTCCAGGTGTGCCTGAAGCTCTCACGAATCTCTGCACACTTCCAGCAAATGGAACTTGAACTTTGGTTTTTACAGTTTCGGATACTGGTAGAGATGCAACGGCAGCTCTCGAAACCAGCCTGCAAAACCAGGCACAGTTGTGGATGGGGGAACTGCCCCACTGCCAGTCCGGTCAGTTCCTCTACTTGGAATGCAAGGGCACCATCTTGCCCTTTGCTTCAGGCGGCAAAATGCCTTGGGCCAGCCCTGGCTGCTTCCAACGACATGCCGGCATCTGACTTGAGCAATTGAATGCAATCAAGCTTGCTCATGAAAACATGTTTTTGTGCATGAGCAGCATGATTTGGAAGTGGCTGTCTCCATTTCCCACAAAAAAATAAAAGATTCAGGCTGCACTAATCTGCTGCTCTGCTACACCGTTCACACGAGTAAGATACTCATGCGTCCATTGTTTTGTTCATGTTGACCAGGACTTTCCTGACAAACAAAGCAACTCTGAGTTTAGAACAATCTCTCGTGTGTGTGTGTGTGTGTGCGCGCGCGCGCACCAAGCAGCCCTACTTGCAGTTAAGCCATTTCCATTAGTTTTATTGCAGCTGCATCTGTAGCAAACCAGTACTACTGGGTCTCATACCAAGAATACGTTGCAGCAATCCCTTGTCTTACCAGCTTTGGCTTGTGCAATTTCAACCATATGTAGTTGAAGGCAATCTAGGTGAAGCAACTCAAGTCAAGTTCTGAGCCCTTTTCGCATTGGGTCTCCTTGGGGTCACTTGGCGTGAAAAGAGGTTTTAAGCTCTCTGCCTTGCTTGCTGGGCAAAACTACTTGGCACGGTGGTTCTGAGGGTGCTCTCTCTCTCTCTCTCTCTCTCTCTCTCTCTCTCCCCTCCCCCTCATCTGTAGTCCCAGGGTTTGACTGCATGCAATTTTATGCATAACCCTTGGACCTGCAATTCATCACAATATTAATACTGCACCTTTGAGAGAACTGGTAACAGATTGGCTAGAATATCATCAATTCAATGATTTTTTAAAAAATGGATAAAAAGAAAGTTTTAGTTATGAGTTATCAAGATTTCAAAGAGAGATCTTAGAAGATAATTTTAAATTGTTGACAAAAAATGTATAATTTGCTCCTGGGATGGGATACAAAAGATGAACAGGTCAAATCTGTGATGATACAATGGGTGAAAGATGTGGGACATTAAGATACAAATGACAGATTGGGAGAGGCTATGGAAAATAGATCCAAAATTTATGGCATGTACTTTATTGAAAGAAAACTATAGGAAAATGATGTGCCGGTGGTATTTAACCCCGGTAAAATTATCAAAAATGTATAGAACAAGGACCAATATATGCTGGAAAAATATATGCTGGAAATGTAAAGAAAAAGAAGGTACCTTTTATTATATGTGGTGGAATTGCAATGTAACTAAAAATTCTGGGAAATGTTATATAATGAAATGGGGGGGAAATGTTTAAAATAACCAGAAGCTTTTCTATTAGGAATTATAGGTACTGAAATCCTGAAAGACCAGAGGAAACTGTTTATGTATGCTACAACGGCCACTCGGATGTTACTAGCCCAGATATGGAAGGAAGAGACAGCCCCAGCCAGAGAAGAATGGCAAATCAAGTTGATGGACTATGCCGAAATGGCAAAACTAACTGGGGAGCTCAGGAATCAAGGAGACAAGAAATTTAAAAAAGGATGGGAAATGTTTATAATGTATGTACAAAATCATTGTAAACAGGTCAAAACATTAGCAGGATTTTAAATACACTTGTAATGTAACAGAATGTATAGTTAACTTAGGAAGATGAAAAAATTGGAGAAGTATTGAAATGCAGTTCAAAATAGAATCAAAAGGACCCATGGAAGGGATGGGGGGAAGTCAAGAGATTCAGAGTAATATCAATATTTGGATTTTGTACTGTTTTTTGAGGTATGTTTATTTTATTTTTATTTCTCTCTCTCCTTTTTTCTTCGAAAATCAAATAAAAAGATTCTATATATAAAAATATACTGCAACTTTGATGGGCATTCTCTCACACCCTTCTGCTGTTCTTATTCCATCAGCAAGAGTTTGAAACAGATACACAAGCCTGATTTTTTGAAATGCAAATTAAACGAACAAGCAAACAGGAACAGGAACGCCAGAAACCCCAAGCCAGACTCCTCCATGTGTCAAACTGCACATGGATGCACAAACATGTCTGTATTCTGACAGAGTAGCCCAACTAACTGATCCACCCTGCATAATATCCACAGGTAGAAAAGCCGAAACAAACAAGCTACCCTCATATCAGACATGCCTGAACAACTGAAAGAGAAGGGATGGCTGCTGATGACATTATTGTCACGTGTTTGCTTACAGCAAACTGTTGAACAGTCTCCATGCTCTACCAGAAAAATGTAACGAGCTGAATATTTTTACGATTCCTGTTTTAAATTAGACATCCTTTAATGCAACTGCTTAACCTCATTTTTGCTTTGCGCTCACGAAAGCGAAGCTCAACCGCTCCAAGAAAATTGCACATTTAGAGCCTGTTAAGAGGGCACAGTAATTAGAGCACACAACTCTTTTCCAGCCAAAAATTCCTGCACCGTAATCGCTCAGTTGCAATGAATGTGTTTAATAACAGCTAATACTGCAGCGTGCTGGCCTGCAATTCCCAGCTATTGTTTTCTAAAACCTTGCAGTGAATTCCGGCGAGGAAGCAACAGGCGCATTTTATGAGGTTATTTTTCTCGTGACGTTGCAGCAAAACCCAGGAAAAACCACACAGCATGGCAAATACCAAATGCATGCGCACGCCAAGTCCCGCAGTGCGGGAGAGCTAACCTGCTACCATAGCGTTGCACAGCCGGCATGATCTTAATACCGGCCTGCTCAATCCTTCGTAGCTTGCCCAGTTCCTTGGGATCTTTTTCGGGATTTCTGGGCCCCGCTGCTTTCTTGGCAGAATGTGTAGACGACTGACGTAAAGGCTCTCCTTGGTTCACTTCTGCTTGAATAGGCTTCCCAGAGGGGTTTGCAGTAGACACGCAACAGCCCGAACACTCTTCTTCAGATTGCGCCAGTACTTCGGTTTGTTCCTCTTCGATAGTTTCAGGGTGGCTTTTGCTAACAAGTCATACAGGGCAGATTATTTCACATCACGGTCCTGCCTTATTATTATATTACCTGTTGCTGCTTGCGACCGTGCAGATCAGGTTAAGTTAATTCAGCACTGAATTAAAAGGAGAGGTGGCTTTTTAAATGTGAGCCACTACTAAAGGGGGCAGGATACCACCACTTTGACATGTGGATGTGAATCGAAAGGCAGTACACCAACGTTTTTGCATATATGCACACATATTGGAATAATTCAAGAAGAATAATTTATTATTTATACCCAGCCCATCTGGCTGCGTTTTCCCCAGACACTCTGGACAGCTCCTAACTGAATATTAAATACATAATACAGCAGTAAACATTAAAAACTTCCCTAAACAGGGCTGCCTTCAGATGCCTTCTAAAAGTCAGATAGTTGCTTATTTCCTTGACATCTGATGGGAGGGCATTCCACAGGGCAGGCGCCACTACCGAGAAGGCCCTCTGCCTGCTTCCCCGTAACCTCACTTCTGGCAGTGAGGGAATCGCCAGAAGGCCCTTGGAGCTGGACCTCAGTGTCTGGGCAGAATGATGAGGGTGGAGACGCTCCTTCAGGTATACTGGGCCAAGGCCCTTCAGGGCTTTAAAGGTCAGCACCAAGACTTTGTGCTCGGAAACGTACCAGGTTGGATCTAGAATAAACTAGTTGCATTAAAGTCCCATCAAAATCAACGGAGGAAGTAAATCATGGCTTAAGTTCAATGGGAACCAAGTCCAATGAACTTAGTCTGGATCGAACCCATTATATCCAGATTTAAAATAAAGGAAAACTTGAGGAAGGTGGGATATTCATTTTCAAAAACACAATGTTTAGGTGGGGAAAACACCTTCCGCCTGCTTCAGATATTCTCAGAAACGTCATGCACCATTGTCTCCATGGATGCAGACACATGGGGCAAATGACATTTGACCCCGGGGACTGTTGTGGCTCATGTAAATCACTGCCAGAAGGCAGCATGTGTCTGTGTGACTGTGCCAAATCAGTCAGAACAGCTGCCTGTCAAAGGTCAAAAAGACTTGTCACTGGGTGGGTGAGTTCCAGCTGCTTAGCCCTACAGCCTTGTCTCAGAGGCCTTCAGTGAGCTAGATGCCTAGCAGACAGTTTCCAAAGGCAGTGGGAGAATCTCTTGTATGCTACTTTGAGAGCCTCTTTGGGCTATAAAGTGGGATAGGAGTTCTATTAAAAAGTAAATAAATAACGCTACTTCCTTCACTATCCTTCAGGGCTCCATCAGTGCCCTTGGCACTTTACAGGATAAAATAAGCACGCACACAAAAGGAAGGTTGCTGTGTCAAGGACCTTGTGATTGAGACTTAGTTGGTAGTCCAGCAAGGGAAAGAAAAGAATGAGGCAATAAGAGCAGAATACGAGCAACTGCAGTTATACATACAGTCAAACCTCGGTTGCCGAACGTAGTGCGTTCCAGAAGCCCATTCAGCTTCTGAAATATTCGACAACCGAGGCACAGCTTCCTGATTGGTTGCAAGAGCTTCCTGCACTCAAGCAGAAGCTGTGTCAGATGTTTGGCTTCCAAAAAACGTTCGAAAACCAGAGTATTGACTTTCGGGTTTTCAGCATTTGGGAGCCAAGGTTTGACTGTAATGAGGCTTTTGTGTTAGCTAAGGGATAAGTACTTAGGCCTTAAGCCAAGGGCTTCCTGGAAATGATGGATTTGGGAGGGAATTGAGGAAAGAGAGAGATGAGCACAAAACTGTAGCACCCGTGACGGCAATCCGTGAGAAGGTTTTAGAGCATCTGAACCAAAGTTCTGGCTTCAAGTAAAGTCCACGGTACCAATATGAAACCCAGCATCTTGTTAAAAACGAAGTAGGTCAAACAACCTTATGTCCACAGTAAAACTCATTAAGTAATTCTGTAGTAATGTTTCAATAAACTAAGTATAGCAGAGCTGTTTATGTGATGTTCTAAGTCAAACTGCATTCCATGTGATTGCCATCTTGCAATTAATCAAGCAAGAGAGAACAAGGCCAGAAACCATCTATTGGTCACCTGTGAATGGGAGATGCACTTGTTAGGTTTAGGTGGCTCTGGCTTGGTAACCTGAGAAGTGGCCAAGTCCTTACCTGAAAGGTCTCTCTCCTCCTAGGGGAGAAGTAGCAGTACTCCAGCTCTTCCTGAACTCCTCCCGTTCAGCCTTCTTCTTCCTGAGAGGAGCCGGAATATAGGCAGTCTGGTTACTCTTATTGGGGAGGTATTGGTTAAAAGGCACAACTGATTTGGGTTCACCATAAGATGTCCGCCTTGCAGACATATCGTCTTTTTTCACATCTGGCAGCTTTCGATGCGGCAAGTCAGATTCCGAATCACTTCCTCTGCCTATGTGGAAAAGAAAGAAAGAAATTAAGAAAAAGAAAGAAAGGAGTCAAGTTTAAATGCTTAATTCAAGTGTGCCAGTAGGAGGATCGCTGCAATTATCTGGTGCAAAGGTGTCCATCTCCTTCCCCCACAAATGAATGTACGGTTTGCAGGCTTCAGAGTGTCAATTGCCACAGAACATGACACATACAAAAGTGCTCCTTAAATTCAATGGGAAAATGAAGCATAAATTCCAGTCGCTACTTAAGAGTGAGAATCAAGTTTTTAAATTATCAGTAAAAGCTATTGTGCTTTAAGGTCCATCTCGAAGTTTCACAAGGTCACACTTGCACACTGCACATGGGACTGCATAAATGAGGGCATTATTATTTTTTTAATGACCCACATCTCTATTGTATTAAACGTTTAAAAAAACCACAATTGAGTATTGCCCCCTGCACAGGGAAATCTTCAGTTAGCAGTGATAATTGAGAACACACGGGGACGTCCTATAATACGTTTTTCCTATTATAATCTTGAATTTGAAGGTCAGAAATACAATAACTGCTGTGTTCACACAGCTCCAAGAAAAACTCCTCTAGCTCTCTGCAGGCATAATATTTTAGCTGTCTTAAGCAGAAATATTCAACAAGCAGCTGCGCTACAGATATAGCTAGATGACAACACAAGAACTGCCTTGCTGGGTTTTGATCAAAGCCCGTCTCATTCAGCATTTTAAGGAGCAGTCTGCCAGATGTCTCTGGAAGGAGCAGTGGTCATCCATCGTTGCTTATCTCCAGTGTATGACACTCCGAGTAATACCATCTCTGAAGACGGAGATTCCTTAGCTAATAGCCATGGATACACCCCCACCCAAGGATTTGCTAATCCTTTTCAAAAAGCCATCAAAGCCAGTAATGAACCTACAATACTTGAACTCAGGATCATCCCACAGGATGCTCAACTTCATGGGATGACCCAAAGTTCAAGTAATATGGGAGAAAGGAAACAAACTTCTGAACAACTGTACAAAATGAACTCAAGACCTTTCAATTTTTTTACTTTCTTTTCAAAGATGGTAGTGTTGCAAAGGTAAAGTACCCCTGGACAGGTAAGTCCAGTCAAAGGCGACTATAGGTGTGGTGCTCATCTCACTTTTCAGGCTGAGGGAGCTGCCATTTGTCTGCAGACAGCTTTCTGGGTCATGTGGCCAGCAGGACTAAACTGTTTCGGGTGCACAACGGGACACCATGATGGAAGCCAGAGCGCACAGGAAACGCCAGTTACCTTCCTGCCACAGTGATACCTATTTATCTACTTGCACTGGTGTCCTTTGAACTGCTAGGTTGGCAGCAGCTGTGACAGAGCAACAGGAGCTCACCCCGTCGTGGAGGTTCAAACCACCGACCTTCCGACTGGCGAGGCCAAGAGGCTCAGTGGTTTAGACCATAGCACCACCCGCGTCCTTTGGTAATGTTGCACAACAACATGGGCAGGGACAGAGAACCGAGTCTACTAACTGTAGTTCTCCAGATGTTGCTGAACTCCATTCGCATCAGTATCAGTCAGAATGTCCAACCACAAGGGACAAGAGGTGTAGTCCAATGGCATCTTGAAGGTCCCTGCCCTAAACAGCTTGGGACCAGGTGACCTGAAGGATCACCTTCATCTAGTTCACACCTTGAGCTCTGCATCCCATATCCCACTTGTATACTTCCATTTTCGTACAAATTGTACAAGTTTACAACATGTGGGGCACTCTCAGTGGGGTCCCCATGTCCATGGGACTGTTTCAACTGAAACTTTCTTGTCCCCATCAGTATAGGCCTTTAAGCTTTAAAGACCCATTTATTTAAAACTGCTTTCTTCTTTAAAAAAGAAAAGAGCATGCTATTTTTTTGTGTGCTGCTCCATGATACAGAACTGCAATATTGTAATTTTAAAAAATAAAATCTATTTTTTTACACTGTGCTGCAGGTTGTTGTGATTGGTGATACTGCTAGTTATTAGCATTTTATTGCTAATGGCATTTTAATGTTGCAGCTGACTGATCTGCATGCGTGCGGAAGGCCTCCTTAAGTGGTTTAACCCTAAAAGGCGGCCTGTACATATCTAAATAAATCAACTAGAAAACAAATGCCTGACTAACTATATCATCTGCTAACTAAATGTTATGTTTTTCCCCTACACCACAACGGCTATGCTCAGATTCCCTGGTTAGAGACAGCATGCTTCTGAATACCAGTTCCTGGGAATCAAACGTGGGGGAGAAAACAGCTGCCCTCTGGTTCTTCTTTTGGGCTTCCCATAGACATCTGGTTGGCCACCATAAGAACAAGATGATTCCTTGGATAGCTCAGTTGGTTGGAGCAGGCTACTGATAGTCCCAAGGTTGCAAGTTCGATACCCATATGGAACAGCTGCATATTCCTGCATTGCAGGAGGTTGGACTAGACGATCCTCAGGGTCCCTTCAAACTCTACAATGCTATGAAGTTGGACTAGTTGGGTCACTGGCCTGATCTAACCAGCCCTTATGTTCTTACCATGACTCCAGGTCAATCAATTTACTGTCTCGCCAAAGTGGCACAAGCTCTAGTTATCTCCCGCTTGGATTACTGCAATGTGAGCTACGTGGGGCTACCTTTGAAGGTGACCTGGAAACTACCATTAATCCAGAATGTGGCAGCTAGACTGGTGACTGCGAGTGGCCACCAAGACCATATAACACCGGTCCTGAAAGACCTACATTGGCTCCCAGTACTTTTCTGAGCACAATTCAAAGTGTTGCTACTGACCTTTAAAGCCCTAAACGGCCTTGGCCCAGTGTACCTGAAGGAGTGTCTCCACCCCCATCATTCAGCCCAGACACTGAGGTTCAGGTCCGTGGGCCTTCTGGTAGCTCCCTCCCTGCGAGAAGCAAAGTTATAGGGAACCAGGCAGAGGGCCTTCTCAGTAGTGGCACTCACCCTGTGGAATGCCCTCCCAACAGATGTCAAGGAAATAAACAACTATCTGACTTTTAGAAGACATCTGAAGGCAGCCCTTTTTTAGGGAAGTTTTTAATGTTTGATGTTCTATCGTTTTTTTAAATATTCTGTTGGGAGCCGCCCAGAGAAGGTGAGGAGACCTGGTCAGATGATGATGATTGATGATGATGATGATGATTATCTCCTTACATTTCAGGCCCAAGAAGTGCCACCACATAAATTAGACTGCTATGACATCCCCCACCCCACAGCCACAGCTTGTAATTATAAGGCAAAAAGCTTCCGCCATAGTGTGACCCCCCAAAGCTCTAGACCATAAATTGGCATTCAAAGAGAGTTCCCTTCTGACTTCAAGGGATTAAACGGCACATCACACTTCCAAAACCCAAGCCAGCTTCTCCAGCGACAGCACACCAGCTATTTCACACCAGAAGAGCCGCGTGTCACATTCAAAAGGAGCCCTGGAGAGCACAGCTTACCATCGCTGCTTCCTCTCAGCACCACATCTGGAGACGGCGTCTGCTGGGAGCGGGAGCCGAAGGAATCCAGGCTGTCAAAAGAATCATCTCTTCCGTGGCGGGGAGGAGAAAGGGAATCGCTGCGTTCAGAGTCCCAACAGTCTACATAGCCGCTGTCACGGATGCTGCGCTTGGGGCTCTCAACATCCTCAGTCTCCTAATGTGGACAAAGCATACACACACACACACATACGTGTTGTTGTTGTTGTTTAAAGAAATACCCTTAATGCAAACAGCAATAACGTTCTGAGAATCTAGCATGCCTAGAACCTACGGCTGGGGACAGAGAGATATTTTTCTAAGGGAGTTGAAAGTGGTATCCTGGAGGCATTGTTCGCCCTGGTACTCACACACATTTCTTTTGTATCATGGCTGTCTCTGATCCAATAGGTTTTGCAGGTTTTCAAAACAGTAGAAAGAAAAGAGTTTAACCAGAACCACCCACGGGGCAAACGAAAAGTGTACATACACTACGGAAGCAATGCCTCTCTCTCAAAACAGTTTTGTCCATCTTAAAAAAAAAACCCAGCCAAATTGTCTGTTTCCAATACCAGAGGAGTCAGCGTGGTAAAATGTACACATCACCACAGCCAGCAACACCATTCTTGTATCGCCTTTTTACGCTTACAAAAAGAGACTTCTCTTTCCGCCACTCTCTAACCAAAGCCATTTTTCAAGTAACTACGAAGAGACTACTGTTAAAGGCAAAACACAATCCACCACGGCAATGTGCAGAATGAAAACACACCAGAATGAAAACACACTGTACAAAGAATTGGAAGAAAGCAGGCTAGCATGTTCTAAAGAAGAGAAGTGATGTCGATGTGTGGCACTTTAAAAGACTAAGCCATTGATTATGGCTAGAGCTCATTTCCATCAGGTATAGGTTTACATGTGTACCAAGAAGTAAAAAGAAAGGAATTGACCTGAAACATGGCTGGTTCTGCATCCAAATCCATATCATACAAGCCATTGTCCATATCATAGGAGCAAAGGCATCCTGGGTTTAAGTTAGCAGGCAAGACACGTCTAACTCCACCAAGCTGATCATTTCCACTTAGATATCATACTGGCCCAGGACACCTGCAGAGAGAATCTGCTGCTGCTGCTTTTGGCTCAGTCAAACAACGAAGCAGCGAGCTGCAGGAGACAGCGTCTTTCTACCTCGGAGAGAAATTCCAGTTATGAAAGAGGGGATGTCTTTCTTCCCGGAGCAATCAGCAGCCGAAAAATATGCAAAACGCTTTTCCTGATGCCTCTGAAGAATTCAGTCTTGCTCTTTGTTTGTTGCCAGCTCCTGGCTCTGGGGGATATGAAAGCACTTGTATCTGACCCACATGTTCAGAGCAGTGAGAACAATGGCCGCCTTTGACAGCCTCCCGATTATAAATTCTTTCCAGAGCAAGCCGCACATACTAAAACACTGAAAGCTCCAGAAGAGGGAAAAGGTCAGTAGAAACCATCCTCAGCCTTGCATTATTAGAAGAACATTGCCCCTTGTTTCAGGCGGTATCTTATCATCAGTTACAACAGGATGAGGCCAAGAGAAACAAAAATAAGGCCCTTTGCTGAAAAGCAAAGTTTTGGAAGTCCACCCAGTCCCTGCTTCTCCCTTTGAGTGAAAAAGGCAGGGACAATATTATCACCCTCAGATGTGGTCATCAGAAAAGCCCAAGATGAGAAATGCTTCTCAGGGAGTCCTTTTGAAAAGGTGCAAAACTGCCAACAGGTGCAGAAGCGTCTGTATCATGTGGTACAAATAAACAAGTCATGCCAGAGGCCTGCTTCACTTGATTATATAAACAGATGTGGAAGACATTGCATGTGTCTGTCTCAAACCAACATGCAAATTCAACCAACAGAGGTTTGCAGATCCGTATGCCATAATGGCATATTTGTCAAGGAGCCATGACTGGCAAAGCCTCTGAGTTAGATGTGCCCCTTGGGCTTCCCACTGTAAGGATGAATGGATCGTTCTGTTTCCAGTTCATGTCAATTTCACATTATGTTCATTCATAAGTCCATTTTGTTTTATTTCTGAATGAATCTGTGATTTTTTCAACATATATTTTAAAAAAGAAATCTGAATGTCTATCCTTATTTACATTTCTATTTAAATATGCATTACCACCACAAACATATGTATTTGAGTAGGTGCTTTACCTCTGTACTATATGCTTTTCTAAATATATTCTCTCTAAGAACTTTATCACAAAATTCGGAGACCCTCCCTCCTCCAGAAAAATATAAATGTTCCAATCTGAACATTCAAATGTGGATCAGGTCACATAGGATTTCATAGGAATCAAATTCCTCAAGCATCCTTACTGCGTTCTGTGTGAAATGGCCCTCAGCATTAGGTGGGGATAACCCAGATTCAGATCCTCAGTCACGTATGAAACTTAGGCAATTTCACACATTACCCAGAGGTGAACCCAGACTTGACCCTCAATAGGGAAACAAAGGCAATCACAGCTTCCCAACAAGAGAACTGCTTTTTGTATTTAGGTGCACTCCTAAAACTTACTTAGCCTAATAAGTAAGCTGCCCAGGGCTTTCACTGAAGGACCACAGAAAACACCTATTCTCTTGACCTGTACACCAACAGCCGATAGCTCAGACCAGCTTGTTCTGCCTTATCTACAGATACTGTATGTATGTGTTTTGGAAATGAAAGGGTCTCATGTCTCATACTGTGGTCCTGTCCCCCCACCCCAAAGAGCTTCTCCCAAATTTACATACTAAAGTGGAAATAATAATTATTACAATTACTATTATTAGCAGGGCACATGTGCAGCAAAGACTTGAATGCTGCTGGGTTCCTCTTTGACATATAGGGCAGATACAAGGTACCTACTTACATGATATCTGCTGGATGGCACAAGTGAAACTCTTCCTTGTGGGAACGGTAAAGGTAAAGGGTAAACGGACCCCTGACTATTAGGTCCAGTCATGACCAACTCTGGGGTTGCGGCGCTCATCTCGCTTTATTGGCTGAGGGAGCTGGCGTACAGCTTCCGGGTCATGTGGCCAGCATGACTAAGCCGCTTCTGGCAAACCAGAGCAGCACACGGAAACGCCGTTTACCTTCCCGCCAGAGCAGTACCTATTTATCTACTTGCACTTTGACGTGCTTTCAAACTGCTAGGTGGGCAGGAGCAGGGACAGAGCAACGGGAGCTCACCCCGTCGCGGGGATTCAAAACGCTGACCTTCCAATCAGGAAGTCCTAGGCTCTGTGGTTTAACCCACAGCGCCACCCGTGTCCCTGTGGGAACTGTACGCTTACATAAAAGAAAGGAAAAGGACACACTAGAGCAGGGTTTCCCAAACTTGGGTCGCCAGCTGCTTTTGGACTACAATTCCCATCATCCCTGACCACTGGTCCTGCTAGCCAGGGATGATGGGAGTTGTAGTCCAAAAACAGCTGGAGGTCCAAGTCTGGAAAATCCTGCACTAGAGGGAGACCACTTAGGCCTTCCCTCCTATAGACCCCAAGAATAAAGCCTGTTCCTTGCTACATAGCTCAATCTCATTTATGGTCACACAGACACTGCATTTCTTCCAAAATTGGCCACAATTATTACAGCCGCATTGCAGATGAGGAGCAGGGCAGAGAGAGGCTACCAGCTTGTCTAAATACTACCAAGAAAGAGGCGAGCTTTAGATTGGAAACTTCTCAGTTTGTACATCAGTCCCTTTGTTATTATGACACATTAGGTGACATCCTGGGATCAGGTCTATGAAATCCTATGTGAAACAAAAAACAAAACAAAACCAAGTACCATGAACAGCAGAGAGGAGGTTTAAACACGAAGCAGGATGATTCAAAAAACTCAAATGCCCTACAAACTTCTCAGGGAGAAAACTTAGTAATTAGGGTCAGTGTTGAGTTGGCTGCCAAAAGTCCCTTAGCGTGCTGAAAGCCAAGGTCCCCTAAGGCCAAGCGTGGAGACGGCAAATAGCTGTAAGGTAAAATCACAGAGTTTAAGGAAGTTAAAATAATTTGATCAGATGAAAATGCAGCGTTTCATGGTGTCTCTTTCTTCTGTTTAGCAATGAACGACAGAAGTTACTACCAAGAGCTAAAGAGGGTGTCCTTTCTCCCAGGTAAAAATGCTCCATGAAATAAATTTGATGCGTGTATCTGTTACTCATACGGAGCTACTAGCCCAATTGCCTCTAAGTTACTAGGTTAGGTGCTTTACAAATGTTTAGCGTTTTGAATTTTCCCATTTACTTATGTATTTATTTCCGCACTGACTAACACAAGTTTGTGCATAAAGCAGTCTAATGAAAATGTGGGAGGGCTAATATGACTTCTGCGGACTTTACTTGCAAGCCTGATGCTGTTAGGACCAGGCTTTGGACAGCAGACTGAAGTAAGTCAGGAGTTGTGGGACCTGCCAGAAGTCGAGAGCAAAAGAGTAAATCAGAGCAGGAAGACAACCCAAGAGGAAGGATCACGGAACAAGCCAGGGACAAGGAATGATGCAGGAACAAGTCTGAGCTCAGGAAGAGCTTGTGGCTCAGGCAAGGCTCAACCAGTGTCCAAAACTCCCCATTATTCTAGGCGCATTTTGCGACGGGGAATTTCATTAGGGCGAGCAGTTTCTGAGCTCTGGGTGCAGTACTGTGTCAAATATTTCAGATAATAAGAATAGAAGGAAAGGAGGACCTTATTCTGCCTTCCCACTTCCTGCTACTCTCTGAAGTTTGGAGAAGAGACCCTCTTAAGAATATTATGGGGGTGGGCAGGGGAAGGACTAGACCATGTGCAAAAATGAACATAATATTTTATCTGCAATTCATTCATTTCCAGCTTTGTATTCTTGTTATAAAAAAGCATTCCTAGACATTCTGTTGTTGAGCCCCTAACCTATTATTGTTGTTGTTATTTGGTGAATTTATATACTGCCCTATATCCAGGGGTCTCAGGGCAGTTCACAGAATAAAATCAAGATATAAAACCACAAAATACATAATAAAAATAAAAACAACAACCCAATAACACCCCCAACAAAAAAACCCACCTAGGTTGAGCTCCTAGCTTTCATATCTCAGTTTCTAACACTGGGCTCAACACCAACTGGAAGCCCTCTTCTGAGCTTTCCTGTCTAGGAGGAGTCAATGGCTGGCCTGGGGGGACAGGATACTCACTGAAGTGATTACCTGCAGTTCAGTGAATCACCACATAGGGCAGCTGTCCACCAATCTCAACTTTCTGACCAATGCTCTCTTAATGATACGAAAACCCACATCTTCATCCCACAATGCATTCTGCCTACCCATTTGGACTTCAGGCCTCGCTTAGCAGACTCCCTTTGATTTTCAGCTCAAAATACCAAGCCTAAAGGTAAAGGTAAAGGGACCCCTGACCATTAGGTCCGGTCATGGCCAACTCTGGGGTTGCAGCGCTCATCTCGCTTTATTGGCCAAGGGAGCCGGCGTACAGCTTCCGGGTCATGTGGCCAGCATGACTAAGCCGCTTCTGGTGAACGAGAGCAGTGCACGGAAATGCCGTTTACCTTCCCGCCGGAGCGGTACCTGTTTATCTACTTGCACTTTGACGTGCTTTTGAACTGCTAGGTGGGCAGGAGCAGGGACTGAGCAACGGGAGCTCACCCCGTTGCAGGGATTCAAACCGCCAACCTTCTGATCAGCAAGTCCTAGGCTCTGTGGTTTAACCCACAGCGCCACCCGCGTCCCATATACCAAGCCTAGGTAGCTGTAATAATAATAATAATAATAATAATAATAATAATAATAATTATATTTTATTTTTCAAATAAAAAAAATTATTTGTTTTCTTTTCTTCTTTCCGTAAGGAATAATGATTCCACAATCAACATCAAAAATACGTTCCCTCCCCCATTCCCCATGTATTTATTTATCCTTTCACCACTATCTCTAATGAGATTCTTAAAATCTCACAACTTCCCTCCATTCCCACTTCTGGTTTCTTTTATACACCAAATTCTTCTGCATTCCCCTATCTCCTATTAACCCACTATTATACCCTAAATTATTCGAGTTTCTGGTAATTGCAAGCATTTAGTCCAAACCTGCTAATGTTTCAACTTGTTTACAATGTTTTTGCACATATGCAATAAACGTTTCCCACTCTTTTTTAAACCTCTCAGTATCGTAGTCTCAGAGCTTTGCTGTCAGTTTTGCCATCTCTGCATAGTCCATAAGTTTAATTTGCCAAATAATTTTATTATTTATACCTCGCCCATCTGGCTGGGTTTCCCCAGCCACTCTGGGCAACTTACAGCATATCTAAAAATATAGCATGTTGTGAAGGAAATGGACTGTTCTATATTATAAAAATATAAATCTGGGTTTGCTGACGCAGTGGATCACACTTACACTGTCTGGATTTGGGAATTAAATGCCAAAACCTCAAGCGTCTTGCTTTGATAGCCAGATTAAGGTGGATCTCAGCGTGATAAGGAGGAAAAACAGAAGGGAGAGATGCAACTCTAAAGTAAGTTTCATTAAAATGTTACTGTGAAGGACTGTTTAATTTTCAGGGAGAGTAGATGGGGCTTAACTCTGTTTATTTGTTCTTTTGCTCCAAGTGGGAGGAATGCTTTGGCATGCAAGTAACTTTTATTGCATTTAATTCTTTTCCCCAAGATGAACTATCTTTTTTAAAATATATTAATAAACTTTGTTTCATAATAATTTTGTGGTCTCTCTTAATTTAGCACCCCATGTCAGGAGCCAAGGCCTGTGCTACTCTTGAGGCCGATCAGAAGGTTGGCAGTTCGAATCCCCGCAACGGGGTGAGTTCCCGTTGCTCGGTCCCTGCTCCTGCCAACCTAGCAGTTCGAAAGCGCGTCAAAGTGCAAGTAGATAAATAGGTACTGCTCTGGCGGGAAGGTAAACGGTATTTCCGTGCGCTGCTCTGGTTCGCCAGAAGCGGCTTGGTCATGCTGGCCCCATGACCCAGAAGCTGTACGCCGGCTCCCTCGGCCTATAGAGTGAGATGAGCGTTGCAACCCCAGAGTCGGTCACGACTGGGCCTAATGGTCCCTTTACCTTTAAACCAGAACACTTACTTCTAGGTTTGCGTTGTTCGATAGCCAAAACATACGAGTACCAAGGCATTCAACAACCAAGGTGCGACTATATGAGCAAGTGACAATCTGCTTTTCCTTTAATGGTAACCCAAATATCTCAACTGATGTGGGTTGTCTCACACCCTGCTTAACAGCAAAGCTGGCCACCCACTTAGAGACATCATGGTATATACAAATGTAATCATCCACACTTCATGCAAAACACATTAAAATTGTTTTGTATTCCTACAAGATGGCTGTTCAGCACATAACATTATATATGCATGCCATGCGTTCTGAAAAGAGAACCAGACCTCCAGACCCCAAAGTCAATCCTACTTAAACACCCTCTTTGACCCCCCCCCTCGGCACACGCACCCTCCCCAACCAATCTGACATCTTTCCCAAATTCCCCCGAAGCTCTACATACCAATAGAATAAGTTTAATCCTTTGGCAGATTGCCAGTTTTTGAGGGGCAGGGGAGGGAGGAAGATAATATGTCTCCCTATCGTGGAAAACGCTTGACAGCAAGGTAAATGAAAATCAGATGAGCTAGACAGTGACACAGGCCAGTTTTCATTCATAAAACATTTCAAGATACAAATTACAGAACAAATTAAAGAATGAATCAACTGTAAAAAAAAATAATTATATATTTTTTGTCCTTCTGTTACTTGAAGAGTAGCTTGGTTTTGTTTGTAAGGAAAATGGGGATGGATGCATAAACCGAGAGCTGCCACACCTCCATATTAGGGCAGATTCATGTTTGAGAGTGGCTAAGAGCTGAGAAGTAACCCTCAGCCATCAGCTAACAAATTTGCCTTTTGGCTTAGTAATACTGGCCTCCCTTGCAAGGCTGTTGTAAGGATCACCAAGATAACGGGTGCAAAGCGCTTTCAACACTTGAAAAGGCGCTGCTGGAATACGAAGTATTATTTAGCATAGCGATTAACATGGAAACAACTAAGCAGCCTCTCTGTGTGTGTATCCTATTATTATCGCCTCATTCAAAACATGTGGTGCAATACCATTGCTTACATCTGCATTATGACATCTTTAAAAACAGATAATCTGAAGCATGGCATTCCGTAACACAACAGTTATCACAGCCATCTGGAAAAAATCAAATTCACAGACATGCAATAAAAGCAGTCATAATAGCTACACAGAAGATCTCTTTCCTCAACAATTTCGCATATTACAAACATATTGGAGGCTGAGAATATTTTTTTGAACCATCTGCATCACAACCTTTATTATTAAGCTAACCTGGTTGTTGGAAAGAGGGATATGTTTCAATATTTCTGTACATTCCGATATTTATTTGTTAATCTGTTTGTTCGAATTTTGTTACCATCCTTTCTTCGCTACAAGGTACCAATGAAAGAGCTGGATAAATTGAGCCATTTACCACGACTGTCTACTTTGTATGGTTTTAGGTTTTTAAAAAACGTGTTTGCTATTTTTTTGTATACTTAACTGTTTCAATTATCTTTTAGTGTCCAGTGGGACCACCAATTCACTTACAGGCGTGTTAACCTCAGGAGCACACAATAACAGGATCACACTAGTTTTCCAAAACATGAGGAGGGAAGCTGTTTCTTAAAGAATGTGTTTATTTTTACTGTCCCTCTAAAACTACATAGGAAGAAGAACACTTTTAAAAAGCCAAGAAAAATAGGGAGGAAATGAGCAGAAAGGAAGCCTTTCTGACGGGATGGAAGACTGGGATAGTTTAAGGAAGCCTCAGGAGCCACATAAAATTTGGGGTTTCCCCTGCATAAGCAGCAAGCTGCCCACCAGTGACTTAGTATTAGTAGCGTCACTCTAAATCAGTGTCCAGTCCCTCTGTTAGAAAACCTCAGTCAACTAGCTAGAGATAAGAATGAAAAAACAATATGAGCATTAAAGTTGGCAGAAGAATATGGACAGAAATTGCAGCAGGTGTACTTGTAGGGTAGGAGGGCGGGGGGGAAATGCCAAGATATTTCACATCTGGCAACCAATGAGCCTCTTTGGTTTCAGACAGTACGTGGGTAGATTGGTCCAAAAAGCCAGGGATACAAATTTTCACGGCCCTCTACAGCTACAGTAGCTCATTTACCAGAAGTAAATACCAGGAGTGTATACAGTCGTACCTTGGTTTTCGAACGCTGCAAACCCGGAAGTGACTGTTCCGGTTTGCGAACTATTTTTCGGAGCTGAACATCCGACGGGGCAGAAGCTTTCTGCAGCCAATCCAACGGGGTAGAAGCTTCCTGCAGCCAATCAGAAGCTGTGCTTTGGTTTTCGAATGTTTTGGAAGTTGAACGGACTCCATTCGACTTCCAATGTACGACTGTACTTGATTGTGACCAAACTAAGCCTCCTATGTACATTTTGCTCTAGGAGGCTTAGTTTTGGACAAAGTCAAGCATACACTTCCAGAGTTAACGCTAAATGTATTACTTCTGGTAAATGAGCCAGCGTAGCCGCTAGAGGGCCATAAAAATTTGTGTCCTAGGCTTTTGCAACTCATCTTACCATGTACTATCTAAAACCAAATTGGCTGCCAGATGTGTGTGTGTTTTTCCAGTTCTCCTACCCCACTATACTGTACTTTTACTAATGAGGAAGCTATTGTTCCACTAGTAGAAAAAAACCCCCAACAGCAAATACCTTTCTCAGCTGCGTTAGCAATCCTTCAAACTCCCTCAGGTTGAGCGTTGCTCCACTGAAACCAGTGCTGCTGTTTGCTGTTTTCCCCAGCCAATAGATGGTGACTAAAACCTGAAGAATGAAATGAACATTAATTGTGGGGGTGATCTATCCAAACCACTTTATCAGTTGAATACAGCAACCTTGTCCAGCTCTCCAGCAGCCTTTTAAAATCTCATCAAATCATTTGTCAGCTGCTGTTTTCAAAGGCTCTCTTACAAAAGAACATGGTCACAGAGACTTTGAAGCACACGAAATCACATCAGCACTGCTGATATTTCTAATGTATGTGAAGTAGCACTGGCAGAGCTCCCTATTAAACCTTGTCCAACAGTATCTGGGGAGCCAACTTCAAGGGACAAGGCTTCAGTGCTTAATGAAACTGCTTTAATATTGGTTTATGTCGTTCTATGTTCCCAACACAGAGGTACAAATCACAAAGATACTGACTGCCTGATGCCGAGGGTTTATTACAAGTTCTGCAAGTTTCACTAATATACCATTTTAATGGTTGTTGAGGTGGCTTAGCATTTTTAATTTCTCCACTACAAGGAATAATCAGATTGAAACTAACTCCAAAGCAAAAGTCTGCTTCTCTTGAAGCTTTTCCTTTTACATGTACAGAGTTTCAAACATCAATAATCTAATTTGCTTCTTAAAATTGTACCCTGCCTTTCCAGACAAGTGCCTAGGGCAACTAATGGGAAACCAAACAAATGCTATTAAAATATCACCATTGTCTATTTATAGAATAGTTTCCCCCAAGCTGAAGGTTGGAAGATTCAGGACAGACAAAAGAAAGTGCGTATCTCTTCACACAGTGCATACTTAAACTATGGACTTCACTCCCATAAGATGTAATAATAATAATAATAATAATAATAATAATAATAATAATAATAATAATTTTATTTATACCCTGCCCTCCCCAGCCAAGACCGGGCTCAGGGTGGCTAACAACCAATAATAAAAACAAGTTGATTAAAATACAATTTAAAAGATTAAGATACAACATTAAAACATTAGGCTGCAATCTCTTCATAGGAGGAGAAAGGAAAAGAAAGACGGGGAGGGAATCAAACTGATTCTAAGCCAAAGGCCAGGTGGAACAACTCTGTCTTATAGGCCCTGCGGAAAGAGATCAGATCCTGCAGGGCCCTGGTCTTAAGAGACAGAGCATTCCACCAGGATGGAGCCAGTGTTGAGAAGGCCCTGGCTCTGGTTGAGGCTAATCTAACTTCCTTAGGGCCTGGGACCTCTAGGGTGTTGCTATATATTAAAGTCCTCCGTGGGGCATACTAGGAGAGGCGGTCCCGTAGGTACGAGGGTCCTAGGCTGTGAAGGGCTTTAAAGGTCAAAACCAGCACCTTAAATCTGACCCTGTACTCCACCGGGAGCCAATGCAGCTGGAAAAGCACTGGGTGAATATGCTTCCATGGCAGAGACCCTGTGAGGAGCCTCTCTGCAGCATTCTACACCCGCTGGAGTTTCTGGGACAGCTTCAAGGGCAGCCCCGCGTGGAGCGAATTACAGTAGTCAAGCCTGGAGGTGACCGTCACATGTAGAGACGGCCAGCAATTTGGCCAGCTTCAAAAGGGGATTGGACAAATAAAATTTGTAGAGGATAAGGCTATCAATGGCTGCTAGCCACAATGACAAAGTCCCACCTCTCCTGTCAGAAGCAGCACATCTATGAATACCAATAGGTACAGTTGCACTCAGTTACTGCTTGTGGTCTTCCCCACAAGGATGCTGGACTGGACTGAACTTTGGCTTGATCCAAAAGGATCAAGCAATGCGCTCTACGTGCGGCTACCTTTCAAGATGACCCGGAAACTACAACTAATCCAGAATGCGGCAGATAGACTGCTGATGGGGGACGGCCGCCAAGACCACATAACACCTGTCTTGAAAGACCTACCTTGGCTCCCAGTACATTTCCGAGCACAATTCAAAGTGTTGGTGCTGACCTTTAAAGCCCTAAACGGCCTCGGTCCAGTATACCCCTATCATTCTGCCCAGACGCTGAGGTCCAGCGCTGAGGGCCTTCTGGCAGTTCCCTCTCTGTGAGAAGCAAAGCTACAGGGAGCCAGGCAGAGGGCCTTCTCAGTAGTGGCGTCCGCCCTGTGGAACGCCCTCCCATCAGATGTCAAAGAGATAAACAACTACCTGACATTTAGAAGACATCTGAAGGGAAGTTTTTAATGTGTGATGTTTTAATGTATTTTTAATCTTTGTTGGAAGCCGCCCAGAGTGGCTGGGGAGACCCAGCCAGATGGGCGTGGTACAAATAATAATAATAATAATAATAATAATAATAATAATAATAATAATTTTTTATTATTATTATTATTATTGTTATTATTATTACTATTATTATTATTTCTTATATTCTAATAGAGATCTTCACCTAATGTAGAAGCCAGGCAAGCATCTCCAGGAAGAGCACTCAATAATTAGGGTACCGCTATCATAGGGGACTTTTCCTTGACTCCCCATCTCACATAGGCTTTGTCTCCAACAAAGATCTTAGGGTCTAGGCAGGTGTTTATGGAAAAAGTATACCGACCCCAAGGCATTTTAGAGCTTTAGAGGTCCATATGAGTGCTTTCAACTGAATCCAGATTTCTCTACTCATATTTCATTGTCTCTTAACCCCTCCACTAGCTGTATTCGATAGCATAGCTCTGAACACATTCTCCTGCCAGCTTTAAGAATGGTTCAGGTTAACCAGGATTCTACCTCAGCCAGAATTTGCTAACCAGCTGCAAACCATAGTTAAGATGATCAGTGTTAACCATGGTTAGGAATGACAGAGAAGGTTGAGAGAATTCACACTCAAAAGGGATGTAGCTAAGGAAGGAGTACACAATCTTGAAGTCTGGTCCAGATCAGTTGATGAAAATCAGGAAATCTACAGTTGTTGTTTGTCAGAACCATTATGTCTGAATTCCACCCCCACCCGTTCCCCATTCTTAAAGATCTTTCCTCCCATCACCCCTTTCTGAGGTCAATTGCATATATTCTTCATTGTCTTAAGAGGAAAATTAAAACCACAAGACGGGATTTCCACATGCAGGATATATATATATAGGAAGAAAAATTCCCAATTAGTCCCGGGCAGTAAAGGAAAAGAATTCAGTGAAAAGTAACTTAACAAGAATGTTAGTTTAGATGAACCATAATCAGGGAGATATATTAATTTTATGAGCGCTCTCTTTTTTAAAAAAATGCAATCATTAATGCAATCATAAATGTTGTATTTATTAAATAAAGTGGTTTTCCTGTTTATTTAGTAACTCCAGGTGCAATGCTTGGAATCAGTCTAGATAAGCATCAGATAACTGACAGGAAACTTCCACTCACAGAAACAAATTCTCTGCAGACTGTGGGCTGGGGTGCACATCTATATATAATGGTGTGAACTGAAAATGTTCCACTATTATACTGCTTAGGAAGCCAAAGTTTTCATAATTCATTTCCTGATAACATATTTTTATTAGGTAGGAGTTAGCTTGGAGTGTTGATGTTTTTCTTGTATTCAGACATACTGAACCATATGTTGACAGTCCACTCTTCTATGTGTCTACTCAGAAGTAAACTCCATGGACTCCAGTGGGACTGTAGCCTGAGTTGTCACACTTTGCTTTAACTATAGTCAAAATTAAGGGCCCAATGGCCTGGTTTGCACATCACAAGCAAACCATGGTTTACTTGTGAACGTAAGAGATCTAGCCAGCAGAACTAACAAACTACAATTCCTGGTTTAGCATTATATCCAAAATGGGGGTCATGGTTTGTTTCACTCAAACAAGGCCAACTAGTAGGCCAGGAACAAGCCTTGGCTTAATACCATGGTTTGTTTGGAGTCAGACAAACCACAATACCTGGGTTTGGATATAATGCGAAGCCATGGATCATGGTTTGTTGTTCCCAGTGACTAGAGCAGGGGTTGGCAAACTACAGTCCCTGGGCCAGATCAGGCCCACCTGGGTCCTAAATCCGGCCCGCGCCACAAAGCTGGAACCCGCCGCAAAGCTGAGACTCCCAGCAATGGCGACAGGAGGAAGAGGCGGAGCAGCGGCGGCTCTGCCACTCAAACGCTGTGCCTGGTTTACCTCAGCGCGGCGCGGGAGACTCTCTGCCAATCAAACACAGCGCCTGGTTTACCTCAGTGGCATTTGATTGGCAGAGACATCCCCGCCCGCGCCACACTGAGGTAAAGCAGGTGTGGCATTTGATTGGCAGAGCCCCCGCTACTCAACCTCTTCCTTCTGTTGCCGCCGCCACCCTGGTGCTCCTGTGGGCCAGAGAGCGGAGCAGACGAGCTCGCTCTGCCTACCCATGAGAAGCAGCAGCAGCAGTGATGGCGGCCCCTGGGAAGGTAAGCGCAGTGGCTGGAGCTGGGGCTAGGGGTGGGGAAAAGGACTATTTGCCCCTCTCGCCTCTTCTTCCAGCTCTCCCCCCCCCCCAGTGCTGCTTCTCTGGCCCGCCACAAGGTCTGAGGGATAGTGGACCGGCCCGCTGCTTAAAAAAATGCCGACCCCTGGACTAGAGAGAAAGGGACTACAGTGGTACCTCGGGTTACATATGCTTCAGGTTGCATACGCTTCAGGTTACAGACCCCGCTAACCCAGAAATAGTACCTTGGGTTAAGAACTTTGCTTCAGAGTGAGAACAGAAATTGTGTGACGGCAGCGCAGCAGGAGGCCCCATTAGCTAAAGTGGTGCTTCAGGTTAAGAACAGTTTCAGGTTAAGAACGGACCTCCGGAACGAATTAAGTACTTAACCCGAGGTACCACTGTACTTAATTCGTTCCGGAGGTCCGTTCTTAACCTGAAACTGTTCTTAACCTGAAGCACCACTTTAGCTAATGGGGCCTCCCACTGCTGCCGCGCCACCGGAGCACAATTTCTGTTCTCATCCTGAAGCAAAGTTCTTAACCCGAGGTAATATTTCTGGGTTAGCAGAGTCTGTATCCTGAAGTGTATGTAACCCAAGGTACCACTGTACTTAACCCGAGGTACCACTGTATTTTGGCCCCTCCCATATGAACCATCAAGCTTGCCGTGAGGTGAGGCTGTGCTCTGGAGTCTACTTCTGTAGGAAGTTACAGCTGCTATCCATTATGATTGTTGTTGTTGTTGATTTTCAGTTATATACATTTCAATGGTTTTACAATCATTTTAACATTTCAAAACTTAACTTTCTTCCTCCCCTTTCTGCGGTTCCTTACATTTATTTTCCTGCATATTCCAAATTAACTTGTCATTCATTCATTCATCTACTTTAAATATATACTCTTACAAAACTGCAGGTTATTATAATATTCCTGCCAATGTTCTTATCTGTTTATGTTTTGTTTGCAAATATTCAATACACTGTTTCCATTCTTTTATAAAAAGTTTGTTATCTTGATTTCTTACTTTTACGGCAACTTTTGCCATTTCTGCATATTCCATAAGTTTTTGTAACCATTCTTCTCTCATCGGGACATTTACAGCTGCAATCCTAAGCGCTTTCACTAGGATGTAAGTCCCAATGGGATTTAAAGCAGAATCCTAAATATATTCACTGCCGTTTACATGGAAGTAAGCCTCAATGGGTTGATTCAAGTAAGCATGAGGTTGTAGTTTACACAACCCAACCATATGTTTGTTTACTGATTCACTAGTCCCGATTTCAATGGGGATCACTTCCAAGTAAACATACAAAGAGCTGCACTGCATGGCTATAACCATATAATAGTTAAGACACGTGTTCTAGACGCTTTTTGACTAATAGGTGTTTCAGAAAATCAGGGCTGTGACACAGACGTAAGAAGGCCAGACCTCCCACACCACGGTTGCTTTTACATACAGAAAATTGGATCAGGTGCTCCAAACACAGAACTCCATCAATGCCTAGTTTGGCCTACCATGGGAATAGAATCATTGAAACATAAAACTGTAGAGTTGAAAGGGACCACAAGAGTCATCTGGCGATGCAGGAATCTTTTGCCAAATGTGGGGCTAAGTCACATTGAATTCAGTGAAATGTCTGTGTAAATAAGCATACCTAGGATCAGGTCCAATGTCAAAATATTCAGAATAGGGCTTTAAAAAAGAACTAGCAAATAACATTTTTAAAGGTAAAGTATAATGTCATTATCTAATTAAAACAATAAAGCAGCCACACTGGAAACATAATTATGGAGTTTCCTCCCCAAAGGCAACAGCTTGGTGACATCATTTCAAAATATTAGAAAGTATTTCCAATTTTTTTATTTTTTTAAAAAAAATCTCACCAGGCTTTTAAAGGAGTAAATAATGTCTGCTGCTATTACTAGGCTTGGATTTAGGTTTATATTTAAAATGGAAATGTTTTAATCACAGGTTCTTATTTGGTAGACTTGACTGAGAATCTCTTCTGGTTGGGAAGGATAGTTAGATGTATGTATTTTATATATGCACATCTATCTTTATGAATGTCTCTTTGAAAAGCAATACACCTGCCAATGAATGGCTTTTAGTAAATCATGTTTACAGCAACTTCAGAATGCAACTGTTCCAAAAAGGCTCATGCACTGTTGGAGGAAAAAAACAATTACAATACTGATGACAGGAAGGGCAGGATAAAATGACAGTGGACTTTTTACCTGTGGCTGTGATTATGGGCTCGAAAAGTTATTACAGAAAGTTCTTGGCATTTCCCTGGAGTCGCCAAGGATGTCAGCCAAACGCAACTTGAATTCTCTGTAGTTTACAATTGACAGTATGAAAACCAGAAGTTTTGTCTGGCTTTAGATAGTTTATCTAACTCTGTGACCAACTGAATTTAAAGTTTCCTTCCTCACTGTACAATCCCCAAACTGTTCCTGCTGTCACTGGTTTCAATCAACAAGGCGACTGACTTAGAAAAGGCTGCTTTGAAACTACAGTCCCTGAAGGACAACACAGAAACAAAGGGAGGTTTGCTGTTGTGATTGGGGGGGGGGAATGACAGTCCTGCAAAGTTTCTATAGCACTATTTAGATTTAAACATCAAAGCTTATTCTGGAAGTGTCAGACACATCTCTATTAACCTAACAAAAATCCAAGTTAGCCTTTGCAACAAAAGCAGAAAGGAAACCAAACACAGTTTTGGTTTTTTAAAAATATGGTTTAAACAAAAGCAGAAAACCTTGCTGGTGTCTAAGGGAGTTAAGCTATTTCCTAACTGAAGCGGGAGCAAAGATAGCTTTCCACAGCAGCACCACAGATCATGAATTGCAGCAAGACAAAGTGCATGCCAACACACAAAAGCTCTTTTCAGCTACACAACCACATCTGCGTTTCAAGCTCAGTCTGCGGCAACAAAACCATCCATAGCTGCGAGAGGGGAAAACATGCAACAAGTACTTACATTTTTCAGCTTTCTGCTACAGTCAAGATTCCTGGATGTGCAGGCACAACAAGAAAGGAGAGAGAAATATCAGAACCGAGAAACTCTTTCCAAGAGCTTGTATTATGCAGTCGGTCACATGTTCCCCCTAACAAAAGCCTGCAGGATGTGTCTGCTGGTTAGAAACACATGAAGGGAAGATAGAGAGCAATCATTCATTTGGTTTATAGCATGAAAACATGCTCCCAATGTTACCAGAGTCAACAAAGCTACAAAATAATGCAGGTTAGCAGCCCTTCCTCAATGGAACTAAACCAGTGCAAACACACACACACACACAGGAAAATTGTGCCCAGTATCTTTCTCAATTTATTAATTTTTGTTTGTGTTTACTTGTTTATAAGGTTGACAAATCAGGTGGACGGCAAGAGAGAGGCTGTTGGACTGGAATCCATTTGCGGGTTTGACACCAGCTCCACTGACTCAGATTGGTTTGCTGACATACAAATGGGAACAAGTCCCATCAATGGCTGGATGTACCCATCTCCACCGTCTGCCAATGAAACAGGCTCTTTTCTAACGTAAGCTCTTGAGAAATGCGTTAGTCTTTCAGGCATCGTAAAATCCAGCTTGCTTGTGCAACACTAGTGCAGTAGCTGAGATTGTGAGTGAGAAGTCCCTGGTGCAAATCTCGCCTCAGCCAAGAAGTCTGCAGGCGACTTTAGGCAAATCACTATCTCAGCCTCAATCTCCTATTTGCAGTAGGGAGATAACACTTAGCTACTTTCAGGGTTGTTGCACAGATGAGGACGAGAATGTATATCACAACCATCTGTGCCCCATTCTATGTACAGTGGTACCCCAGGTTAAGAACTTAATTCGTTCTGGAGGTCCGTTCTTAACCTGAAACTGTTCTTAATCTGAGGCACCACTTTAGCTAATGGGGCCTCCCGCCGCCGCGCGATTTCTGTTCTCATCCTGAAGCAAAGTTCTTAACCTGAGGTACTATTTCTGGGTTAGGGGAGTCTGTAACCTGAAGCACCTGTAACCTGAAGCATCTGTAACCTGAGGTACCACTGTATTTTGCCTGGAATGGCTGCTTACCTAGTCATGGGGTGAACAGCTGCTTCCTTCAGTGGCCTGGGAGGGTCACCTATGTAGACCTGTGTCTTGTAGAGGAATCATTAATCCTGGGCCTGACCCTGTTATGAGCAGCCCTCCACCAGGGGGGCTGCTCCACCACCCAATGCCCCCTACATCTGAAATCAATAAAGTTGTGGCCATGTTTTTAAATCCCAGAACGTTGTCCTGTCCAGTTATCTCACCTTCACAGGCTAGGCCCTGCTCCCTGGGGAGGGGTCACTGCAACTGGGTCTTGCTAATCCTTGCTGGATAAACTAGATTGTTGCAGGGAATGATCCAAATGTGATCGATGCAGCCCTGGGCCTGAACAGAACTTGAATGTGAGACCATATTGGAACTGTGTTTGCACACACACAGCTGGAGCAAACTGGGAGAACGGCAGGGATAAACATCACCAATAAAAACATAGCTATTTATCCCCACTACTTTGGAACGGCAGTGTTTGTTGCTGTGTGTATATGAGTGGGTGGGTGCCAAGGGACAGCTATTTTGCTGAATTCCTTCTCTTTCATGCACACTCAGACGCACTGTCTACCATTTTCATCAAAAGCTAAACAGGCTGATGGTTTGTTTAATCATAGGGCCATCAAGCTTTTGAGGATCCTTTAATGAGCACTATAAACCATCTTGAAAGCCCCTTTAATCTGCAACAACAAGGTACTTAATTTCTCTGCCTACTTAGAAGCATTGGTAGCATAAATATGAACAAGTGCCATAAATTTAAGCTGCTTTTTTTCAAACAAATGCTTTAATCTCAATACCACCCTAGCATACATTTTCAAAGCATCAGGTTATATTTTAATCAAGACTGGAATTTAGACCTTTCAGTGCCCCAGGCAAAATGTTAAAACTACAGTAAATATTTTGCACAGGATTCTGGTTCCATTGAGCTGGGCAGCCCTTTTCGCTCATCTCTCTGGGCCTTTCCAAGCCCCATGTGGGGAGGAGGTCCTCCTTCCCATGCCCCATAGCATCTCAGACATGCCCGACTGCTTGGTATCACCATTCTTTATGCACCTCTCTGGGAACCCATGAACCAGCATTTTTATTATGGGGTTCTGTCACCCACCCATGCACCAACCCTACTCCTGCTTGGCCTGCTCATCATTTTCAGCAGCTTCCGAGTCCCCTTTCTTGTTACATGCATCTTCCAGTGACATTTGGACCTCGTTTCTTCCTGGATCAGTTCCTGTGCTCCTGGGCACAAAAGAATTCCCTGCCTTTGCTACTACAACAAGAAGTGCTTCATCGGCAGCAGTCTAGGCAGGGGCAGAGGAAGTGGGGTGCGGTGGGGGCGGACTGCCCCGGGTGTCTTCGCTGAGGGGGGAGACATTTGGCGTGCCGCCCACCTGCGACTCCCAAGCCTACCCCGAGCCGTCGGAGGAAGGGGGGAGCTGTGCCACTTTGCTAGCGGCATTCCCTCCTTTCCCCTTCATTTTGACAGCTCGGGGGAGGCTTGGGAGTTGCAGGCGGGGGGTGCACCAAATGTCCACCATCGGCGGCTCGCTCCGCCCCTGGCTGCAGGAAGCGCGCACCTGTGCCCATCAATAGCACGCTCCGCCCCCCTCAGAAGTGCGCCCCTCCCTGGGCAGGGCGGAAATATGCTCTGCCGCTGAGTCCAGGGTAGAGTGTAGTGCAAGAAAACTGGTGCTCCCTTTAGTGATCCTCTAACTCCATGGGTATGGGGACGCGGGTGGCGCTGTGGTCTAAACCACAGAGCCTAGGGCTTGCCGATCAGAAGGTTGGCGGTTCGAATCCCTGCGACGGGGTGAGCTCACGTTGCTCGGTCCCTGCTCCTGCCCACCTAGCAGTTCGAAAGCACGCCAAAAAGTGCAAGTAGATAAATAGGTACTGCTCCGGCGGGAAGGTAAACGGCGTTTCCGTGCGCTGCTCTGGTTCGCCAGAAGCGGCTTAGTCATGCTGGCCACAGGACCTGGAAGCTGTCTGCAGACAAACGCCGGCTCCCTCGACCTATAGAGTGAGATGAGCGTCGCAACCCCAGAGTTGTCTGTGACTGGACCTTTTAACTCATGGGTAGGCAGACTAGGGCCCGGGGGCTGGAACCAGCCCAATCACCTTCTAAATCCGGCCCACGAACGGTCCGGGAATCAGCATGTTTTTACATGAGTAGAATGAGCCCTTTTATTTAAAATGCATCTCTGGGTTATTTGTGGGGCCTGCCTGGTGTTTTTACATGAGTAGAATGTGTGCTTTTATTTAAAATACATCTCTGGGTTATTTGTGGGGCATAGGTATTTGTTCATTCCCCCCCAAAAAAATTAGTCCGGCCCCCCACAAGGTCTGAGGGACAGTAGACTGACCTGACCCCTGCTCTAACTCAACTTTTACCAATGTCCACGGTACAGCTCTTACAGAATGTATAAAACGAAACAAAAAATTAATTAAATAACATAAAGGTAACGGTAAAGGGACCCCTGACCATTAGGTCCAGTCGTGGCCGACTCTGGGGTTGCAGCGCTCATCTCGCTTTATTGGTCGAGGGAGCTGGCGTACAGCTTCCGGGTCATGTGGCCAGCATGATAAAGCCGCTTCTGGAGAACCAGAGCAGTGCACGGAAACACCATTTACCTTCCCGCCGGAGCAGTACCTATTTATCTACTTGACTTTGACATGGTGTGAAACGTGGAATGCACAATTCAAAAGTCAGTTGCCACCATTTGTATTTTCGTTCATGCAACGCCATTTTTTTCACAATCTTTTTGCTTTGGGTCTTGGGATCTGCTATTAAACTCAGACTGAAACAGAAGGCCCACTTTTAATCTTATGCTAGTAGCAGCTCACGAGTTGGGATGAAGCCATGGTGCTGCCCTCCAGCCATTGGCATTGCTGCAGTTTACCTGGACAAGGCTGGGATGGGGAAGACTGGCAGGGTTATGCTGCTGCACAGATGGGAGAGATGAATTGGCTCTTCTGGTGCACAACCCCAGAGCATGGTTTTCATTCGGATTCCGCACTCCTCCAAATTTCCACTACTGTTCTTGGCTCAAAACAATAATAATAATAATCCAGAAATTTGTGGGTTTTTTAAATGATAAAATGTTTCAAAATGCACATATTGAAATAAGATGTGCATTTAAATATCATTTTGTGACAAAATACAAATTTTTGAATTGTCAAATGGATCTTTAAAAAAAAGAATTTCAGTTTGAGGAGAAGATGGGGGCAGAGCAGACTTTTGAATGAATGTGAAACTGCCATAGTCCAGCTAAAAAAATGATCACTCCGTTCCTTGTTAGGAGCTACCACTGGCACAAGAATACGGCAGATAGAGTAGGCTAGAGAAAGCCATGAATCTTGAAATTCTGCACCCCTTTCCACATAGCATTATATTACAGATATAATGCAGGCATGTAATTCCAGAAATGTACAGGTGTTGTGTTACTTACCTGACTGTTGCTTTGCTTGAGTTGTCCTGCAGGTCTACCGGGTCAAAAAGCTGAGATTCTTTAAGCCCCAATTCTTTACAGCCTCTTAAGAACAAGGCAATATTGTCCTAAAATGAAGCAAGCAAAATTGTTGTCTTATTGTAATCGCAGAAGATTATCTCCTTCCCCTTGCTAACCTAGATCACCTGGATGATTCCTAGTTTACTTAGTCTTCCAAATCTGGACCCAACATGTCGCTTTGTTATGTTATAAAGTAAAGTTTTGAAATATAAACTCAAATGCATCATATCTATCCATAGCTGTAGGGGTTTCACTGGGCCTCATTCTTTGTAGAAAAAAACTGACATTTTTGTGACTAGCTTATATAAAACAAACTGTGACATTTTTGTGACTAGCTTATATAAAACAAACTGTGACATTTTTGTGACTAGCTTATATAAAAACCACAAGAGCCACAAGACATATACCCAGAGATCTATGAAGTTTGCAAGTGAGGAACAGGAGGTCACAATTTTTACCTATGAACAAGCAAAGGACCCACTCGCCCCTTTGCAGATTTCAGGCCAGCAGGATCTACTTTGTTTTTTACTTGAACCCTGAGATGCATCAACTGCAGCCAAGTACAAAAACATAACAGGCCTACGAAGGTGACATCCTTTGTGTGGTGATCTGAAATATCTAGCTCGATGAGATCTTGGAAGAGATGGTGCAATAAGCGTGCTTGAGTTACAGGTAGGCCAGAGCAGGGGCTAGTCCCCTTAACTATTGATTTTTGAAGGTATGGGGTACTTAAGTTGGCTAACACAAGAGTGGATTTCATTAAGGGCTGACCTATCTTTTCTCTCCAGAATTCAAGTACAAGTGCGATGCTCACTCAACATAGTGGCAATAATGAGTGTCACCACGACACTATGACAAAATAAATGGCATATTTTTTGCTTTTGCTGCTTGTAAAATTATAGCACAGGTAGATACTTTATAGGTTTGGTTGATTATTCATGTCTGTATTATGGCAAAATGTAACTTATTTGCAAACGTGTATTCTGAAGCCACTTCTGTTTTATCTCCACCGATGGCTAGTGCAAAATACAAATCAGATTTGACAAAAGAATAAGTCAAACTCATATTGTGATATTTATTTTTAGCTGGCCCTCCATCTATTTAATGTAAAACAAAAACAAAACAAAACAAAAAACTCCAGAGGGAAGACAATTGTTAACTCTTATTTAAGTCTCAACTACCCCTGGGATTTCTTTTGCATAACCAGGGACTTACTGAGGAAAACTGTCCCTCCTTTCGAGCTTGTCTGTTCCTTTTCAACCTCATTGTTTGTTTTGTACTTCTACAGTTTCGCAAGAGTTGCACTCTTTATTATTTCAGTGTGCAGTGATCAGTTCACTAATCGCAATGGCATTTGGCATGCCAGCATCAGCACACTCACAGCTTGCCGTCACTGCCAGCCTCGTTGCAAAAATCCTAGACTGAACTTTTACAGACTTCCATGTTCTCTGAATTCAGCCCATAGTCCAGAAGCCGGAAAGTGAAGGCAAGGGCTAAAAGAAACAAGTCCTTCTTCCACAGAAGGAAGTGTATACTGATGAACTTTTGACTATTTTCCACCTTTCCTCCCATACCTCTGAACCCTGCAGCATTCTGCAAGGGGGATGACAGCTACACTAATGTCAATTGGAGAGGGGGAAATGTTTATTACATTTCGTTCCGCCCATCTCCCGGTGCAACTCACACATGAGCCATCCTGTTTTAGTTTCACAGCCACTCTATGAGATAAGTGACAGCCAAAGACACCCACAAGAAGATTCATTTATACCTGAGGTGGGATTCAAAAAAACCCTAGGCTTCCTGTTGAAATCCAACGGGTTGCCCCTAAACCACAGTCAATCTGAAGGCTTGCAGAAAGTGTCTCCCTTTGATGTATAATTTCTCCACTTTCCCCAGGCTTCCTTCTTGCTATCTGCAAGAATTTTCTAAGGACCTTTATGGATGAAAATAGCTTTCTGTGTGTATTTGTGCAGGGAGGGGAATGCTTCCTTGGTGATATTTTGAGTAGAATGGTCAGGTTTAGATATTTTGCTGATCAGAACCAACCTAAAAAGGGAATAAAAGTTAGATACAAGTGTGTTTACAGCATTATTTGTTATTTTATCATGATAAATTAACCAACAGGTGGGTCCCATCATACACTCCACATATATATATATATATATATATATATATATATATATATATATATGATTTTCAGTTATATACATTTCAATAGTTTTACAATTATTTTAACATTTCAAAACTCCCCTTCCCTTTCTGCGGTTCCTTAATTTTTTTTTTAATCTTTCCTGCATATTCCAAATTAACTTTATTAACTTATTAACAAATGAACAAATTATTTATTCATCTACTTGAAAGATATACTCTTATAAAACTGCAGGTTATTACAACATTCCTGCCAATGTTCTTATCTGTTTACAATTTGTTTGTAAATATTCAATAAACCATTTCCATTCTTTTATAAAAAGTTTGAAATCTTTGATTTCTTCTTTTTCCCCTGGTAAGTTTTGCCATTTCTGCATATTCCACAAGTTTTTGTATCCATTCTTCTTTCGTTGAGACTTCTTCTTCTTTCCATTTTTGGTCAAATACCCACCATACACACATGAGCAGTTGGTGTTCTCAAATGGGGAACAAATGGATAGGGATGGCTCCCATTCTTGCCCTCCACCTATGAGGAGATCTTGCAGACATTACCACTGTGGTGAGAGAGGTTAAGTACCCCTCACACTGATACAGGAATGTGGTGTTACAGAGGTTGTGCACCAGCCTCAATCTCTGCCAAGTGGTAGCAAGATTCTAGGGAGTTTCAGGCACTCACCTAGGGTTGTGTTTCCACTGGGAAAGCAAGGCACAGCAGAATCTAGTGTCTTTAAGAAATATGGTTTATTGTACACATCTTTACAGCTGGAAGCCTTTAATTCAGGGGGTGCAGAACATTATGGCCCAAGAGAATCCCTTGTTGCTCCTCTCATAGCTTCAGCAGCAGCAGCCAGTCGTGACCCCGGTCTCTCAGTGCAGCCTCCTCCAGCCATCGCCACATGGAGTTCTCCTACTTCCTCCTACATTCTTCCCAGAATGCCTCGCCAAACACAACCCTTCCCCTTCTGTAAGCTTGCCCCCCTTCTCCAGACCTCTGTTTTTCAAATGGGTACCACCACGTCCCCGTTACCCTGGCAACCTCAGTTTCCCAGACCCAAGCATCTTCCTTTGATGGGCTATCAACACATTTGCCATGCTAAATAAATAGCATTCCAGGGGAGGACTCTCAGCACTCAGTAATTTCTAGCATCCAGGTAATTTCTAACATCCACTAACTCCTTAGAATCGTGGGCACTTTTGCACTCCCAAACACTGGTATCCCAAACCTGTAACAGTATAAAGGGGACCAAAATCATAGAGCATAACTGTTAAGTTGTGGGTGAACATATCAGACGACACAGCGATTCTCCAAACAGCTCTTGTTTATTCACAGGCCAGAACAAAACTGAACTGAAGGGTTCAGCCAGCCTGCTTATATAGAGCTCCAGTACAACGTAACTGTAACAACTTTCTGTAACTATCCAATCACCGAACGTCACTTTCAATCCCTTATTTGCATATGTGGACCTGAACGATCTACAGTATCCCCCTGCTGGCCCAGGGTGAGAACTTCAGTACATAACAATAACGGACGAAGCAACCACACGAAACCACCACCCACAACAGGAAGCTCTCCTCACCATAGCTGTCAACGTTTCCCTTTTTTAAAGGGAAATTCCCTTATTCCGAATAGGATTCCTCGCAAGAAAAGGGAAAAGCTGACAAGTGTTGAAAAGTAGACATTTCAAGATGACAATGAACACCACATCAAATGCTTGAACATGAACTGTGTCGCCAGCTGGCAAGTTTTAAAAAGCTTCTTTTAAAACAGAGGGCTGTTATTAACGCAGCTATATTTCTTCCTTCTCGCCTTGTGCTTCCCCCCCTCCCCATCAAATTAAGCAACGTTATCTTTCATTTGACAGCCAACCTTCACACGTATCCATTATACCCACTGAAGATGGTCTCCTCAAGAGCAAACCAGAGAGGTCTGCCAGTAGCCACCACACGCCTACCAAATCGTTATTCCCAAATGGCAAGCAGCGAAGTAGCTACAGCTGCCCAGAAAAAGAAGTTGGGTTCATTCTTGCTCAAGTTCACGACCTCCGAAAGGGAAGAGCAGCAGATTCCTTTCCTCTTTTAAAATTAAACATCTACTTCTTACAAGCCAAAGAATGTGATCCATAATCTCTTAATAGTTTAGGCACTCTCCACCCCTGCCAACGCCAACAAAACAAAATTGTGTTGCTGTGGGATAGCCACACTTTAAACATTTTCCACTCAGGGTTTTGCAGCTTTTGTGTGTGTCAGCGTTATATAAAACAAAGCCTATGGGGAAAAGTCAACACACAAACAACTTCTTGTTCAATAACAATTTTCTTACTACTTTTGAAATAACAGCAAAACTAACAAACTAAAGATACTTCCATAATTCTTGTAGCAATATGAAGGTAAGTAACAATTACAGTACAGTGATACCTCAGGTTACATACGCTTCAGGTTACATACGCTTCAGGTTACAGACTCCGCTAACCCAGAAATATTGCTTCAGGTTAAGAACTTTGCTTCAGGATAAGAACAGAAATTGTGCTCTGGCAGCGCGGCAGCAGCAGGAGGCCCCATTAGCTAAAGTGGTGCTTCATCTTAAGAACAGTTTCAAGTTAAGTACAGACCTCTGGAACGAATTAAGTACTTAACCCGAGGTACCACTGTAATAATAATAATAATAATAATAATAATAATAATAATAATAAAATTTATTTATACCCTGCCCTCCCCGGCCAGAGCCAGGCTCAGGGTGGCTAACACCAGTAAAATTTAAAATTACAGTAAAAACATAATAGGGGAAAAACCCACCAATTTAAAATACAGGTTAAAATGCCATTTAAAATGCAGCCTCATTTTAAAAGTAGCCCATAGATCAAAACCATAAGGGGAGGGAATCATAAGGGTCAGACTGAGT